TAAACAAAAGGAACTATTGGATGAGAGAAAAGAGTTGAAACAAATCATTTGTTTATGTAGATTATTTATAAACAATGAAACTCGTGTGATGGAAGAGCAAGAAAAAAATCGTTCGTTTTTTAGCCAAAATGAGTCACAAAAATAAGGAATTTTGATTTTGAAAAGATTTTAAGTAAAACTAATTTTTTTGGATATCGGAGTGTATGCTACCGGTACGGTTTTAGTAAATTTACCGGAATTTTAACCGGTAGCTTTGCCGGTAAAACTACCGGTAGTTACCGGTAAATTTACCAAAAACGGTAATTTTTCGGAAAATTTTCAAATTTTTTCAAAATTCTTATTAAATAATTTCGTATAGATCATTTCGCATCAGGGACAGTTTGGAACTATCCGTTTTATAACTACGCCGTTCACGAACCGCGAGCTTCTAGAGCCAGGTCGTTTCAGAGTTGCGACGTTTTAAAACCGCGAAATTTTAAAACCATTCCGTTTTAGAACCGCGACATTTTAGAACTGACCGTTTCAGAACTGTTACAAATTTAAAGAAAATGTAACAGCAAAAAAACATTCGTGTAGTTCTTGTGGACAAAAATTTTTTTCCCGGTAATTTACCGATAATTTACTGTTTAAAAATACGGTAATGCTCCGGTATTTTTCAAATTTACCGGTATATGACCGGTAAATTACCGGTAAAATCACCAAAATAGTCGTTACCGGTAAGTGAGAATCGGAAGCCACACACTGGATGTCAGAATGAGCACAGAAGATATAGCATATCTAGTAGAAACCCACTTTTTAAATGCATTTCAAGCTCAATTATCTTGGTTTTTTTTTTTTGAAAGACACCACAAAATTTTCAACTGATAAATTATTTCTCATAAAATCAATAATATTTCATCAGCAGCAGACAGATTTTTTGTTTCTCTAATGGTAACCGAGATAGTTGAGCTAATAGTTCAGGGGGCTTCTATTAAAGAAAATACTGTAGTTCTCGGTGAAAATTAGGCTTTTGACATTCTAGCTGATGAGATGATCAAAGAGAAAAAAGTTTCAAAAGGTCTTTTCGATCGCGAAGAACTCTGAAATTCCGATATTGAGCCGAAATCAATTTACAAAAGCAAAACTCTCTAGAACCCATTACTTTTCAGTTTTTTTTTCCAACACAAGGGGGTGTAGACCTCAACGTCTCATATCGACTATACAAGAAACACACTTTTTAGGTAGGTAAACCTTGATTAAATCTGGAAAACAGCTTTGCAAAACACACAACCCCTGGAACAATCTTCTCCAAGGAGTTTGGAGGGAATACGGAAATGGGGACTGCACATGAGGGGGGGGGGGGGGGGGGTCAAATGGTTTGGAGATGGAGAAAATAGAGAAAAAGAACGACAAAAAAAATGCACTCTGCAAAAAAAAACATAACTACGTAGATGAGAAAAAAGAGAGAGGGAGATGTGAGAAATGCAAATAATCGAATTAACCATTCCATACGGTTCGTCCCCGCGCGAGCCGCTCATAAAAAAACGGACGGTGTCATTTTCGAAAACAATGGAGAGAGGGAGGGAGGCGCAGACAGTGTTTTGCAAAAGTTGGCAGAAGAATGAGAGTGCGCAGAGGCATCTGCAACTGGGTGGTCTGAAAATAATAAAACAGTTTAGAAGGAAAATTTTGCTGTAAATTCAGAATTTCAGACAAATCTATCGTAAACGCTTTTATAGACACCATATATGTGGACTTTGTGCTCATCTATCTCGATTCTTATAAGAGATATCAAAAATCTGTCAATTGATAAAAGATTTGTGATAATATGGTGAATAATTTGTCAGTTGACTATTTTCCGATATCTCTCTTAGGAAACGAGATAAAGGAGCTGAAAGGCGCAGTTTGCGTCATTGTAGCTGAGCTGGTAGCGAACGAACGCACTCAAGTTAAACTCCTCAAGAGTTTGGAATTTTTGAATTTAAACATCAAAACTCATGAAAAAGACTGAAGAAGGTTCTTTTCGTTCGTAGAGCCAAAACAAAAAATATTTCGTCTTATGAGAATACAGTACTCCTAGCTTCACCAGTTTTCGAAACTTTGATTTTTAGTTCCGAAAATTCTTTCTGAATTTTTAATCAAATGACAAGACGCTGTTTTCTGAGAAAAGAGATAAATGATGTAAAAGTTTGAAAACTAAATTCAGAACTTTGTTTGTCTCTAATAGAAGCCCACCCAAACCGTCAACTTTGAGCTCAATTATTTCGATTCTTGTGAAAGATATAAAAAAAATCTGACAACTGATAAAATATCGATGATATTATGATAAATAATGTTTTAGTTGTCAGTTTTTTTATATTTTTCACAAAAATTGAGATAAGTGAGCTTGAATTGCACGTGTAGGGTCTCTCCTTTTTTTGAAGCACTGCTAGAATTCTCCTGATAGTTTTCCTCTCTTATCTTATCAAAACCGTTAGTTCAATATTATCAATCAGTAAGAAAAATACCCATAATCAAAATTTTGAAAACATCAAGAAGAGTTTATGAAGACAGAATCGAACAAATGAGAAGAAAATGAGGATTACCTACCCACTATTTGTACTCGGCGTACAAAAATTTATGTGCATGAGATTAGAAAAAATGTATTAGATTACATAAAAGGATACTGATAAGATCGAGAAAGGGAAGAGATATACATTCTCACTAAAAATAGTGATTTCAAATTTCTATTTATTGCTTCCCTAGGTAAAGAAAAAGGTGATGCGTGCAGCAAACGAAATGAAACAAAAACTAAAAGAAGAACAATTGCTCCGAAGAAAGGAAAAGTCATAAATCTACCCATGTCAAGTTTGATTAGAAGGGGTCGCGAAATGAAGCAACCCCCAAGGTTTCTTCTCGGTGAGAAATGAAAAAGAGGAAAAGATTCGCGCTTTTTGTCTATTTTTGCCCCAATCTCAATTTCCTGTTTGCTCTTCTTCTTCTTCCAATTATCTTCAAGTCAGCGCATCTTTTTTTGCCCCATTGTTTTTTTTTTCAACACCATTCTCGTTGGATTTACAGGGAAGATGACCTATTGGAACTTTCTAGCAGGGGGATATTGGAAATTGAACTAACTTACACCGGATGCTGGAAAAAACGAAATCGGAAATGAAATCGGAAGGATGCTACATGAGAATATGTATCAAAACCATTGAATTGATAAGTTTTCATGTTCAGCCAAAAAATGTAGTTTTTTTCCGAACTCCGCTAGTCGGGTTTACATGTAATTGGGTAAATCGAGGACACGGAGTTTATGGGGTTCGCAAAAAAAAGAGAAAACAATTCCAATTTACACGCAGGGCGAGAGGGTATTGCGACAGTAAAAAAAACCATGAAACGCAACAGAAAAATAGATGTTCCAGCCTTTTTCATTAGTCAAAAATGACTCATATTCAGAGACGCTTGGAATGGCCTATTCGGAATTTTTCGAAATGTCAAAAATTTTGAATTTCGAAAATCTGAGAATCTTTAGGTACTTTAGCATATTTCGGTTCTCAACATTCCGAAACTTTGAAATTTTCAAATTTTCGGAGTTTTTCAGAAATTCAAATATGAAAGCAGATGGAAAAAAATGTAGATGTTCTTTTTGGAATTTTCGCAATGCTGCAAATTTCGAGTTTCAGAATTTTGAAATGTGGGATATTCGGATTATTCCGATTTCGAAAATTTTGGAATTCCAAGAATTCGAAAATTTCTATTTTCAAGATTTAGGAATATTTCAGAATATTTCCATTTTTCCTATTTCCACGATTCTCGAGATTCAGGATTTCGGAAAATTCCAATTTTAGGAATTTTAGAATTTCTGAATACTCAGTTCAATTTTGAAAGTTCGAAATATTCCGAGTTTGAAAATTTCGGGTCATCGGAATCTCTGAAATTTTTGGAAAAATTTGGAATTTCGGAAATTCGGAACATGCTTATTTCTATTATTATGGAATTTTGGAAAATTGCGATTTTGACATTCAGAATTTTCCTATTTTCAAAACTTCAAAACTTCGGAATATTCCGATAATCAAAATTCAAATTTCAAACCAGAAATTCCATTATTGACAAAGAAATGTTGAAAACCCCAAAAAACCTGACAGTAATTTCTCTCAAGACCCACAAATAAACTTTTTCGCGGCGATTTTCTCATACTGTAGTCCAAACATTCTGAAAAAAATCTTTGGAAATGTTCCGATAGGAATTTTTGGAATTTTCGGTACTCCTTATTCAGTTCCAAGTAGCCCTGGTAATAAAGTTCAGAAGAAGCATGACGCTTCAAAAATTAATAGAAAAAATGGAACCATAAGGGAAATCACAAATTGAGAATTTTCATTTTTTATGTCAAGGTTTCATTTTTTAGCAACGAAAGTTTGAATTTTCTGAGAAATTCTGATTTTTTGAAAATTTCTGAACATTTTTTCTGTAAAAAATCTAACATTTTCTGAAAATTTTTGAAAAGTCGATGAGACTCCTCTAGATGTCCCAAACGGGAATTTCAGAACGTTTTCATCATCTACCTAAAAACTTATATTTGTATGTTTCCGATGTTGTAGTTTTCTCTCTTTTTATCGAGAACCTGAGGCATCGAAATCCCTATTTTCAAGAATTTCAATTCAAACATAACCAGAAAAATTGAAAAAATATCACAAATAAATTTGTATTTCAATAATTAAAAAGTAATAAATTGATTGCACGTTGTGCTTGACAAACACGGATGAAGAAAATCAAACAAAAAGAAAGATACAGTTTTGAAAAATGAGGAGTCGGGAATTTGATGAGAAGGGGTGAGCGTCATTATTCAAAAAAACTTAAAACATATGACCATTGTAAAATGTTACTATAGAAAGGTTTAAATTCCTATATCTATGAAATTATACAAGAAGAAAAAAAAACATGGTTGATGATAATCCGTATCAGAACACACCGGGGTGATTTTTCTGACGCAATTAGTTCTGAGACGAAATATCACCAAATGTATAGACAAGATAAAATTTGAAAGTACACGAAATGAGTTTTGATTAAGAAGGGAAGGAAGGTCAAAAAACTGAGAAAGCTGGCTGCCAAAAAATGGCTTTACAAGATGGAAAAAAAATCAGGGAAAGTATTCAAACAGTTAAGAAACAAGAATGATGGACCCGGGTACAAGAAAAAAAAACAGGACAATGTGAGAATGGGAGAAACTGATAAGGACTTCTTGAAAGATTGAGCATGATGTCGGTGTGATGATTTGTAAGTTTTGTTATTTAATTTTGGAACATGTTCCGGTTGATGCAATTGGAGAATTTGAAGATTACATTGGGAAGTTTGCCTTGGTCGGAGGTGTCAGCACAGTAGAATGCCTGAAAAATCATTGTTTTCATTCAAAATATTTCAGAAATTTAGAGTTGGAGCTTAACAATAGTCTATTGAGATATCTTTGAAAAGTTCAGAATCCGCCAGTTTCAGCTAAGTATTTCAGCAAAAATCTTTTTTTAGTGCAAAACAGCAATTTCCAGAGATTTTCTCAATTTCTAGGAGGTTCCAGAACATGGATAAAAGTGCAATCTGATAAAATTCGATAAAATATAACAATTTTTTCTCAATACTAAAGTCAAGAAGTCTTGAAGATGATAAAAAATTTCCAGCTACAATTTAATACCGTTGTGTTTTTCGTACTCGAGTAACTCGAAAAATACCAAATGAGTAGTTTAATCTCATTCTTATCCATAGTTGTTTAATCCATAGTTGCAAAATCATGGGCCGGCCCGCCTTCTGTGCAGACGGTGATTTTTTTAAAATTTTTATCGAAACTTTTGAAATTTTTTCAAAAATTTGAACAAAAACTAACTATTTTTTGAGTACGTTCCACTCTGTTAACTTTGTTCAAAAATTTAATTTTTTTTTCTTTTTTAATTGAAAAAATGACCCAATTTTTCATTGGAAATTTTTCCACTCTGAGAGGCAGGCCGGGCTGAGAAAATGCCTCTTTCGGCCCGGCCCGTTGCGACTATGGTTTAATCAAAACTAACTAATTTCAATTTTTCACAAGATATACAGAAACACAGTACTCAATTGATATTCGGCATTTTCAGGAGTCTATAGCTCGACTGTCAATTTTCCGATCATTTTGAAAATACTCGAGAATGTGAAACTGACCTAGATTTAAAATTGCGTTTACAGAATTTTCAGAAAGTTTCTAGATTTTTTCATCTCATTGCCGATTCCTGAAAGGATTCTTATTTTTCAGGTTTTCAGTACAAAAACGGACCAAAAAAGACACAGGGTGTCTTTCAAAAATAGGGGAATATCGAGAAAACCAAGGGTTTTTCGAAAATTTCTGGATTTTAGGTCTGTTTTACATCTTCTAAAATTCTCAAACTGATCGGGAAATTGACTGTCGAACTCTAGATTTCGAAAAAGGCCTAAAATCCACTGACTGGCACTGCACATCACCAAGTTATTCAGTCAGTCAGTATTGATTGTACAGATATTTTCAACAAAAAACACTCACTTCAATTCGTCTGGAAGACGTCGGAACCAACGGTGTTCGATTGCTTCCGACAATTTCATTCGTCCCATTGGTTCGTAAGCAAGCATGTGCTCGATAATTTCGAACAACTCAACGTGCTCTGGCTCAGTGCAGGTCATGGAGCGCCTGAGTGGCTTGCAGTTGTCACGAACGTAGGCAGCATCCGGGGAAGATTGCGCCCAGTCCAAGCGGCCATTGACAAAGAACTTGGTTCTGTAATTTTGCAAATTAGAATCAATTGAATCTTGGGAATGACTCACTTTGTCTTCTTAGCCATTCTTGGTGGAATATCTCCAAGCACTCGCTCCATCATCGCCAAGTGTTCACGGTTCTCGTGAGTCTGGAAGAGGGTGCACCCAGTGTACAGCTCGTAGAGAATACATCCAACAGACCAGACGTCGCACGGTTGATTCCATCCGAGTTCTGCGAATTCAGATCTTATTTTTCGTATTTTCTAAAGGAAAACTCACCAAGAATAACTTCCGGAGCTCTGTAATGGCGTGTAGACACAATCGTTGAGTGATGCTCATGATCGAAAGTGGCCGATCCAAAATCGATCAATCGAATTTGTGTTTCTTTCAGGACTTTGGTCGGCTTCTTGTCCATTACTTGGGTAGTGTAGTCACCAGATACGAACAGGATGTTCTCAGGCTTCAAGTCGGTGTGGGTGAGCTTGTTCTCGTGCAAAAACTTGACTGCCTTACAAACTTGCCACGCGATGTGCATCGTTTGGTTGATTGGATAGGGACGATAGTGATTGTTCTTCTGAAAAAAACGAAAATATTGGAAAAGGAGTTTTTGGGGTTTCGATGACTCAAATGTACAGTACCAGTCAATAAGATATGCAAAAACGTTTTTTCAGTTTATTCTCGCCATTTTGACCATTTTCAAGAGTCTGTAGCTCGGCTATGAGGTTCCCGAACGTTTTGAAAGTTTTGGTATGTGAAAACCAGACCAGATGGAAAACTGTGAATTCACAGAATTTTATGAAAATTCCTAGTTTTTCAGCTAAATGCCGATTTCTGGAAAACACATGTTGTCAGTGAAAAAACTTGCCAACAATAGATATTTCTCAGAAATATGGAAATATCTGAAAAGCCAGAAACTTCCAAAGAATTCTGTGAGTACAAAGTGTTAAATCTAGGTTTGTTTTTAACCATCCAAAATTTTCAATGTCATCGGAAGCTGGTTAGCTAAGACTTCTAAAATTGGTGAAAATGGCCGAAAATTAGCGACCGGTATTGTAGATGCCACGGAATATTTTCAAATCCAAAGTCTCACCAAGAAGTCGAAAATCGATGGTCCCAACAAATCAAACATCAAGCACATGTGTCCTTGGTATTCGAAGTGGCCTCCCATGTGAATGACCCAGCTGAAAAAATAATTTAATTGAAAAATATTATCAATATTTTTTTTATGCCGAGCACCCTTGTTTTTTGGACTACGGTATGTCAAAAGCCTATGAAAAGTTTCCTTGTGGGGCTCAAGCAAATTTATTTTAGTATATTTTCGCGTTTTCGAAACCTGTTCATCAATTTTTCACGAATTTTTCGGCGTTCTCGTGGGATTTTTACTTGACATTTGAATATCGAAAAAAAACAGAATTTTCAAAATTGGAATATCCTGATATTTCAAAATGTTCGAAATTCTGGAAAATTTCAAAAAAGCCATTCCGAACATTCCAAGAACTTTGAACATTTTTTAAAATGATTCGTAATGTTTCCCTTCATGATTTTCCCCAGATCCCAGTTATGGGCCCCCATTATTCCTCATCTCTTCCCAATCTCTCATAAATCTTTCACTTTTCAAATGTTATCATTAAAAGTGTAAGTGTAGGTGTAAGTGTGCACACATTTCTTTTGCTCGCTTCTTTCTTCTTCTTTTCCAGAGTAGTGTAATAATACACGAAAAATAATCGATTAAGCTTGTTTCTCTCACACTACAACATCTTTTCATGTTCTTCCGGCTCCAGGAACATGACATATCTCTCTTCTTCTCAATCACAACCCTTTTTTCCGGCCAAGTTTTTGTCCCAGAGCACTCGCACTACCTATCATCGTCTTTTTTTCTTCTAGAAGCGTTTCCTAGGATTCCCCCATGCTCCGTCTCTCACATCGAACAGTTGTCTTTCGGGAGCAGTGGTCGGGAAAGAGAGCGAAACCGCAGGAAGAAGAAGAAGAAGAAGCATCCGGAAAACTCGAAAATCACTCCTCCTCCTTCTCTCTCTCTCTCTCTCTCTCTCTCTCTCTCTCTCTCTCTATCTATCTATCTATCTATTGATTGGTGATTCGTCAAAGAATCAGGAAAATTTTGAGACTCGCTCATCCGTCATGTGTGTCGGGGGCCCATGTGTATAGAATCTAACACCATTGAGATTGAAAAGCATGAGCGAACGTCAACGATATAGACTTTACACACTGGGATTTCGACAAGTGAACTTTGGAAAAAAGGCACTAGGGGAATCATGTGATTTAATGAGCTAATGGGCTAAGTTATGAGGTCAGCAAAAATAACTTCGAACAACTTGTGACTTTACAGACTTTGAATTTTTAGCAAATTTTATAACCAGAGTTTCACTTTTTTGTCCCATATACAAAAACGCATTTTTCAGTTGCTTTTCTACGATTTCAAGGGTCTGAAGCTTGGATTTAAAGATATCGCTCATTTTGAAAACTTTGGAAGATGTAGAATAAACATAGATTAAAAACTTTGTACTCGCAGAATTTTCGAAAAGTATCTACTTTTTCAGCCTTTTTGCCGATTTCTGAAGGATAGTCCAAGAATAGGCCAAAAATGATATCTTTCGAAAGTCGGCAAGTAGCTCGAAAAACTAGGAATGTAATTCTGGAAAATAATTCTGGAAATGAAAAAGTTTCAATTTAGGTCTGTTTTAGACTCTGCAAAATTTTCAAAGTAATCGGAAACTTGACAGCCAAGCTCTAGACTCCCGAAAATGCCAAAACTACTCAAAATTCCAATTTTCGAATTTTCACAAATCAAAACACTCACTTTTGTTTCTCCTTATCTCTCTCCGACAACCTTTGGAGCACCTTAATTTCAAGTCTGGCAGCTTCACGGTACTTGTTAACGTTCTTGATAATTTTCAGCGCCATGAAGTTGTCAGTGACCGTATCGATGACTCGAACAACTTTTCCGAAGGTTCCTTCTCCAAGTGTTTCGTGGATGACAACTGGAAAAAGTTCAAATGTTTTACAAAACACAAAAAAACACTCACATCTGTTCAAAATGAAATCTCCCTTGGAGTAGACCAAATGACCATCCTTATCATCTCTCAACTTGTCCGTGGCCAATGGATTCTGCTCGATAATCTTGCTTCGGTTTTGTTGAGTCTAAAAGAAGCAGATTTAAAATTTTGAAAATCAATTTTTGGGTTAGTACATTAAGGGGTTAGTAGTTTCATGCCAGTTTCATGCCAAGAGTACCTGTAAACCAGTTCTAGACGGTTTCCGTGCCTTATCACCACTAGCAATGATTTTATCAACTTTTGCAGATACAGAAGCTGGTAGTTGGAGCTGTGTTATCAAATTTTGAACCGCTGCAGATTTTGGTTTTTGAGCGCCAGGTGGTGGTGGTTCTCGAATGGTTGCAGTAGTAGTCGGCTCTTCTGGAGGTGCACCTTGACCTGCTCCAGATCCTCCTTGAGTGGAAAACGCAGCAGATACGGCATTCACAGTTTTCTTAGCACGTTGCTCATCGGTTTGCTCTTTGACATTATTGTTGTTATTCAAGCTCAACCCAATTTCTACACCAGATTTCGATCCAGTTAGTAGTGATCCTCCTGGTACTCCCTCTCCAGCCATTTTCTTTTTTCGAAGAGACAACTTTTTTTCTATCAACCTCTTCTCGTCATCCGCTGGTGGTGGAGCCGCATGACTTGTCGATGGCACATTTGGACTGCCAATTGCACATATCGTGGTACCCGATTTAGATCCATAAGCTCGTCGGAGAGCCTTCGGACCACCCGTAGAAGTAGTGGGAAGTTGACCATCTTCCGGTTCTTTGGGAAGAAACTCAATGCCGTCAATTTTATGTACAGCTTCATTTGGTACTATTGGCTTTGGGGGAGCGCCAATTGATCGTTTTGGCTCGGGAGGCTTTTGAAGAGAGTTCTGCTTTGCGACAGGTGGCCTTGGTGGAGCTGCAACATTTTGAACAGGCGCTGGTTGAGCGGGGGCACCGTCCCTCAGAGGAGCAATCGCTGGAGCAAATGGAGAAGGTTTAGCAGGTGTTGGCTGGGGTTGAGTTTCAGCAGAAGCTAATTTCGCCCTAGTAGACGCAGCGGATGGAATCCTTAGCACGGTCTTCTCAGTTGGTGGACCATTCTTGCTCTTCAGCTCTGTTAGTTTTCCAGAGACTTGCTTCGAAATTGGAGATGGAGCAGGAAATTGGTTGAAGCTTGATGAACCTTCCTGTTCAGCCAAAGGAGCAACAGTAGCTACTGGAGTTTTAGGAGCAGCGGGCTTTGTTACTGGAGCTCTCGCGGGTACTGTAGTTGGAGCAACTGCAGCTTTAGATTTTTCCGCCAGTGGTTTTTCAGCGTTCTCAATTCTCTCTATTTTTTCTGGCTTCTCGGAAACTGCATGTGGAGAAGGAAGTTTGACAGGATTTTGAGTAGGCGACGGATTCGGTGTCAACTTTTTATGAGCGGGTACCGCTGGTGGTACGGTAAGAGGAGTAGAAGTTTTAGAAGTGGGTGCGAGAGATGGTGTAGGAGCTCCAGATTTTATAGGAGTCATCGGGCTGGAAAGACCTTTCCAGTGGTTGTAGCTTTTGTAGAGGTGGGGGTCAGAGACACATCTTCGTAAACTGGCAAGTAGTTGAGTATTCCGGCGACGAGAAACGTAATTCTTGTATTTTCGTTTTCGTGGAATAACAACAAGTGGTAGACGACGGAGTGCCAAAGAATTGGGATTGGCAATGGAACCAGCGCCGCCGCTGCTTGCCACTTTTTGATGAAATACTGGCATTTCTTGGGGAGGACCTACGACTAATATCGGTGGTGGTTGGGGTTGCGCTTGACTTTGCACCGCCGATGTCTTAAAGACAATAGCAGCTGACTGGATTGGTGGCGCGTTCGAAAGTACAGCTCGTTGAGGTAATCGATGAGAGATGTAGTGACGACGTGAGACTAGAGGTGATAAAAGATGATGGTTGTTCGTCGAGGCTGAAGGCTCACGCGACGATGATTGTGGGTTTGGTGATGAGCACGCGGTCAGACAGTACGGTGAGACCGATGGAGATGAAGGGAATGCAAATGACGTGGATTGGTCCACCGTCGTCGTTGGCACGGCCACTTTGGAGGTGGCCCTAGAGGAATGCAAATGTTACAGACACTGGAAAAGAGGAGGATGACTCGTAAATCAAGAAAGTGAGAATTTTGAAGCTAAGGTAAGACAGAATGACATGAAAAGAGATCGGAATCCAAATCCAATAGAAATCAAGAAAGTGAGAATTTTGAGAGAGCTTAGGGTCACAAATTCCGTTAAGACATGTCGGATAGAGTTCAAAAACAGCTGATCGCAATTTTTTTAAGTTCTCAAAGTCAAGCGAAAAATGTCAGGTGACTTGTTAAGTCATCAATTTAAAGACACTGAAGTTTGGAAACCGAAATTTTTTAGAATGAAATTTCTTAAGGTTTTGGTCAAAAAACTAGTAACTGGTTCAGTTTCAAAACCGTGGAATTTGGAACAAAAAATATAAGGAAAAAATCTCAGCAGGTGGTCAAATTTGAATGAACTTTTTAATACAAAAATGACGCCATTTTAGTGATACAAAAAAGTGAACATCTGGGTTTTCCTGCAGCTGGGATCTTCAAATTAGAAAAGTTCAAAAAATTGATCTGCAAAGACTGAGGGAAGGACACCTGGTCTAACAATTATCTGAATCTGAGGGATCTCAAAACTTTTGAGTCAAACCTGTTGCTCAAGTTTCGCGAATCAAAAAAATGATAAGAAAAAAGATTGACGTTCTTGTTCGTTGTTCGATTTTCCTACTAGCGATCGAAAAAGAGAAAAAAGAAGAGGAGTTCGTAAAAGAGATACACATACACAAAAATAATAGGTATCTCGGGCATCAGGCAGGCTTCAACGGTCCCGGGAAGCCGAGAAAGAAAGGATCCTTCTTCATTTTTCGTAAGACACGACGGTGAGGAGACACAGAGCCGCCCACCACTGAGCACAGAGTCGGCGAAAGAGATATTTCACTTTACAATGAACTGTGCCTTCTTCTTCTTCTCTTCTTCTTCTTCTTCTACTACTTCCCGCGGGAAGAAAGAGTGAGCTTGGATAAGAAGACCGAAGCAATAGATGAAAAGCTCTTCGAGCAGCAATTTTAAACTATTTTTCTGTCTCTATCCGATCACTCTCTCTCTCTCTCTCTCTCTCTCTCTCTCTCTCTCTCTCTCTCTCTCTCTCTCTCTCTGTCTCTCTCTCTCTCTCTCTCTCTCTCTCTCTCTCTCTCTCTCTCACTTTTCCCTCTCAGTGGTAATGTCCTCTTATCCGGGAGTGTGTATGTGAAGATCAGGGACCCCTCTCTCCCTCCTCGAAATATATACACGCTTATACACGTCACCGATACGTGTTGGATCACTTCGTTTTTCCATTCAGCTCCGGTGTCACACACATAGAAATGAACAGGAATCCGAGGGAGTGGAAACAGAGCATTGGATAGAGCTCGGTGAGCATGCAGAAGGAGGGAATTGAATCAATCAATATTTTGAAATCCGAAAATTACTTCATGATCGAGTATTAGCAATTAGTTGGAAGGAGTACCTAATCTTAAAATATATATTTAACTATTGGGAAATAATATGGCTGATTGTTTATGCATAACCCTTAGTTACTAACAGATGGGTCGAAGGAAAAAGGGAAAATGGTGAATCGAATGAATCAATATTTTGAGAACTGGAAATCGCTTGATGGTCGAGTTAGCAATCAGATGGAGAAAGTGATAAGGACTTATTCTACAGTACCCGTTACATGAGGAAGTCAATTGAACACGATATCTAAAAGATGTGCTTGGTATGAAAAGTATTGGAAATTCCTCAATACATAAATCGAGAGAAAAGCTCCACCAACCGTAAAACCTTCCATAGAAGGGCCCCATTACTTTTAATTTTGAGCTAATTTATCTCGTTTCCTGTCGAAGATATCAAAACAATTGTTAACTGGTAAATTTTTCATAATAATATCAGAAATATTTTATTAGTTGACACATTTACGATATCTTGCCCAGGAGCCGAACAAATTAGCTTAAACTTGACGGGGTGGGGGCTCTTCTATTACAGGTTTCACGGTAATTCTGCAAGATTGAGAATTTTCAACAACTCGCAAATAGTACAACTGTTATGACTAACCACAAACAGACTTTTAGGAAGAGCGCTGAATGATGAATAATATTATCTTGCACGAAACCGTATTTTCGAACTGGTTTACAGATTTTTCCCTCTCTGAAACAAACGAAACCCAAAACACAAATGACTCACCCCTGGACCCAGCTCCGGAATCGGTGTTGGCGGTGGTGCTTCGACGACTTTGACCCTGAAAATTAGCATGGATTACAAAAAAGACTAAAAGCTGAAGTTTCACATTTGTTTTTGACTCATTTCCCCTTCTGAAGTATGAGTCATGCTAGTGGTTTCTCATTTGACTAAAAAAAATTTTCCTGCTGTACGATTTTCTGATTTTCTCTCAACATTTTGTTTTAATTTTTGAGTCAAGTTTCTCAGTGAGAACCTCTCACAACTCACACGTTTCGAAATTTCCTGAAAAACCAAGCGATCGCACGGGACACCGCCATTTAAAGGGGGAATAATAGGAGTGAGAATGACAAGTTTTGTGTTGAAAAGAACTACAAAAGCGTTCCTGCGGAGGAAGAGTATTGATATTTTTCTAGCTTCTCGTTGTTCTTCCTCGTTATTATTTAGTCTACTCAAATGTCACTAAAAAACTGACGAAAAAACAACAGGAAAATCAGTGGCAAGAGACAGTAGACACTTATTATATGGAAAGGGAAGGGAAATTCCTTAAGAAAAAAAATATATAGAGCTAACCAAAAACCAAAAACAAAACGCTAATCATATGGGAATCACCCAAGTGAGATGTTTTGGTTGCTAAGGGTCAGAGAGAATAGAGGGAATGAGGAATGAGACATCATGTTCTCACTCCAACGCATTTTTTCTGTCGATGGACATGATGATTCATTTTTCAGTAGAACATTTATAAATTTTTGTCAATAAACAAAACAATATACGATTTGCGGGCGATTCTAATGACAAAAATAAAAAAATGACCATTCGAGCGGAAATTAGAAAAGGCTTGATTGATAATAATTTCTCAGTCCTACTAGAAGGGAGGGAGAAGCTTTCAAGCGATATTGTAATAATTTTCAGATACCGTAAAATCCGCAATTTAGAAATCCTCATGATTTTAGAGCATAGAAATCTGATCCTGATAATTTTGAAAACTAAAAATCTGATTTTAATAAATTCAAAGCTCCGAAATCTGATTCTGATAACCCAAAACCCTCAAAATCTGGTTCTGATCATTTTGGAACCCCAAAATCTGATTTAGATATTTCAAAGTTTCAAAATCTGATTCTGATAACTCAAAACTCCGAAAATCTGATAATTTCAAAGTCTTTGACTCAGATTCTAATAACTTTATAGCCCCAAAATTTGACACTAATAATTTTAAACCGCAAAAATCGAACTCTGATGATTTTTAAGCCATCAAATTCTGATTCTGATGATTAAAAACCCAAAAAATATAATCATGATGATTTTGAAGCCAAAATTCTAATTTTGACCATTTTAAAGCTCCAAGAACTGATTCTGATGGTTTCAACTTTAAAATTAGATTCTAGTAATTTTGAAGCCAAGAAAATCTAATTTCTGTTAATTTTAAAACCGATAAAAATCAGCTTCTGATAGTTTTAAAGCTCTGAAATCTTTTTCTGATGATTCAAAAACCCCACACAGGGATTTTGATGGCTTAGTCTCACTAGAAGAAAGGGAGAAGCTTCTAGGCAATGTTTCAGCAATTTTGAGTCACTGTAAAAGCCCAAATTTGAATACTAGTGATTTTAAATTCTCAAGATGTAGCGTTAAAATCATTTGAGTCATATTTTGGGAGATTAGAGATACTAGTATCTAAATTTAGCATTTTACATTCGCTAAAATTTGCTGAAACATTGCTTTAAAATCATCAGAATCGTAAAATGTGATTCGAACAATTTCGGAGCACGAAAAATTGATTCTAGAGATCAGAAAGCTCCAAAATCTGCTTTTGAGTCTCAAAACAAAACCTAGCAAATATTCTAAAAAGTCCTTCACCTGCTAGCAAAATTTTTCAAGTCTTGTCAACACTGATTTTCGGATACCATTCGAGAAAATCTATTGTAAGCTCCGTCTAAGGAATACTGGTTGGCGGCCATGATGAAAATTTTCGGTGGGTAAGGAATGGAGAAAAGGCGGGAAATGGCTCTGCGGCTTGAGAAGGTGCCAAACGCATAAAAAAAATGAGTGCGTATAAGGAATTCCTGACAGAGATTGAGGTGGCAGGACGTTATTATTTTACAAGGGGGAAATGAGAACCTTTCTTTTCTATTCCCATATTTTTTCATGGGGAGATATTTATTTCTTAAGGGTACATTTTGAGTTTTTTTCCAACTACAGTACCGGTCAATGAGATTCACAAAAACGTAGTTTACTGTTGATTTTTGGCAATTTTGACAATTTTCAAGAATCTGGAGCTTGGCTGTCAAGTTTCCGATCACTTGGAGAACTTTAAAGAGTGTAAAACAGACGTAATTTGGAACATTTGCATTCACAGAATTTTTCGAAAATTCCTAGTTTTCTAAATAGTGTAAAACTAGGATTTCTTAAATAAATCTGTGAATGCTAATTTCTCAATCTAGGTTGGTTCCACACCCTCCGAAACTATCCAAGTGATTGAAGACTAGCCAAACGAGCTCTAGACTCAAACATCCAATGAAAAGTACGCTTTTAGTATATCTTTTCGGCTGTTACTGGACCTTTCCAGTAATTTTTTAAGAAAATTAAAACTCACACTTCAATGGAAATCGACTTGACCGGAGTTTTCTTCTTGGGTACATTAATTGTATGGATACTTTGTGGGAAGAATTGAAAACCTTCTGGCAGAACAATCTTTGGTGGTGGACTCGGTGGTTTTGTAGTGTCGGAGCTCAGTGTGACCACTGAAGGTGTTGGACCCGCTCGTTCATTACTGATAATAAATGGTGGTCTTGGGGACAGTTTTCTGGCGACTTGTGGCGGCTTTGGTGGTTTCCATAGGCCTAACCGTTTCAGCTCGGCCTCCTCTGCTTCCTTTCTCTCCCTCTCGATCCTCTCTTCTTCTGCCCGCGCCTTCACTCTTCTTGCATCGATTTCTTTCATCGCTATAAGGAATGAATCCGAACTGGTCCTTCTTCGTGGCGGCCGTGGTGGATTGGATATCCGAGTTTCTTCTTCCAATAACACAACCGGGAATTTTATTCCATACGATGAGGATCGTGTCGATTTTGTTGAACTTGTTGGTTTCCGTACAGATCGATATAATGCCTTCCAACTTGTTATGGGTCCATGAAGCAGTATAGGTGATCCTTTCTTTTTGATACTTTTTGCTGGCTGTTGAGCTGCATTGCGAATACCAGGTGGACCAGCATTTGGAGCTTTTTCTTGAACTGGACGTCGGGCAGCACCAGCAGCAGGAGGACCTTGACGTTGGGCAGCACCAGCAGCAGGAGGACCTTGACGTTGGGCAGCACCAGCAGCAGGAGGACCTTGACGTTGGGCAGCACCAGCAGCAGGAGGACCTTGACGTTGGGCAGCACCAGCAGCAGGAGGACCTTGACGTTGGGCAGCACCAGCAGCAGGAGGACCTGGACGTTGGGCGGCACCAGCAGCAGGAGGACCTGGACGTTGGGCAGCACCAGCAGCAGTACTAGGAACTGGTTCTGGACGATATATTGGCCGTATACGTGGACGTACACCAATGCCAGGAAGTTTACCATTAGCTACACCATTAGCCGGTTGCGGAGCTGGATTTGAGCCTGAAGTTCCTGGAACAGTAGTGGCTGCCATTTTTGCAGCAATAGCAAATGCTTTTCTAGCAGCCCTGACAGCATTAGCCTTAGCAGCAGCAGCAGCCTTAGCAGCAGCAGCAGCTCTGGCTTTTTTCTTACTCCTAAATCGCGGCTTCGGATCACGCATTGGTCGTTCAGGTGTTAGAGTGCATGACCGACGCCTTTCGTACGGTATCCGCTTTTTTGGTGGCCGTCTTGGAGGGAGTGGTTTTCGTGGAAATTCTTCTGGTGGTCCAACAACTTTTTCAGGTGTGTTTTTGTTCCTATCCACAGATCCTCCGCCGGTTCTCCGCGGACAAGAAGATTCGGAATCCGAGTAATACCTTACAGGACTGGGTGTTCTTGGTGGCGACGCTTGAGTGATGGTAATGGCTCCCGGTATTCTGCACATCCATTGATTCACTTTATTGAGAAGTTTTTGAGTTGGCAACTTCCATGGACTAGCCCGATCGCTCATCCGTGAATGGCATCGAGAAGGAGGAGCTTCGTATTCAAAGTCCACATTTGCTGACGCTTTCACCGGCGCTTTTACCCACGGCGACGGTGTTCTTGCAAAGTCTCTGTGATGTGCTGTTGGGGAAGAAGTCGGTGGTGGAGCTGGACCATTCTGTGTTGCAGGTGTCGGAAGTGATCTCACCGGTGTTTTTGCTTTACCATTGGCTCTGAAATTACGGAAAATTAAGTTTTAGTCATGTTTTATATGCGGGATTAGTGCAAAATAACTATCCGCATTTCCTAGTCAAATCATTTCCCCGTAAATATTAACTTAATTTTGATATACTCTTGCCCAATTCTACAGAAACGAAAGTGCATTTCAAAGGAATTTTCACTGGGATGATTGGTGCTGAAAACTCTAAGCAGACGACCTCAAGTTCAAAAAGTAGACTTCAAAGGAACTACCAATGGTAAAGATAGAAGGTGGACCACTCCCAAAATCTGCATTATGCTGGATCAGCTCCAAATCTATCAGCTAGAAAAAAGGTTTTCTTTGGCCTGAGAAATCACTAAAACTCCTCATAAACTTCTTTCGGTTTGATTAGTTTAAAACCTACCAATGCAAAACTTCCTAGCACCTACATGATTGCTAAGACACCTGCAGGTCCGGATTGGATCCTGTGCAAAAGCATAACTTTTTTAATTCTTGTTACAGAAAGCTGCAAATGCCCTCGATTGCTAACGACATTTCAAAACAGCGCAAATTCACGATAGGACATTTCGGCTGTTCAACGTTTTTTTGAAAGTGATATTTTGTTTCGAATTTCTAAATCCTCATTTTCTGATCCTTCGGTTTTGCAGTTAGTTCAAAAAGACATTGCTAATCTAATCTCCACTGAATCTGGGTAAGATCGCTGAACAATGCGCCGCTACCATCCAGTATCTAATCAAAATTCACAATCGGACCTACACCGACGCAACTAAAATTGATTAATTTATCGAAAGGAGCCTAGAAAAGTCGAAATGTAGGTAGGACATTGTAGATTCCGGCGTTACAGTTAGTTATTAGGACATGGCCAGTATTTTTTTGAACAGAAATACTCACTTTTTCCTCCGTTTGGTGGCTTGTAATGCCGGTACATCTTGTGGATTATTCCTTTTTCGTGTTGCTGTTTCTTTGTAATTGACTTCCTTCCCCACTCCTCGTGCAGCTCGAGTTGTGACCATTCCTGAAAAAATAGTTTGATTTCAAAGTTTTTCAAATTTTCAAACGGCGCGTTTCGAAAACTAGAGTGCTTGAATAGTACAGAGGAAAATAAAAGAGGGGAAAGAAGAAGACAACACTGTTTGGACCTAGTCAATAACTCTGCGGTTCGGTCGATTGCTATTCTGGGTGGCAGATGCCTTAATGTCATCAGCAAGAAAAAGAGTGAAAGAAAGGATATTCAAAGAATTTCGTATTTGAAATTGATTTCATTTTGCAGAAAATGCGAGAATAACAAAATACTGCCTTCAAAATTTAAAATCCTTGAGAAAAAACGATAAAAACTAAACTAGTAGGGACAAAGAGAGCGAGAAAAACCAATAGTAAAGGACAAGAATGAGCGATGGTCCAGGTGGGGTTGTAGCGAGTCAAAACAATAATACACGTAGAATGATTGACAGAAAATCAATAACCAAAAGGTTTACGTGTTGAAGGAAGAGACGAGGCACTGTGGGCCACCCCGTTCATTGAGAGTCGAGGGGGCACAGTTGACCCTTTCTCTTGGGAAGAAGAAAAAAGGGTCAACTAGGACCCTCTCTTTCTCTGCGCCTCCTCCATTCTCCTTCTCTCTCCCTCTCCTCTCTTTGTTTCTGTGTGTGCGAGAGGGGGAAGACTGGGTGTTCGCGGGCCCGGGACCCGTTTGAAAGGACGGGGTGTGTGTAGATAGATAATTTTTCGCGGGTAAATTTTTGAATGGTAATGTTTTTAGAAAACGTATTTTTTTTATTTTCGAGCAATTCTGGCAAAAATAACAAGATAAAATGTTTGGGTTGAGTAGAGAAATAATTGAAAATGCAATACTTTAAACGAAAACTATTATGACAATTGAGTTTCATATTTTTGAGCCTGTTTTGAATATTATTCACTTATTTTGGAAAATCTACGACAAATAAAAAAACTATAAAAATGGTCGAAAATCTGAAAAAAAATAGGAACTTATCATCTAAAATGAGCCCGAATAATACGATAGTTCTTAACCTTTTGTCAGAAACTTTTGAACGTTTTCAATTATTCTTAGCTGTTTTTAATCAATGAACGTTTTTGATAGGAAGAGTTTGTTTCAGCGAAAGATTGAAAATTGAACATTTCGAAATTTTGAAAAAATGTAATCAAATTCTCAAAATTTTACTTTTGAAGTATATTTTTACTTACGATAAGAAAAAGTGGTGTCACTTTTTTTTTAACTTCCTGCGTTTCTTATCTCTCAAAAAGCACCTGGTCGATACAGTGCAAAATGAACAGAACAGGTGAACATTTGATTAGATTTTGGCTAGAACAAAAGTCAATCAGGGGAATTTTAACCCTACATTTTTGAGAAATATGTGAGCAATCGGAAAATGTTCTCTCAAAGAGCATTTAGTTAAAAATTAAGTTTTTAATTAGTCAAAACAGTAAGCACTGTCTCATTGGACCAGTTTCGCTCAAGTAAATTACTGTGGATAACAAAGATTGTTTTACATATTCAAATTTTTATGTCACTAACAAATCAGTTATTCGGAAACTAAAATCAGTAAATCAGAAAATATCTTCCAGAAAAAATCAGAAAATGTCAAAGTCGTGAAGTGAGAAATAGTAAGAGATAAAACCTAAAATTAAAGTATTATGAACACAAGGAAGCCGAAATCTAATTTTCGAAGTTTTCTTACCAAATTTGGTTTGAACTGGAGAGAGCACTATGTTATGATAAACAAAAAAGTGTTTTAGAAGGCAAAATTCAATAAAATGGCTAGAAGTCTCAAAAATGGAGTCAAGAACAACACGGGAAAAACTCCGCGGCGCAAATAAAAATTAAATTATGCTGAAGAGATGCGTAAATCGAAAAATAATGATTGATAAAGAAATAATTTGTGTGAAAATCATAATCATCTATTTTTCGTCAGAAATTTAACGTGAAAATAAGGCTTTGATAGTTTGCGATAAGTTTTTAGAAGAGAGATAAACGAATATTCGAATTTCGAAGATTTAGAAGAAATAGAGGAAAGAAACAGATTTCAAGAAAAGTGCAAGGATGAATCACGAAAAGCCAAAAATTGGGCCAAAAATATTTCTCACCTCAATTCCCACTAAACACCATAGACGCTCAGTTTGCGCCTCAAAAACTCCAGAATGAAAGCGGGCCGGGATGGCTCTCGAGGGGGAACCCGCCAGAAGTTTTGAACTAAAATTATGTAGACGTCTAGGCTCTCTTGACTTCGATCAATATATTTGAGTTACTCTGTACAACGTAAAATAGCTAGACCGGTCGAAAAATTGAGGGAGCGGGAAAGCGAAAGATTGGGCACAACTAAGAGGTGTTAGAGAGAAAAGTAAGTGAAATGAGAGGCTGGTGTGGAGAAAAAGACAGACCGACCAGAGTGTGTGCTTGCGCCGTGGCGACTGCCTCAACTAAAGCCTTCTCCATCGTTCCACTCAGTCTTGGTTGACAAAAAAAAAAGAGAGGACCTTGACTCTTTACACATTTCTTTTTGTTTTTCGTATTTCTTCTCATTCGTTATCCATCCATCTTTTATGTTGCCACACAAGGAAGATCTTCGCAACTTTCATGGGGGAACTGTCTAGGTTGCCAAACAAGGCGGGAGGAAACAAAAGAAGACTATGGAAAGGGCAGCTGATACCGGAAAACAAAAGTTATGGGGAAAGAAAAAAACCTCAATGTGTGCCTGTTTTAAATTATTGCATACTTTTTTGAAGATTTTCTTTTGACAAATCCCTAAAAAATGTTTTCTCATGCACTCATTTTCTACCGCAAAATAAGTAATTTTTCGAATAGCGGACTCCTCATTCAATGATGATAGTATAATTTTTCATCGAAATAAGCAGAAATGTCGAGGTGAACAGAAACAGATGGCTTAAATGCTTTGAGTTCTTCTGCGAGCTAGAAGATTGCCATGAAAAAATTCTCATTTTGAAAATGCGTTCTGAGAGAAGCAGTAAATTCTCAAATTTTAGAATTTTCCTAATTTTCAACTTTGAGCCAATTTATCTCGGCTCCCGTCCAAGATATTAAAATTTAGTCAACTGTTAATTTTTTATCACAATATCAGATCTATTTAATCAGTTCACAAATTTTTGATATCTTTCACAAGACCCCAGAAAAACAGGCTCGAAGTTCAAAGTTGATAGGGCCATTCTATTAGAGTGTTTACGCCAGTTTTTTTTTTCAAAATCATGATATATCTGATTTGACGAGTTGTGCATAACATTTTTTACTAAATATTGAAGTGATGAGCCGGAACCATGTGCCAAAATTTTAGACAGCTCGAACTTTTTGAAAATTCTGGATCCAAATCGAAAGTTGAGCAACGTTTTTGTATCAAAAGAAAGACGCAAATATGTATTTCATTTCATTTAACAGTGGCTGTTTGGTATCCTTTCAAAAGTTGTATTACCTACCTGAACTTTCTCCATTCCAAGGTTTTATGCAAATGAGAATGATTCAAAAGATTCGATTTGTAAAGATTGTCAAGTGTTCCTCGAAAAACAACTTTTTGAAGTCTCAAAACTTTCGAAAATTTCAAAGTTATATGAATATTTAGAGGAAAAGTTAAAACAGAAGGGCTAGAATACTTTCCAAGTGTTATTAATCTACCGTGAAACCTCTAGTAGAAGGGCGTCCCACTGTCAACATTGAGCTCCGTTATCTCGACTAATATCAAAGATATAAAAATATATGTTTCAACTGCAAAAATGTTAATTATAGTATCACCAATATTTTATCAGTTGACAGATTTTTGATATCTCTAATTGGAAGCGAGATAAACGCCTTAAAGTTGGAAGTTGAGGGGCTTTTCTGTAACAGGTTTTACGGTGTTCAAGACATTCCAACTGACGGACCGCAATACTTATTTTTAGGTACATTAACTATCCGTATCAAAAAAAATATTGATCTTGTTCCGCTTGAGACTCATAGATTACAAGCTGACGAAGGAAGCTTTCAATGCTGGAATCAATCAATTCAAATTTGGTGTTCAATCTTCCGGGAGAATTCGTTACAAAAACGGACTAAAGTACTAAGAACAACTCGAAGAAACGGCAAAAAGCAAAAAACGAACAACTACGGTCTCAGCTTTCAAATTGCTCACAAGTTATTAGAGTATCAGGTTTCGGATATTCAAAATAGGAAGAGAACACCTGTTTGCGCAGGGATTCGGATTAGGCATTCAACAAGTATAGAAAAAGGCAAAAAGGTAACATAACTGTGAGTATATAAAAAAATAAATTATACCTAAAAACCTAGTAGCCACACCAGGAGGTCTAAAAAAGTTGAGTTCAAAACTTGGTTCATTTAAATAAAACCGTTTGGCGCGCGGGTGACATCATAAGTAGAACGGCGGAGCGCCGTTGCGCGCGCAACAGGTTTAGAGAGAAAAGAGAGAAAGGTAACTGCAAGCGTAGCTATGCGTTTTTATTCAGCTTGTGGAAAAAAGGAAAAACGAAAAGAAACCAAACAAAGCAGAAAGCTTCTTCGCCATGAAGTACCATGAAGTGACATAGTAATATCTCCATGGTTAAACGTGCACTACCCACTTTTGAAGCACCAACCCTTGTACTCCCTCCTTTAATAACAATATTTTCCATCATTGCGTTTTATCTGTCATTTTAGATTTAGAGAAAAAAAATGTTTGAAGCCCTGTTCCTACGATAATCACAATTCACAAATTTCAAAAGTTTCACCTTTTCTGAATACCAGCCTCTTTGTTCCTCAGTGCACCATTCCGGACACCCGGCTCGTAACAATGCCACCCCAACCGGAAACTATTTCCAGACAGAGCAACGGTCCACACAAGAGTCAGAAACGAAATCCCCTCCATTTTCAGCCCTATCAGAACTGAAGACATTTAGAATAATCCTACAATATTCACAACGACCACTTGTTGTCTGCAGCGATATCAAGAGTTCAAAGTAAAAGAGAATCAAAGTTCACCGTTTGCTTTTGCTCCCAGAATAGATTTTCTATGCAAAATCCTGGAGCATACTGTAGAGTGTTATTTTACAAACTATATATGCTAGCTCCCAATTTGGACCATTCATTCCAAAGAGAATATGGTTGTGCTACAAAAACTTTATTTCGGTTCTGTTAAGGTTTCAAAGATTGGGAAAAAATAATGAGAATTGATGGATATTAGGAGTAGACAAGGGTATTCAGAATGTGACACTACTAGAATTTGAAACAGTGAGTTTGGGATTTTGATGGAAGTTAATTTTAGGGGAAACATCGGTCCAAAAGCAAGTGGAGACATCAGAAAGGTGGGAAAGTTCGCATTTGTAAATAAACGAATTGTGCAATAAAATCCAAATAAAAATAGCAGTTGTATAGGGTGTAACGAAGACGTGATTTCTTGAACAGTCTAATAAATCTAGAAGTTGCCCACGAAGTTGTTGATAGCCAACCAGCCCATGAAAATGAAGAATCCAATGGCGATTACAGCTGCAGCAAATTCCATCACTCTGATCAAAACCTGGAAAAAAATAATTCCACCTAGTAGCGTCCAATAAAAAAAAACCAAAAACGTATTTTCAGTTTCGGATATTTTTAACGTTTTCAAAAGTCCGAAGCTCGGCTGTAAAATTTCGCATCACTTGGAAAACTTCGGAGGGTGCAAAATAGACCTAGATTGGAAACTTTACATTCACAGAATTTTTGGAAATTCCTAGTATTTGAGCTATACGCCGATTTTTGAAAAAAAACACTCGTTTTTCACGTTTGTAGTACAAAAATGGGTCAAAACAGTAATTCAGGAATCGGCTAATAGCTAAAATTTTGAAATTTTACAAAAAAATTTTGTGAATGCAAAGTTTTTGGTCACAATGACCGAAAAGCAATTGAGAATACGTTTTTGTATATCTTATAGACCAATACTGTAGCTATTGGACTGCTCTTACTTTTTCATGAAATTGGCATAAGTACTTCTCCGGCTCCATGAAGAACCGAAGAATTTTCTGTGGAACGCGGACTGGTTCATAGCAAGTGAAGACATGGAATATTTTTTCTTCTTTTTTGTGCTCTTTGATGTACCTGCAGAGAAGGCACTTTGGAGCGGTTTCATCAGAAGTGTGATTGCATCTCATATTGAGGATTGGGAAGGGGTGGGTAAGCTCCAAAGTGAGCAACAACAGATTTCAGACAATGAAGACTCCAGTGGCTTCAAAGAAATGGGCGGAGCTTATCGACTCTCAAGCCCTGCAGAAATAGGCGGAGCTTCTGTCTATTCTTCTTCTGACGTGCAATAGAATACGATATCGCACGGAGGAGAGCCATGTTTTTGAGAAGGGAAGATTGTTCTGTCCAGAATTTCGGATGAGATCAGGAAGATTCTAGAATGAAGCGAGGGTGCAAGGCAAAGGAATTTTGACATACGCACGTTGACAAATTTTGTAATTTTTGAAGGAATTATAATCGTCACTATATTCAAAATCTATTTTGGGAAGGAGTGCGATTGAAAGATATCGATAAGAAAGATATTTTGATGAGACATTTGTCAAAGATCATAGAGTGGTAGAAGTGAGGTGAAAACGATTTCCCGAATACTTTAAAAACGGTTTCCCGAATACTTAAAAAAAATTATATTTTTGAAGTTGGAAGTTACGGTTGCCTTTGTTTCTCACAAAATCCATGAATCTCTTCGAGAACGCCTCTACAGTGGCACGGAGGTATTTTGAGGGTAACTTGGCCCGCCATTGGTCCAAACTTTTCCCCAACCACTCCAAATTAGGATGTGGACGTGCTGGGACCCTCGACTGAAAAATTCCACATGCGGAATTGTCAAGTAGAATCATGTCCGGCGACGAGGGTGACTATTCGCAAGTCTTGAAAAGTTGTGCTTGCATTTAACACATTCAACATCTCATTCTTCACCTTCCACCCTTTCTATATAAGACTTCTGACTTAATCCAGATAAAGCGCGCACCGTGTCCATATTCAGTACCCTTTTCAGACGTGCTCACCGACAATTTTCTGTTTTCTTTTTTACAAAACCCTCTTGAATACATAACAAAGAGCTTCTGACTTGACATTATACATGTCTGATCGTTTCAAATATTCCCCAAGATGTCTAAAATTTTTGTGATAACACGGAACTTTCCTCGTCTGTTTGATGTGATGTTTGAGAAGACCGAGTTATTGGTAACTTGACAGGTATCGTAAAAATGGTTTTCGATAGCGAAAAAACAGAAGATTTCCAATATCAAAGAACCAGGGAACAATGCTTGATTTTCGTTAACCGTAGTTCCCCTGATACAAGCTAACCCAAACCGTCACTCTTACGACAGACAATTTTATCATTTTCGAATTTAAATAAATATTTGTACTGTATCTCTCGCAATTTTCGAAAAAAAAAACATCTATTCTGATCTGACAACACCTGCTCCATTTTTGGTTCATTCTCACCTTTGATGATTTTTCCTTGGGAAGCAATGACTCATCATAATATCCCTGGTGCACATTTGCACAGTGCCTCGTCATTATTGTTCTTGCATTCTTCCAGAGGATCATGTTGTCCATTTTTTTAACAAGGTGAAATTTTAAAAACCATAAGATTTTTGACAGTCTGTACCTCGGCTCTAGTTAGAACAACTAGGGAAATGATTTCTGTACCATTTTCGACTATTTTTGAAATCTGACTTTTGACGTTTTTCTTGAGGGGATTCAATGTTTTATCTTATGAAACAGATGGAAATTTTGAAAAAAATTTTTTTCTAAACATATCATCCAAAAACTGAATTTCAAGGTTTTTCGGGATTTCCTAAGGTTGTGTACTTTTGAGATCTTTTATCTGCAAGACAACGATTTTCCAAGGATAATGTTCACGAATACATCCAAAGAATTTACAAAAATCTGCAACAGTTCCTTAGCAAGAGAAATTTATTGATATTAAAACATGAAACGAGTCATGATGCTTCAAAAATAAAAGAACAAGAGTATAGTTTCTCAGATACAACTCGATTATTATACGATTTGATCAAACGCCACATTATTAATTCAAAATTCAAGCTTAAAGTTGTATATGTTTGGGTTACCCATTCCCTAGGTCACCAGAAGAAAAATAAATTAAAATTTTAAAAAACAAATAAAGAAAAATTAATCGTCCTCGGCCTCCAAATTGAACAGTGGTGCGATTCGTTTTTCGCGTTGCGAAAAACACAGATCTTGGCAATTTTGTTCAAAGAGAATTGGAAGTTCTTCCATTTCTTCCATTGAAGAGCAGCGAGGATAGTGATAAGCGACACATACAGATGATCCCTTCTGGAAGTTTCGAAATTTGAAAATTATTGAAAAAAAAATGACATACCGGGCGGTACCATCTCTTCACAAACTTGGGGTCGACACCATCCGAGCAAGTATTCTTGATAATTTTGCAGCAACGCTTGTTGACCTCACCTGGAAGTTTTTAGGTTGATTTTATGTACAGTAACGGTCAATAGCATCTACAAAAACGTGTTTTCAGTTGATTTTTGGCTTTTTCAAGAGTCTGTAAAGTTTTCGATTACTTTAAAACTTAGTGAGTCTAAAACTTATCTAGATTGAAAACTTCACGTTCATAGAATTTTTTGAAAAATCATAGACTTTTAGGTATTTGTCAATGTCTGAAAAATACCTAATTTTGGCGGGTTTTTGCACAAAAAGTTGTGAAAATGGGTGTCTTTCAGAAATCGGAATATAGCTAAAAAACTGGAATTTGCAAAAAATTCTGTAAATACAAGTTTTAAATCTAGGTCAGTTTTGCACCATTCGAAGTTTTCAAAATGACCTTCAGAGCTCCAGTCTCTTGAAAATGGTTAAACTAACTGATAAATATATTTTTGTATATATTATTGACAGGTACAGTATATTCGTTGAGAAAACTCACACTCAGGATTGGTATCTAGCGGGATTGGATCATCAGCCAATGTTTGAACAATTTCGTTGGTCATATAAAGTTGAGCAGTAATTTCTGAAGCGTGTTTCCTTGTGTTTGGAACATATCCTCCAGTTTTTGGCCAGTATAGCAGAGGACTAGTTGTTGTAGAATGTGTTTCATAGAAATCAGGTGTCGTTGCGAAATCTTCCAAGCCGTGTGAAGCGGTTGGGAGTTCTTGGGTAGTGGTGGTCTCTGGAGCAATCGTTGTCGTGGTTCTGGTTGCAGTAGATGGCATTTTAGTAGTATCATGATAATTTCTGGTGGCTATTCTCTCCTCTGTGACAAATGCTGGCACTTCTGTAGTTGTGGAACTTGGCGGATATGGAGAAATCACATTTGGCAATGTAACACTAGATGAGCTCAAAGCTCCAGAATTTATTAACGCCTGTCTCTGCCGATAAGCATCCACAAGTAGCTTGGAAAGTTTCCTATTTCTCTTCATGGCACTCTTAATGTATTTTTCATCTAATGGTTGATTGGTATCCAGTGCCTGCTCGATTCTTCTGAGCAAGTTGCTCACAGAGTGGTCATTGGATGGTCGGCGACTTCTTAAACCGCGCTCGGTAGATGGTGTGTATATTGGAAGGCCCCCAGCACGTCCGAAAGATTGAAGATGTTCTCGATAAGAAGGTGTTGGTGTAGAGGAAACCACGGCGGCAGAAATCCATTTGTTAGCGACTGAAATATTGCGGATGAAGGGAGACAAAGAAAAAAAACCGGTGGTAATCAGCTACAGTTAGAAAGTGGACACGCGTAATTAGGAGTACTTACTGTCATCTCGCCATTGCTTGTTTGTTAGTTGTTGTGTTGAGATATCAATAATTGGAGTGTTTGTATTGACCAGATTATCGGAGGGTTGAGGACCATAACGACGGTTTATGGCGTCGTCCAGTTTAAAAAGTTGCTCGGTTTCGCTGACGAATTTTCGTTTCATGGCTGCTTGCTGAGATTATTACAGATTGTAAGGAAATTTATAAAAAAGCGTTGGAAGACTTTAAAAAGTTTTTTTTTCCAAATATACAAAAATATTTCAGTTGTTTGTTGGCATTTGCAGGAGCCAGGAACTCCGCTACGAAGTTACCGATCAGTTTGAAATTTTCGAAGTTTGTAAAACAGATCGTTATTGAAAATTTAGCACTTACAGAATTTTTTGAAAATTCCTATTTTTTTGCTATTTACAAATTTCAGAGGGGCACCTGCTTTTCGGCGCATTTTTGTTTTTGTAATTGTGGTGTATTTCAGAAATCAGCCAAAAATCTAGGAAACCGTAAATCTTTTATTATAAGAGTCCCTCTAATAGAAGGGCTCTCCGCTAGGGGCTTGAAAAAAAGAAGTACCCCTGTAATAGAAGGGCTCTTTGATGTGTGCTTTTTTGGAAATTTCCGTAAGTTTCCATAGTGAAATATTTCGGTAATTCCACAATTTTACAGAAAACAGATTTTTAACAATTTTGAACAAAAATTTACCAACTTACTAATGAAAAATTTTGTAAAAAACCTTCGAAAATAAAAGAAAAACTTCAATTAAAAGTCCATGTAATAGAATTATCTTCCGGAAATACCTTGGAACAATAAAAGAGCAGGCCCTTCTAATACAAGTTTTACGCCGATTTCGAAAATTCTGTGAATGGGAAAATTACAGAAAATTACGAAATTTGACAGCCGAGTTCCAGACTTCTCAAATTAGCCAAAATGACCGCAAATAAACAGAAAATTATGTTTTTGTATATCTTATTGACCGTTACTGTAAATACCGTATTTGCTCTAATAGAAGCCTACCCTATGCTTGCTTAATCATTTCGGTTTCTTTAAAAGATATCAGCAATTTTTAACTGATAAGTCATTTATCATAATATCATCTATTTTTTATCAGTTGGCGATTTTTGATATCCTTCACAGTAATCGAAGTTATCGAGCTCAAAGTTGACAGTTCTTTTGGGCATCTATTAGAACTCACCGTTCTAACATCGGCATCTCTTCCAAACCCCATCTTTTTCATTTGTCTCTCTACCAAATCATTTGTAGATTCTGCAGTAGTTGCCAGAATCGGATCCCTTCCATACTGATCTCTACCAATCTCGACAGGAAGTGGCTGTTGTGTAGTTGTGGTCGTCTGTTCGTAATTGGCCTGTAACAGACTACCTTAGCAGACAGACACTGACAATTATTGCACTTTACTCTCTCTTCCACTTGTTCAATTATACCTTTGCACCCGTATTAGAAACTCGAAAGTGACATTCAACTCCCTTCTTTTAGCCACTAACTGACGAATCAGATTGGAGGAGGAAACGAGTGAGGAAAAATGACCTACAAAGCGCGGGAAAAGTATTGTGGAACGTTCAAGAAGATGAAACAAGAAGTGGAAGAAAGGAGAAGATAGTGAAGGGGGGTAATAGGCACGAGGCTATAAATCAAACGACTTGAATTGCTTTTTGAAACAGGTGGAGCGGTTGGTCAAAGATTGCATCTAAATTAGTCTACTTCTTTTTTGATGGTATTTTCTAGAATGTAATAGGAATTATCAGATAAAAGGTTTCAAGTCCCTATAGGCTTTGGAAATCGTTATCGACTTTCATTAAAACCAATTCCATATTTCCTCTAATAGAGGGCCAACCAAGCCGTCAACTTTAAGCCCAATTATCTCAATTTCTGTGAAAGATATCAAAATTTTGTCAACTGATAAATTGGTCATCATCATATTACCAATATTTTAGCAGTTGACAACTTTTTGATATCTTTCACAGAAATAGGGACAATTGGCAATTATCGTTTGGGAGTTGTAACTTCTATCAAGACCATAACTTTTTTTCATTTTGGTAAAAAATTGTGTACCATCTTTTCTCTGATAGCCCACCAAAACTGTCAACTTTAAGCTCGATTATCTCGATTACTGTCAAAGATATCAAAAAACTGTTAACTGATAAATTATTTATCATAATATCACCAATATTTCATCAGTTAACAAGATTTTTATATCTGATACAGCGATCGAGATAATTGAGCTCAAAATTGACTGTCCAAATAGGCTTCAATTAGAGGAAGCACGATATGAACTTACACCAACGCCACTAGCAGTCCCAAAAATCGTTATTCCTTCTTTATTCACAGTCTAAGCGTTAAAAATTCTACGCGACTAGCTAATAAAACTCAGATTTTTCTTTTTTAGATAAGCTTGTGTTCTAACGCCTTCTGGACTGTCTATGACCGAGTGGAATGTGGAATCACGGGAGGATACATGAGAAATGGGAGATGAGCTGAGATAGATAACGAACAAAAGGAGAGCGCGTGCACTTTAGATGATCAGAAATCGTGGTTTTTTAATTTTCAGATGATATGATGTGGTTTTTCAGATTTTCAAAGTAATACCAAAAGTGAAATGGTATTAATGGAATTTATGTGCAAAAAACATTTCGAAAATCGTAAGCTAATATAATGACTTCTAACGTTTAACTTTGAGCCAATTTATCTCGGTTTCGGTCAGAGATATGAAAAAGTTGTCAACTAATAAAACATTTTTCATAAAATGATAAACATTTTGTTAGTTGACAATTGTCTTGTATCTTAAACAGGAAGCTAGATAAATCCTCTCAAAGTTGCGACTCACCTGCTTCTCCGCTTCACACTCTGTCTTATCACAATACTTGGTTTCATATAAATGTGGACATAATCTCTGATCATTCTTCCTTCTTCTGTTAGCTCCTGAAGTGGTGGTTGGAGAACATCTCGATTTCTAACAATTAGACCTCGCTGACATCCACCATGACACTTGGACCAGGTTCCCCATTCCGATACAATGCATTCTACAACTCAGTTTGTTACGAAATTCTAAGTACAAAGATTTTTTTTACCTGATTGCGTTGATATCCGTATCAGGAAGCACGAGGCTAAGAAGAATGAGAGTTTCCAAAATTTCATTCTTGGATTACCTTTACCTGAAAGTTATTATAGCAAAATATTATTCAACGCTCCAAAAGATATAAAAGGAAGCAATAATTCAAGAAAGCTTGGATAAGAAGAAGGATAATTCTTCAAAAAGGGTGTGAAAATGAATGTTGTGTAAGAGGCATCGGAAAAATGAATAGTGCGAAGTGCCCCGCCCCCTATCAAGCCTTCGCATCTTCTGCTTTTTGTGGTTACTGTAGAGACGCGGAATGTCTCTTCTATCCCCCGCTGTTCCTGCGTTCTTCCCTCTTTTTCTTCCTCATCCAGCCCCCCATTAAGGATTTGTCGCACTTTTTTCCTCGCGGGGCGGCACAATTCACCTAAATTTTGAAGATAACCATCAGCAAAATCCGTCCGAAAAGAACGATGGCCCTTATTCCCTTTTTTCGGCGCGAGTCAGTGTTCCAATGTTTGCATTCCGATGTCAAGTTTTTGTCACATTTCTGTATTATCTAACGAATTTCAGTTTTATATGTGTCACAGTCGTTTTTTTACGAATCGGAAATTCAGACGCATGGCTATTGGACCAACCTCAAAAGAGAAGGTGTCATGATTTACGAACGCCGATCTTTTGATTTATGGACTCGGTAGAAGGTGGGGTCTTAGAAAAATGGGGATCCAAGTTTTCAAAATGTTTGAATTGACTCATTGAGAACACAATGGTCAATTAAATTAGTGACTGGTAGTATCCTTCATTGTGTCAGTTATCCTGCAAACCTTTTTTAATTTGATCTATCAAACTTTGAAATTTCATTTGAAACCAAAACATTTACCAAAAAATCGGGGAAAAACTGAAAATACGTGAACGGGATTGATGATCGAATGGAATGTACTATTTAGAGAAAAAACATGTAAATAATACGATAATTCACAACTGAACCTGATATAGCTAGAGAACCATTTTAAAATTACCCAATTGAAACCATGAAAGCAAGAAAAAAAATAATAAAAGAGGAAAAATAAGTTAGTGTCTAAATCTAGTGTCTCCTGACTTTCTGATAAGGCTCAACACTGCAATCGAAGTCAAAGCGGAGATCAAAAATATTACATCGAACCAGCGGTGATAAAAATTGAATTGAAGATCGCCAAGGATTCTGGTTAGAATGATACGGTACTCAGGTGGAACGTTCATCCGCATGAGAAGCACACTCGAGACGAAATACATTCCCATAATTTGAGCGAATCCGAGAACGATGATGTTAGAAGAGCGAACGTTGGAGATAGAAACAAAGAACTTGGCCATGGTGATTAGAAGACCTGGAAATGTGAAATTGAGGGTTTCTCAAAGACGTCCAAGACGTCTTCAGCACACCCTTTTGAACTTTTCAGTGCGTAAGCAAGGAAATGTATGTGGTAAAAGGATTTTTTCGGTATTTGCGAAAATTTAGAATTTTTCGGAATTAGGGGATTTCTTGGAGTTTGGAATAATAACATTTCTGTAATCTCAAACATTCGGAATTTTCCAATTATTTTTGAATTTCAGATTCATTTTTCAGAACTAAAAATAAAAACTCGTAAAATTAATTTTCGTTGTGTGGCATCAAACATATAGCACTTTTGAAATTCCGAAATTTCTTGAATTTTGGAATTTTTCCAGTTCGAAAAATTCGAAATGTGCAGAATCTCATTCTTAGCAGTAAAAAAATATTTTATTGAAATAACTACATTCGGAATGTCATTCCGAATTATATTTTTCGAAACTTTTTCTAAATATCGAATTCATTCTCCCACATTTTTGAGGACCATGTTCAAACCATATGGTTTTTTCACTTCTCTCATCCTCCCATTTTCACCCATCTTCTCACCTCGAACTGACGTGATCGCAATGACTCCAACCAAGAAGAAGGAGATGTACTGCGACCAGTATCGTACGTCCATCTCGATTCCAACATAATTCACACTGATCTCTATCATGCGGGTGACAGGGTCTACCTGAAGGAAAGAAAAAACCAGCTGTGTTAGTTTAATGTCTATGACTCATTTACCTTTCCGACACGGTCAAACAAAATGTTGATGAGGGAAATGAAGATTTTCCAGATGCAATATAGTGAGAAGAAGTGTCCAAGAACATTGAAGTACATTCCGAGGAACGTTTTGCTGGAACATTTTCATAATGGAACATTTTGTAAATTTTATGTGTTCACGAAAAACTGTATTCTTGCATACTTTTGGAAAGTTAGGGCCTGGTGTTCCCACAATTCATCAATTTTTCCGGCATTTCATCAATTTTTCCAAAAAAAAACTTCGATAAAAATTACTGTAAACCTGGGCTGAAACGGGCCGGCCGGGCCTAAAAAACTCTGGAAAAGCTCGGTTCGTAGAAAACATTTATTTTTCTCATCGTTTTAGAATTTCGGTCAGTTTTTTATCACTGAAATTTTCCAATTTTTTCATTTGGATGAATTCTCTATTTTCTCCGTTTTTTTTCCATTTTTGCTTCCGAATTTTTACCTGAACGCCACTCTATCCAACATATTCCTCAACTCCACCAATTCCAGAAACAAATATCTACTCAGCGTTTCCAATGGCTTGATTTCACTCTGCATTCGATTGATTTGAGAATGCAAGTTACTTTCATTAGTACTTTCGCTAAAGTTTGACCACAATTTGGACAGGAAACCTGGCTCTTGAGATGCTATAAGAAAATTATGTTGCAAAATTCAGTTCCAGGAAACTCACACTTCTCCGAATTCAGTCTTTTCAGCTCCAATTGATTTCTAGCTAATTTTCGCTTCTTGCTCACAATCATATCCATCGCATGAGTCAGCCTTTTCTCAAGTTGTTGTGCTTGGATGTTTTCTACAGGTCTCATGAATATTGTCATGTAGGTGTATGGAGCATTCACTGCTCCGAATCCTGACAGCACCGCCATAACTGTGACTCCAATAACACCAACTCTTGAGATGACTTGCTCAATGGTGAAGATTCCTAGAAAACAAAAAATCGTATTCAGATGTTTCTTGAAAATTACACAAACCATGTTTTGCACTCAAAGCTGGGAATGGATCTCCAATCTTCCAGAAGAAATAGAGGAATACGAACCAAGAGAAGAAGGTGAGTGGAATGTGGAGCTTCGATTGAACTGAAACCAGAAGATGATATGCTGATAAAAAAGGGAGACTCACTAAAAGTGACACTCTGTATCAACAAATACGCCATGTACATTGGAATGAGGACAACCAATGTGAACAGAATGATTGCTAAGCAGTTGGTCCAGCATTTTTGGCGAGATCTGTGAAAAATAATATGAATTTAGAACTTTTTGTAAAACTAGCTCAGTTCTAGCGGTGTGTGAAAATGCTAGTATTTTTTTTTCGTAAAAAACCTGTCTCAAGAAATCACAGTTACAGTTCCCAACACCGTCAAATTTGAGCTCTATTATCTCCACTACTACAAAAAATATGAAAAATGTGTCCACTGATAAAATGTGTCTGATATCATTATATATAATTTATCAGTTGACAACATTTCCACAGCTCAAAGTTAAAGGATAAGAGACCCTATGTTACAGGTTTCACAGTATTTCCATTTTTCACCTTATATTGATTTTACTAAACGTTCAAAATCCAATTTTTGATTATCTTTTAATTTCATTATCAAAAATATAAAACCAATAAACTATTTAAAAAATTCTAAGAACCAAAAAAATCCAATGGCCAAAAAAAGATCTAGGAAAGCGATAATTTTTGCAATCAACTAATTCCAATTCGAGAAAAAAAAAATCAAAAATGGTGGAAAAAACTCACAATGGATCCAAAACATCGGCGATTTCAAAGATGATCAACTCAAAAAGTGAGCAGGATAAAGAGAAAGTGAAGGAAAATATGAATTGAACAAGTCTGAAAAATTCTAAACTTTTTTTTCCAAATTTTCCCCAAGTCTTACCTATTATGCACTTCGTAATTTTTGAACAACTGTCTTGTATAAAATACCCAACCGGCTACGAAAAACACGATCAACGAAGCGAAAACCACCCAAGCATCATAACTCCCTTCCATATTTGTGCATTGATGATGGTTTTAACTTTTAATAAAACTTTTTGAAAGGCAAAAAACGGATTCTAAAGGTACTATTGGTATTGGCTAGGTACAAGTGTCATTTTTCCAACTGGGGAAGAAGATTTGCATAACAAAAATGTAAAAAAAAACTTCATAACATTCAATATACAAAAAATGTGTTCAAAAGACGAGAAAGAAAAAAAAACCACAACCATATTTTTTTTCAGTTAACCACAGATGTACTATTTTAAAGAACAAAGATTAGAAAGAGTTTTGTAGAATTGACAAGACGAAAAAGAACATTTGTGCACACGCGGAGCTCAAAAAGTATCACATTAAAGGTTATCGATAGAAAGTGAACATTTTTCGTTGAGGGTAATTAAGCCAAATAAATTGAAATAAGAGAAATAAAAAGAGGAACAAAAGTGATTAATGAATGCTAATTTTGAATAAATGACCATAGTTTTGGAAAAATACAGAGTATGACTCGGACACGGTTACCAGGTAAACAGGGGTGGGAAATGCCATTTTAGGTAAGAAAAAAGTGTAAAAATTGCAAAAAATAAATCAATTCTTCCGATGTTGATCTTCTAGAAGTTGACTTGAAGAGTTCCGAGAACCCGATTGAAACGAACGTCGTTTTTCGGAATTTCTTCTAATTGTTTCTTCGTGTTCATCCTCATCGTCTTCAGATGCACCAGGTGATGATTTCTCCTCCTCTTCATTTTTGTTTTTATCCGATTCAAGATCATCAGGAATTTTCTTCTCAGGTAGAGGTGGTTCAAATTCTTCTTCTTCGGATTCGGAGAGCTCGGAAGAGTTGGTTCGGTGTTTCTGAAAAAAAAACATTTTCGTACTTAAAATGAATATTTTTGCTATCCAAAACGGTTTGATCTACACCTGCTAAGCTAGATCAGTTCATAGTTCAGCTAGCGTAGCTAATAGCTAAAAAGGGAAGTGTTTTCAGACGGGGGTTGAGAATTTGCTCAAAATTTGTGAAAAGGTACTTTCGAACATGCTGAAAACGGTGTCAGCAATATCTCATCTCCGAATCCAATAGGAATCGAAATATGGGCTCTCAAACTGTTTTCAGTGCTAAATTTTGACAAAAAACGTTCATTTTCCGAGCTTTAAAACTTGTTTTAAAATTTTTTGTTGAAAATTTTTGAAAAATACCTTTATGGGGTGCCCCACATTTCAAAAGTTATTTTTTGAAATTTTTTTGAAAAGTTCCTAAAAAAGTCCCAGTTATTCAGAAACGATGAAAATAGCGTTCTCACAATATTTGACATCCCAATTTCGCTTTTGGGCTCAAAAAATCTCCGAAGAGTCGTAATTGCTAGAACCTTGACCACCCCTAGCTTCTCAAATATTGCTGGAAATTGGAATCTATAGAAAGAGGTTCAAAAGTTATATTTGATCGATTTAGAAGTACTACATTTCGAAAAGGGTAGAATTGAGAAGTTTCCAGAGGGTAGAACTTTCGTTTTTAACTATAGGATAATGTAAGAACCGGTCAAAAAGATCATCAATAAATGTTTCATCAAGTTCTCATAAAATCTTCTTTCTACTTTAAAAATTTTGAAAATTCATCAAATTGTATCATAAAGTGTCTAGAGGGCCAAACTGAAAATCAAAAACTCGTTTCGAAAATAGCAAAAAAAGTTTTACCACAGCGGGGTTCGAACCAGCATACTCACTCCTAATGAGTCACCCTCTTACCACAACACCACACAGCTGACATTTTCCTCTGGCGCGGAGGGCGTTGAGGAGGGAGGGGGATAGAGGAGAGAGGGAGAGCGCGAAATCGGTATAAAAATTTCAGACGAAGATTTCAAGCTTTCTGGTGAATCCGGGGACGAGATATTTCTGACATCGTGTATAGGGAGTCTCAAACTATAAGTACTAAAATTTTGAGTAAATTCTCAACCCCCGTCTGAAAACACTTCCCTTGTAAGCTAAATCAGCAAATAGCTAAGCTAGAGCAACTGGTAGTTAAGCTAGAGCAGCTGATAGTTAAGCTAGAGCAGCGAATATATAAGCTATTGTAGCTCATAGCCAGAGTAGTCGCGTTGCTAATCTAAAACAGCTGATAGCTAAGCAAGATCAGCTATTAGCCAAGATAGATCAGCTATAGTGGAGATAGAGCTACCATTAGCTACGTCGGAGCAGCTATTAGAAAAGCCAGAGCAGCTAATAGCTAAACTAGAGCAGCGAGTAGCTAATCTAAAGCTACTAACAGCAACGCTAGAGCAACTGTTAGCTAAGCTAGAGAAACTATCAGCCGAACTAAAGCCGCTGAGCTGGACCATAGAGAGGTTATTAGCTAATCCAGAGCAGCTATTAATCTAAGTTAACTGAAGCAGCTTCTAGCTAGAGTAGCCACGTAGCTGAGCTAGGGCATCTAATATCTCAACTAGAGCAGCTAATTGCTGAGCTAGAGCAGTAAATAGCTAGGCATGATCAGTTAAAGCTGAATGTAAGCTAGAACAGTTTTGAACTGAGCTAGATGCAGCTAATAGCTAAGCTAAAGCAGCTGATAGCTGAGCTAGAGGAGCTAGTAGCTCAGCTAGAGAAGCTAATCAGTTTTTTCTCATAACCGAGCATTTTCATCATAAATCTCACCTTCAATGGCTGGGAACTTGATCCACTCGACCCACTGGAACCCTCTTCACTGTCTACTTGACTCCTAGTTTTCTCTTTCTCCTCAGCTTGCTGAATGATTTCCTCAATCACGCGTTTCGCATCTTCCTCATCGTTCGCAATGTACGTCATTTCAATGCATTCCTGAACTCTGCTATTGTCGCCCAACTGATCCATTGTGAGCACTTGGTGCATCGCTTTTCCTCCGCTCCTACTGCTTGAATGACGTTTTCTTCTTGTGGATGAGTTGATTGTTGAGACTGGGTCGATTACAGTGGGCATTGAGGAAAATGAGCCGTTGAGACCTTCGACCAAACTCACGGTTTCGTATCTGCAAAAAAATGATGAAAATCTGAGATTTTTGGGCTTAATAGCGTTCAGTAGCGAAATAGCTACCATATTTCCTCTAATAGAAGCCCACTCAAACCATCCACGTTCTCAATTATCTCAATTCCTGTGAATAATATCAAAAAATGTGTCAGCTGATAGATTTCTCATCATAATATCACTGATATTTTATTAAGTTGACAAATTGTTGATTTCTTTCACAAGAATCGAGATAATTGAGCTCAAAGTTGACGGTTTGGGTAGGCTTCTACTGGCTTACTAGGTACTTATTTATTTTTTTTTTTCTCATAGAAACATCATTACTGATTAGTGCTGCCAAATATAATTAATAATTCTTACAGTCAGGCTTTTTTTTGGACCATTTAGATTTAATAAGAAATTCGATGTTTTTTGAGTGTTTTTGTTGTGAAATAACATTTTCCCTACTTTTGCTAACTCGATATCATTATCGTCACTTCCGTCTCTTTTTTCAAAGCGAATTCGGTGAGATTTGTATGTTTTGAATTTTTCCAAAAATTCAAAATGAGCTTTACACCTTACTTAAAAAGTTATGGCTCAGCATGGACCTGGGTTTTTCAAATTTGAAAAAAAAAATCAGAAAATATTCAAAAAATTTTTACTGAAAAAATATTTTGCAATACTCCTGCGTGTCATATTTCACGTCAAATAACGATTAAAAAAACTCACATCTGATTCCTGGTCTGTCTATGTGCTCGTAACCTGATCAAAGCTCGGAATGGTGATCGACAGATGGGACAGTTGTTGTGCTGGAAAATACATTTTCGGTAAATTCAGGAACTTTTAAGGCACATAATTAGGAGAGTACAATGATCAGGAGGGTACGAGAGGCTACCAAGCAGTATAGAGGTCCAAATTTTAAAACTTTTCTGTTAGGTTGTATTGCCGAATTGAGGGTTTTCTACTCCCAAATCGTTTTTCACCCCAACGACCCTAAAGTGTTTGTACCCTCTGAATGATCTGTTAACTTTTTTCAAACCTTGTATCTCAAAGAATCCGCACAATTACTGCATACACATAAATGACGGCATGGGAGGATTACTGTATCTCGAATATCTGATAAGCAAATGATGCATTCCAGGCCATTGTCGTCGTCCATCGATTCATTTCCTTTGTTTTCGATTCCAAAGATTTCCTGAAAATTGATATTTCAGCTAATTTTGATGTACTTGTGAATTTTTCAATTCTTATTTTCTTGTATCCTCACGAAAATTTCTTCTTTTGTTTCCTCTGATCAATTGGTGTTCATGAACCCGACAGAGAGATAAGATAACACTAATTAATCACGACCATTACACGCCTTTACAAGACACGATAAAAAACGCTACCTGTAGAAGATAGGTGACCCCGTCACAGGCGATTTTTTGTCGCAACGGCTTCAATACCAACGCTTTACTGCTGTCGTTTCCGGTCTGCAAAGAGAAGAAAAAAACATAGATTGATGTTGCTTTGTACAAATCACCTCTATCGTACACATTGTTGTTTGCATTTGTGTGCTTTCGACACCTGATGTTGTGATGGAGATGACAAATGGATAGTAGAGGCCAGCAGAATAGGAGAGCTGAAAAAGGGGAAAATTCTGATAAAAGATTGACACGAATGACCGGCTATACATGAAGAGCATGATTAGAAAATTGATTGTAAAATTGGACAAACCTTATTCTCCACTAGTAAGAATATTTTCAAAGTTTTTCATTTTTGATAATTTTGCAAGTCTCATGAATATTTAAATTTTACTACTTGCAACGAGGCGAGCCGAGTATCTAAATCGGAACAATTCTCCGCCGAGCACGCCACGGTCCGTCTTTTTCCTGTCTTTTAAACCATGCGTGTCGCGGGCCGTGCCGGGCCGGTAGAGGAATTTCAATGACCCGGAACGGGGATTTAAGGCAAAAAAATTTAAGAGCCATTTTTTGATAGAAAACTAGACTTTTAGGAACATTTTATCAAAATTTCTTTGTTTTCAGCTTTCAAAAGGGTCCTGTGCTAAATTTCGTACTTAAAAAGTATCAAAAATCAACAGAACAATTTTGAAAAATTCGGAACCCTGACCGGCGGGCACGGCCGGGCCGGGAACATTTTTTCCAGCCCGGGCCTGGGCCTGGCCGGGATTTAGCAATTAGTTCATTTTTGGACATTTTGACTAGTTTCAGACAACTGAAGCTCGGCTGTCAACTTTCCAACCTGTTTGAAAATTTGAAAGATTTCAAAACAAAAGTTTTCAATCTAGGCCTGTTTTCACCATACAAAATTTTCAAAGTGATCTATCAATCAACAGCCGAGTTCCAGACACCTGTAAATGGTTCAAATGAGCTGAAAAAGACGTTTTTGTATATATTATTAACCGGTACTGTAGATAAGATATATTTCTCTGCGATCAGTATATTTTCATTTATATTTTTCAAGAGTTTTCAAAAATCTTGCATTTTTGAAAAAAACACCTACGTCTGATGAGTCCCATAGTGTCGCATCAAACACATATCCTCCGAAATTCTGGTCTGCACCCATCTCGAAATGGAATGTTTCCGAGTTCTGCGCCCGTCGATTCCGATATGCGAATCTGAAAGAAAAAATCAATTTATTTTCCAAATTATACATTACAATATTTTAATCAACACCGTGACTTTTTCTCCAGCTAGCCTTTACCCCGCCCAAGTCTCCATGGAGACAAAAAAGACGACAAGCTCACGCGCTACAATCACCTTTCTTTCTCACCCCATATTATACTTGGGTTTTCACTTGCTCTCCTTACACTTTACTTTTTTAAAGATAATTTTTAGCCCATCCTAATAGAAAACTCACTGTATCTCCCCATCATGATAGACTTCTTTGGCATGGAAGTGCACTTGTATTACACACGCGACGTCACAGTCAAAAACAAATGTGAGTTGATACAAATTGGGATCATATTCGCCGTTATCCTTTTTGACGCGTTGAAATTTGACCGATTCCTTTCGAATGTTGACGAGTAGATTGAGCGGTCGTATTTCATCGTTTCCGAGTGGTCCGGGAGGGTAGGGGAACTGCAAAAAGGGCGATTGAATGGAATGGGATTGTCTCATGGAGGGAGATGCATTTGAATAAGAAATGAGAAATTCGTTTTTCTTAAGGAGAGGAAAAACGTTTTTCTTAAAAGGAAAAAAAAACGACGTTGTGCTTAGTAATTCCACCAGACGAGAGGAACAACCCTTCTTCCTCTCGTGACTGAATTCGAGCCAAAAGCCTTGCATAGGGAACATTTATCGAGCGGCGACAAACGGCGAACCTACATGTAGCCTTTCTGCTGCTCGTTTTTCATTCTTCTATTTATTAATTTTTCAAGTTTTGATATTAGTTTTTTTTTGGAAATGAATCTAAACACAAAAAAATTGACACAGCTTCATTTTTCTTGTCAATAATGTATCAAACTTTCAATTGGTTAACACTGTAATCGTTCCTCTTCCCTTTTGACTCGAATTATAGGCGTATAACTATGTAAATTAAACTGTTAATGAATATTAATAAAATTGTAATTCAGCTAAAGTTATGACTTTAAGAACTTCAGCTAAGGCTCGGAATATTATTATAGAAGCAAACCCAATCCTTCAATTTTTAGCTCAATTATCTTGATTCTTGTGAAAGATGCCAAAAAATTTGATAACTAATAAGTTATGCATCATTATATGACTAATATTTCATCAGTTGACAAAACGTTTGTATCTTTCACAGAATTCGAGATAATTGAGCTCAAAGATGACGGTTTGAGTGAGCTTTCACTGATTTTTCTTCTGGCGTGACGACAGTATTCTTGATTGAAGTTTGCCTTGATAGTTTAGCTTTCTTCCCAACTATTTTTCCAACTTTCGAGACATAAAACTCACACTTAGTGCTCTGGATCCTAATTGATCCAAGTCGCTATTCTCTCCGAATAGGTAGGCCTCGGGTCGTGCCATCTCAAACTTGCAGCCACACATGAGGAAGTGTGATCCGAAATAGGTACCTGGAAAATGGAAATTTTGAAGGAACGATGTTGTGAGGATCATGAAATTTCTGCTTATTTTTTTATGTCTCCAAAAATGTTTCAAGTAAAAAGAAAAAAATTACTGTGGCTGAAACGGGCCTGTCCTTGAAAATTCTTTAAAAAACCCGGGCAGACCTGATGCAATTATGGTTTCTTGGAGTTTTTCTTGTTCACACCTTGTGCCTAACTGGAATTTTTCAGAAAAGTGATCTAAATTTTCCAGTACACTGGAATTTTCAAAGATCTGATTTTCAAAACCTGATTTTGAAAAGGTTCAGTTTCAAAAGTTATAGACTTATTGAAACTGATAGCTCCTTTTTTAAATGTATTCCACAAGTCCAAGATACAAACTGGAAAATTGCAAAATGCGATGGTTCGGTATTTTTTTCCACAATACTTCGCCCTTAATAGTAGTCCCTCATCACCGACGAATATCGATGATTCTTGCCAAAGGCTTTATTTGCCTAAAAATTCTGTTTTCCGTTTTCACTAGATCATGAATTTTTATGAGTGATCCAACGCCACTTTGCAAATTTTGCAAAAAATTTGACCTTGATGTGAATAACTGAGTAATTTTTTTATACACGCCGTCTTGAAGTACTTTTTTCTCGATTTTATTAATTTTTAATCGTTTCCAAGTTCTTCGTTTTCCCGAATTTTCAATTTCTAATTTTTTGATTTTCAGTTGATTTTGCGGTTATAGTTAAAGTGTGTTGTTTTCCAGAAACCCTTACCAGCCGCATTTGAAAATGTCATCTGTGCTTCAGGATCCTCTTCATCATGTGAATTGCCTCGGACATGTGTGTTCCTCCCCCGGAACACACTGGCAATCTGACCCATAGTTTGGCCAACACCTGCAAAAAAACCGACGTGAGGAAGCTGCCAAAAAAGCTGAATAGTTGAAGAAAAAAGCAAATTTGCAAGGAGAAAATAGAAAAAAAGATTGAAAATGGAGAATGAGAGAGATGAAAAAAGTAAGGGAAGGGTGGAAAGAAGACGGAAGAAAAAGGATTTGCTGGGAGAACTACGGAGGAAATAGCGGGGATTGAGAAATTCATAGGGTAGGCGCTTTCAAATTGGTAGCGACTCAGTACTTTTGAAGTTTCCGCTTTTTGCAAAGGGAAATTTTTCAGAAAAGCATTACTCAAGCGTATCTAAACGGAAATTTTGCAAATTTGCTTTGAATAGGAAAATAAAACAATTTCCCGTAAAATTTAAGGGGTTCCAATATTTTTGTTTCTTTTGAACCTTGAGAGACGCAAACCTATTCAATTCCTTATTTACCTTGTTTCCCTGTCCACCTCGCTCTTTCGGGACCTATCCAATTATGACTAGGTCAGGTCAGACACACAAGACCGTTTCTATCAACCGAAAATCCGGGTCTACCAGCAGCAAAATCAATCGGGGAGGATTAGTGAACGATGGGATGGTAGTGGAAGTTGAAGAAGACGACAGTGGAAGGAGGAAAGAAGAAGAAGAAGAAGATGAAGAAAAAGGAAGCAAATTACAGGCAAAACGACATCATTGTGTAAATGGTATGTACGGGAGAAGAGAAGACGCACTGGGAGGTTGGCTGGTGTGTGTATGCTGTGCGAAAAAAGGAGAAAGGAACTGTACAATAGTGTGTGGGCGGAAGAGACGCAGCGAGACCACTTGCCCGAAGTCTACTGCAGCTGTCTCTCTATCTCTCTTCGTATCCTGTCATCTTTCGTTCCTCTCCCGGAGGCCGGTTGCAAGGAAAGTGGGGAAGTACGCAAACACTGTACACTAAAACTGCGGACAGTTCCCATATGGTGAGCTTTTGTTTAGTTTTGGCTTAAATGGAAAATTAAACGTGGAACACGAGGAATTTATGAAAAATTGGAATTTTTATTAACCTTATGGAATAATAAGATTGCTTTTCACGGACTAACGAAATTCCTAAATGATTTTAAAGGGAATTCACATATTCAGAAGTCATTAAAATTGATATTTTCAACACTATCTTTTAATTTTAATTGAATTGCTCATACAGCAATCCGGAAAACCGAGAAAATTGCAACACGCTGCTAAACTGCCCAGAACTAAAACTTTTCAGGCTACCACCCACTCTTAATAAATTCACAGATAAACTAACAGGTGAATTAGATTTTTTACAAAGATCAAACATAATTAAGTCAGTGAAATCATAAATGAATCAAGTTTGACTGCTCCAGAATGTTCTAGAACCTGTTAACGAAATCAAAAATATGCTCAAAATTGGCAAAACCAAATTTTTATTAAATGAAAATGAACACAGGACGAGGCAACTATCAAGCATCGATTTTACCTGTCAAAATTGACAATATCATCTGAATGTAATTGTCAGCAAAATTATTTTTATGTGATAACAGTTCGGAATCATAAAACATAATGAAAAACACAATACGGTCATAGCAAAAAAAATGATGGACCACTAACTCCTTTTATCTTATCAGAATAACGAAATCTGCATAGAACTACAGATTGAGGAGACGAGGGAAGGTCACTACTACGGCACCACGCAACTACAGCGTAGCACCAAAACAGAGAAGACCTTATTACTGATAAGACAGTGTGTATGTACCGTTGGACATAGACGACATACGCTTTTGAAGAAGAAGAACGTCATTTTTTTTGTAGTTCCTTTCTTTTTTTGATTTTTACATCCTTTGCGTTTATTCATTTTGAATGTCTAAAAATTGTTAACTTTTTGAATTTGTTCATATCCAAAGTTTATTGATTATTGAATGTCTAGAAATTATGAAATTTTTAAATTCGAAATTTGGAGTATTTCTTAAATTCCAAACTTTAGTGAATTTTTAAAAATTCTTAAAATTGGGAATTTATCAATTTACAAACATTTTTCATTTTTTGAATTTTCAAAATTTGTGAATATTAAAAATTCCTAAATTTAGATTTTTTAAATTCCGCAATTTTGACTTTTTCAATTTCAAAATTTGGAATTTTTTAAATTCCAAAATTTGCAATTTTTTGAATTCCAAAAATTGTGCTTTTTAAATTCTAAAATTTGAGCATTTTAAAAATATAAAACAATTTCTTAAAATCTAGCGTTTGTGATAGTTTTGAACTTTTTTGAATTCCAAAATTTGTGAATTTCTTGAATTCCAAATATTTTGGCATTTTTCCGGTTTGTTTTTTTCTTGAAAAAAGCTATTATTCAAAGATAATCTTTCACAAACTTGAAAATTCAACGAAATTGGAATTTCTTAAAAATCTAGAAATAAATTTGCCTTTAAATATTGTAGAAAGTACAAAAATGTGATTGATTCAAATTTTTGTATTTTTTTTTTAAATTCCAATTTGTGTGATTTTCGAAAGAAATTAAAAAAAACAACTAAAAATGAAACAGGAAGCAAACTGTTGAGAAACATTCAAATCGTGAAAAAATTTTACGACCTCTGGTTTTCATTTCGATGAAAACTGGGGAAAGCTGTATCTTTATCTTCTCGATTTGTCTTTAATTTTCCCAAAAAAAACTATATCTTCAAGCCAAAAAACAAGTGATCAATCCCCCACTATCACCAAAAAGGGAACATCAACAACAACAACAACGTCAGAGGCAAAAATAGACATAAAACGAGCGAACGAATGAATCAAAGCTATCCGGCTTTCGTCAGCTTCCATTCACTGAGTAATTGCTTTGGGTATGCTAAACTGCTGACAGCCATCAATGCCACTAATGATTTGTCATTGGTCAACGAGGTAAGCGCGGCGGGGGGAAGAAGCGGTGGAACGAAAACAACGCAATGAATAGAGGTAACGGAAATTTGTGGTGAAAGGTGGTACAGATGGCATAGAGAAATGAACGGAACGAAAAGAACCATTGTTTGGAAGTTTTATTAAATTATACGGAGCAAGAATTATTCTAAACGAACAATTTTCTTTTAGAAATTCAATGGCCCCACCTTGGGAAGTTTTCGAATGAGAAGCTGCGAAAATCCGAACATCTACTGTGATCTTCAACTATTCGGACAATTACCATTCACCAATGTTTTTGTGAATTCCGTCTTCGCGGAGGTCTCCGGATTTCAGGAACGACAGGAGGTAATGAAACGTATAGGACATTTGGGGAACATAAAATGAAGGAAAGGGAAAAGGATAGGAGAAAATGAGACGACGATGTGTGTATGTGTAACTTGAGAATTGTGGGAAGCGAAAATGTATAGGGGAGAGGAGAAAGTGGTTGTGGGGTTTAGTAAAATTATTTCTACCTAACTAATGACTAGGCTTCCAGAGATTCGAGGAGAAAAAAGAAAGAGGGTGGGAACTAGGGGGGAGGATGATTAGAAGAGATTAGGGGAGAAGTGACGTACGAAGAGATCAATCAAAGCCTCACTATCACTGTTTTGGTGGAGAAGTAGCTTTCCAAAAACTATACTATCCCGAAAAGCAGGTGTAAATAGCAAGCAAAATTTTTCTTTGCGAATTCTTAAAGAAGCCGAACAACCAAAGCCAATTTGCCAATAATTCCAAAATTGCCAATAATTCCAACAATCTCCAGAGGTCATATTCGTAAACGTTTTCATTAGAAAACAGCAAAATTCTTCAAAAAAATTTCCAGAATTCCACAACAAGCCATTTTTCAGGTGATCCTTGAAAAAATAGCCAACAAAACCTATTGTTCCTACATCGAGGTTGCTCCAAGGACCGTCGACGACTACTCTGTCATTGTGAGTGAATAAAGGGAAAAATAAAAAGAAGGAAATGAGAAAAATAAACGGGGTGGTCGGCAAACGACGGAGGGTAACTGAATAAATGAACGAATTTGTTTTGTAGGCTCAATCACAAGCTACTATCGAGAATGAGTTTCTGAATCAAATCCGGCTGGTGTCTCAAAACATGATTATCCCTCATTTCCTAAGCCCCGGAGTGTATGTGCAGTTTCGGATTTGTAAGTTTAAGGGATTTCGAAAGATTAGCATTAATGACATCAACCAATTTCAGTGAATATCGTGCCGGCTACCAGTAATCCTGTGATCCTAACTAATCAAACTGAGCTACACGTGCAAACAGTCACCGAAGGATCTCAATCTGATGAGAAAGCAACTATGGCCAAAAAAGTGTCAAGTGTAAGGAGTCAGTCATCGAAATCCTTCAAGAGAAAATAATTACAGATTGTCCAAGACTTGAGTACCCAGGCATTTTTGTCAAACTATGTGATACAACTAGAGAAGACACCAGTTGTTGGGAGAGTGCTGCCTAGAAAAATTGTGGAATCTTGGTTAAAGACAGATGTGGATAAAATCGACAAAAATACGTTATACATTTCAGGAAAAGGTTAGTAGGGAACTAATAAGAGAACCTCAACACATTTCAACCCAGATTTTGATGAAAATTTCTGAATATTTCAAAAATAGCCCAGACACTTCTGAAATTTTAGAACCCGCGCGCCAGTTAAAGCCGAGTTATATCAGTTTTACAAGAGAACCACAACACCTCACAAACCCAGATTTTTATAAAAAGTTCAGGATATGTTAAACATCGCCTATCTAGGCATCTCTGAAAATTTTAGTACCTGCCTGCCAGTCTCAGCCGAGTTAAATTAGTTTCAGTACCAAAAATCGCCTTTTCAGTGCGAAAGCAGAATTTTCAAAGACTATTTTCTCAAGTCCTAGGACGTTCAAAAGCATGAAATTTGTTGTTTTACACTCAAATTTTAATGAAATTTGATATTGCAAACTTTTTCTCAGAATTTTTTTTCGATTTTCGAAGAAATCTGGAAAACCGTGAAAAAATCCAAAAATAAAATTATTTTTGTTCATGAGAAAAAGTTTGAAATATCAAATTTCATTAAAATTTGAGTATAACACAACACATTTCATGCTTTGAAACGTCCTAGGACTTGAGAAAATCGTCTTTGAAAACGCTGCTTTTGCACTGAAAAAGCGATTTTTGGTTCTGAAACTGATATAACTCGACTGAAACTGGCGGGCGGATACTAAAATTTTCAGAGATGTCTAGAACAACATATCCTGAAATTTTCATCAAAATCTGGGTTTGTGAGGTGTTGAGGTTCCCTTGTTAGTAAAATCTCGTTTTTAGTGCAAAAAATAATTTTTAAAAACGATTTTCTCAACTTATAGAACGTTTCAAAAAATGAAAGTTTTCAAAATAAAAATAAAAATTTTTAATTTAAATTTTTTCATAACGTAACAAATTTTATGTTCTAAAAAGTCCTATAAATTGAGAAAACCTATACTTTTCACTGAAAAGGCGATTTTCGATTTTTGGTATAACTCGGTTGATACTGGCAAGCGGATTTTAAGAATTTCAGAGGTTTCTAGAAAGACTATAACCTATTCCGCAAATTTCATCAGAATCTGAGTTTACGGAGTGCTAAGGTTCCCTTGTGATTATGCTACTTTAAAAAAACAAACAAACCGAATACAGAAAACTGCCCATATCCTGAAAAAGGCATAGTGGAAATCCGCTCTCTTGTTCGTAATGAACAACAAGAATCTTGTCAATTCTTCTACCTACACCGAACCAACACAACGACTCTAAAGAAAAATGATGATGTGCTGAACGATTCATTGGCCCATATGTTCGACTCACTGCAGGTTGGTGGAAAACAAAAGAAAAACCACTCTCACCGGAGAAGAGAGAAACAAAAAACAAAAGATTTGCGCTTTTTTTGCAGCTCACCAACCGCTATCATTGTGTTGATGGAAGCGGAAGTTTGGAGCCATATGTGAATGTGAAAATTTATGAGGTTCCTGAGGATCGAATCTGCACACTGAGATATTGCGATGTGATGATGGAGAAGGAAGTAAGAGGAAGAGAAAATTGAATATGTAATAATCCTATTTTTAGACCTTCCAATGGATTGAAGAGTTCGAAATGACAAATCTTGTAACACAGTCACTACACGCCAAAGTTCAAGCAAAACCAATTCTTCTATCTGTAGAAGGAACAGAACTTGATGTTTCTCTAGATGGTTGGGAAAGTGTTTGGAATAAAAGACACAAAAAGTAATGAACTTTCAGACAAAGCGATCCGTGTGAAAGTACTTCCAAGTATCAAAGGATTAGTGAAGCGGGTCACCGAGAGCACATGCTTTTTGTTGGATATAACTACGGAGATGATATACAAGGTAGGCGTGTTTTGGGATTGCTGTAGACACGAACTGAGGCAAGTGGGTTCAAATGGCAAGTCAAATTCTATGAATAAACATTCCGTTAACCCTTCAAGGCCACCGAATTCGTCGATTTTAAGCTTCTATATTTCGGTTCCTGTGAGAGATATCAAAAATATGTTAACTGATCAAATGGTCGTGATATTAATATAAACATTTTATCAGTTAACAATGTGTTTATATCTTTAATGAGAACTGAGATAAATTGGCTCAAAGTTATAAGCTAGTGGATATTTCTACTACATAATTTACGGAACATTTAGGTATCATGGGAATATGGCTGATTTTTGTTAAAATGTTCAGACGTTGTGATATAAAAAGATTATTGAAATGAAATTATCGTAAAAAAATAAATTAATTGATCTCACTGACAGAAGGCCACCCAATCCTTCAACTTTGAGCCCATTTATCTCGATTCCTGTGAAATATATCAAGAAGTGGTCAACTGACAAAACGTCTATAATATTATAACGAACACTTCAATAGTTGACCACTTTTTGATATTTCTGACAAAACCCGAGATACATGTCCTCGAAGTAAAAAAAATTTCAGAACCCTTCTATTACAGGTTTTACGGTATATGTTAAAATTAAAATGGTTTTGCAAAATGTACAAACCTTCCAAAGACTACTATCATATTTTCATCTCGTCCTTTTCAGAAAATCACGGATCCTAAACAAAAACTCAGCGAATCCGAAGCATCTAAACGTCGTCGTCGACGTCCAGACGATTCGGAAACTCTGGAAACTCCAAAAACCGAGCCAACCAACGGAACGAATCACATTGAGAACTTTGGTCTGGTACAATCGGAAAATTTTGTGCAAATTGGGTTAGTCTTCTTATCTTTTTGCTTGTCTGGTGCTAGAATTCAATTACCTACCACTTTGATGTCTCTATTCTCACGTTCTTTTTTTGCTTTTTCCAGAAGCCACTCAAAAATGCTGTCAGAATTGGACAAAGTTTGTCGCAACGAAAAACGACACGTGATGGTGTTAGGAGGGAATGGTTTGTTCTTAATTAATGCGAATTTTTTATTTTTTTTTCAAGTTCAGGATCCGGAAAAACTACATTCATCAAAAAGTTGGCGAGACGACTTTCCTATAACTCATCTGTTACATTTTGCAAATTGATACCTTGTGCACTATTGAAAGGTAATTTTTCAAATTTAAAAACAATAAAATTTAAAAAAATCATTTCTAGGAAGATCTGCTGACATTATAGAAAAACTATTAAACGACACTATGACAGAGCTAGAGGTCAAAAAGCCATCGTGTCTTTTTCTGGACGATTTTGATGTGATCCTGCCACAAATCGATCAGGAACAAAGGCACCTGGCAATGGAGAAAGTTGTGTCAGGTTAGTTGAGAGTTTTTGATAATCCCACTTACATATCTTTTGCAGTGCTCAGTCAGAAATTGCGAACAACTGGCGTCAGTGTGGTCCTTGTGGCCCAACGCTTGTCATCTTTGAACGACGGATTTGTGGAGCAAGTTATGAGGGCAAGACCGATTATTTCGCGGAAAATTGAGTTGGGTCCATTGACAAAGGTTTGTGGAAATTTCAATCATTCCAAATATCATGATTTATTACTAATCCGAATATTTTTTAATGACAAGATGGGACAGTGAATGCTGGAAAAGTACGAAAAACGTTTTGTGGGGGTGACAAAGGTTCGGGGAGAAAGAGGAAATGTTTTTTGGGTTTTTTCAAAAGTTTTTGTGTTTCTACAGTATTACGCAAGTTATTATAAAGGAAAAAGTATGGAAGAAAAAAAAATACATGGTTGGCAAAAGGAAAACAAATGAGTCTCAGGAAAATAGATCAACGAGCGGGGGTTTAGAGTAGTGGTTCGGCGCCAACCATTGTACCATCGGTGAAGAGGCGCTTGTAGGAGTTGTCGCCGTCTTGGATCTGAATTATTTTCCCATTTTTATGAAAATTCAGGTTTCAAAAAATATATATAATATCGATAATTTTTGGAAATTGTTCCTGCTGTATTTCCTCTAATAGAAGCACACATCAACCAGCCACTTCGAGTTCGATTATCTTGATTCCTGTGAAGGTTATCAGATAAATGTCAACTAATAAAATATTGGTGGTACCATGATGAATATTTCATCAGTTGATACATTTTTGATTTCTTTTACTGGAATCGAGATAATTGAGCTTAAAGTAGTCGGTTGATAGGCTTTTTGATCTCCAAAGCTCTAAAACTCTCCCTTACCTGTCCATAGAATTGAACATATCGTCTAGCGACCCATGTGTGTTTGTTGTTGAACACAATACGGTATCTTCCAACACGATTCAATTTGATTCCGTCTTTCTCATGAACCAACTTTGCTGTGATCTTCAACCATGGGTACACCATCTCCAAATTGTCCAGATTTGGGTGTTCCTCAAAGTTGTTATTGATCGAATCGCCCTGGAAATAGAAAAATTTATTAAAATCTAAAATCTTATTTTTTAATACCTCATAGAAGACACCAAAGTAGACGTCAGCATCTGTGGCAAAGTACCATTTGAGCTCTCTCTGAGCTTGAGTGACATTGATCACCACCTGACGACTTTTTCCAGTGTTGATATGGAATCCTTCAAGGGCTTCCACCAAATCGGCCTTCTCAACTTTCCAGTAGCGATGTGGCTCAACCTTTTCGGCGTTTTCGAATTTGATATCCTATAAAACCCAGTAAGTTAGTTTATTCGGTCATTTAATTAGTCCGCTCACCGCATCAGTTCCTCCAAGACTGACTGGAATGTCTTCTGGTTTAATATCGGCGGTGAGCGTCTTCAAGAAATGTTTGTCGTGAAGACGGAACTTTTCCGAGAAACCAGCTGGCATCATCGTCTTTGCAAGTCTGTATGGAACGTGAATCCATGTGGCAATGTTGACCATGTCGACTGGTGTAACCTGGAAACTGGTTTTTTGTCTGAATTGAAACGGGAGACGAGGTATGTATACTTATAATTATGTAATTATATATGCAAAGTTAGCATTGAGGTTGGCTAGGTTGAAAATTATTATTCTTACCGTAAAACTTCTCAGGTTCAAGCTTAATTATCTTGATTCCTGTGCGAGATATTAAAAAAGTATCAACTGACAAAGCTTTGTTCAATTTATGATGAATAGTTTATCAGTTGACAACTTCTTCAAATATTTGACAGGAACTGAGATAAATTGGCTGGAAGTTGAAAATTAATGGGCCCTTCCATTACAGGTTTTACGGTATTCTCTTGAAACTAGTGTTTTCCCGAAATATAAGTTTATCTGTCTACAATAATCCTCACCAGCTCTGGATAGTTTTCAAAGTGGAACAGCTGAGAGTAGTACGCCAACGTTCCACTGCTGACAAAAAGCATTGTGAATGGATTGATCTCGTATCCATCCATGTTGACGATGTGGCGAAGAGAACTCAAGCAGCCAGTGCGTTCCTCCTGCTCCATAACCTTACGGAGCATGTGCTCGAATTGCAAGAATTGATATTTGCAGGCTTCTGAGCTGCTAAGAGAGTGAGCAATGCTCTGGAAAACATTAAAGTTTTATTTAAGAATTTTTGAGATGGTTTCCGGTTTGCTTGACCAATTTCATTTTTCTGGAGTTTGCCTGCCACGTTTCCAATCACTTCCGATCACATTGGAAAATTCCTAGTTTTTTTTGCTATTCTGACAGACACCTGGTTTTTACGTTTTCAGCGCAAAAAAAGGGTGTTTTTCAGAAATTCGCAATTAGCTGAAAAACGAGAATTTTTCAAATAATTCTGTGAATGCAAAGTTTTCAATCTCAGTCGGAAATTTGACAGCCAAGCCCAGATTTTTGAAAATGGTCAAAATGACCGACAGTTAACTGAAAATTAAGTTTTTGTATATCTTATTAAACTTACCTCAACGGTGATTGAAGCGTATTCAATGTACCACAGCAACCGATTCTGGTTATCAGTCTTGGTCAGAATCTCGCCACGTGGCATGAGCTTCTTTTGGAATATTGGGTTCTCATCAAAGGTTGGAATGTATTCGACGTCAAGACCGAGAGCTTTACGGTAGCGAAGATGGTTGTTGAGAGCCTCCACTGCATGCTTCACAATGTCTCTTTGCTTCTTATGATTACGCATGGCAGCCATAACGAAACGGTACACATTGAAATCCGTGTTGAACTGAAAATACTTTTTTGAAGGTTTTTTTCCAATTCACCGTAATTCCTCTAATAAAAGCCCACCCGAACCGTCAACTTTGAGCTCGACTATCTTGATTTCTGTGAAAGATCTTTAACATTTGACGGTATGGGTGGGCTTCTATTAGAGCGAGTTCGGTAATACTGAAAAACTCACATTTGGATGCATCTTCTGTCCAATACGTTGTCGGACTTCTTCAACAATCTGCTTGTCCTCATTGTTGAGCGGCTCTCCAAATGGAGAGTGTTTGGTCATTGGATCACAAAGGTTTGCAGCAAAGTTTGCGACGTGGCTAGCGACGTCTGTCAAAAAACCCCACATTTTGGAGATAAAACGCGAAATCTTGAACGAGAAAGGAAACGAACCCAAATATCTGAACATTGTGTTATTATTGGTTAGTTTGTGAGTGCAACGAAACCAAACGAGGGAATAAACCAAAGGAATTTTAACAAAAGGTGACAAGAGGGATAAGGAGGTGTTCCTAAAGTTAAGTCACTGATGACGATGGGTCACATGAGTCAGGTACAGTTAGTTGTGTTAGTTACAATTAGACGGAGATGAAAACATCTGAAAGTTCATTTGACAAACAAAAAAGGTATCCTAAAAGTTTCTATTCCTCCGAACACATAGATCGCTATTTACAGAAAATCTATGTAAATAGTATTGTAAGCCGACGGGTTCAGATAGTGCGAGAAAAAGAGGGAAAAAGAGGATTAGGGCATACAACACCTTTTTCCGTTCCTCTCCGAGATACCACTACGTATGAATTCTGTATTTCTCTGGCAGTACATGGGGGATATGTAAAAGAGAGAGAGCGACGAGATGACCTCGTTTAGAAGAGATTGAGAATTGGATAGATATGGATGGTGGTGCGAGGGAGAAAGAGGTAGAGGTGGCGGGACAAGAGGACCGGACACAAGTGGCGGGAATTCTAGCGGGAATCAGAAAAGTGGGAAATGAAAACGGGGGGAGGAGAAGACGTGATGATGGTGGGTGGGGGCAAGATCGTATGGCGAGAAATTGGTCATTTTGGCTGTCACCTTATGCTTTTCCCCGCCAACCGGTATTTGGAGACATGTCAATTAGCTAACGAAAACTAGCTTGAATGTAGCGTTGTGTAAAAATAGGAGAGATCATTTTAGAAACATTTTAAGCGCTATAACTGCATTAATGAGATTTTCGATTAAAATAACCAACTAGGGGCGTTAAAAATGTTTTCAATTAGGTCAAAAATGTCTTACCCAGGTCTTCTGAATTTCTTCAATTTCGGACTTGAAAGTTTTTGTTTTCATTTTCATTTAAACAAAAATGCCTTTTAACAGTGCCCCAACTAGTAATTTAGGGATAACGACTGCAATTTGGAAATACTTTATTTCAATACGACATACCGTAAGCACTATAATACCCCCTATACTTGCACCTTGAGCTCGACCACCTCAATTTCTGTAAGAGATATCGAAAATGTGTCAACTGATAAAATGATGGTGATTTTAAGATAAACGTTTTATCAGTTGACTGATTTGTGTTATCTCTTATGGAAATGAAGATGATTGAGCTCAAAGCACAGGTGTATGATAGGCTTCTATCAGATTGATGATCGTCAGCAAATTTTATTCTTTTTTGAAAGTTAACGTATTTTTTAAATTTTTGAAATTATTTGAAAAAGATAAGGATGTTTATTTGAAGTATTTGTTATAAATTATTACATTTTTTTGAAAATCCATTTTCTCAAATTTTAACAAAAACAATTTGTTTTCACCGCTTTTATCATGTTGTTTATATAGCCGATCATTTTTTCAAAAGCGAGTTTTCAAATTATTTTTTCTCAAATATGTATGCCAAGTTTCAAGAAATTGTTGGCAACAATTACTGGAATATGAACGAACCACACTGGTTTGAGTTCAAAAAGACTAATACCATACAATCCATTTCAATATTCGGCTATTCCAGCCGATGACCAATTAACCTTCATGACCAGTTTTCGTCTTTCATTGTGACGTCAAATAATACCTTTGGCTACATGGCTAATAAGAGAACTTCTTCTCGAGATATACAAAACGAAAAAGAAAATATAATGATTGAGATGGTGGTTTGTCTGGTTGGCCGAAAATGGCGAGATGAGAAAAATTTGGGAGGAAAAGAAGAATCCGCCCCGCTTTCTTACGACAAGACGTCCTACGCAATCACTTTGTACTTTAGTTTTGCAAGAACGAGGGGTTGAGAGGAAAGAAGAAGACGATGTGATGGTCAGAAACTTGATTTTGATCTACATGTTTCGGTTTCGTAACAAACCTGAACAGCGAATGATATGGAATGATGAAGAAAAAGGGAACTGTACAAATGGGGTTAGATCACACTTTCAAATGTTTCTGATGTTTTGAAATACACTGGTTTTATAGTTTGGTTTCTACAGTAATAGTTTATTAATTTCTAAAATGATTTCACACAAATCACAGAACCAGCGAAACAAAATGGATATGAATTTTCTTAGAAAAACTGGGTTAAAACGTTGTTCACCTTGATCATTTGGCTGATAAGAAATATGAAAAAAAAATTGGAAACTTTCAGGATGATCGACAAGACATTTTCGAGACCTATCTAGATGCAACGGAGTCCTCCGATGTGATTAATGAAATAGTACAAAAGTCGGATGGTTACACATTCAGTGAGATTGAAAAATTGGCGACCAGTATCAATGTGGAATGTGCTATTCGAGGTAGTTCTTTTTTATACAGTGCCGGTCAAAAAGATATAGAAACCCGTATTTTTCAGTTTTTTTTGTTTATTTTGACTTCTTCCAGAAGCCTAGAGCTCGGTTGTCAAACTTCCAATCACGTTGAAATTTTGGAGTGTGTGAACCAAACCTAGATTAAAAACTTTGCATTCACAAAATTTGTTCGAAACTTAGTTTCGAGTCATTTGCCGATTTTTGAAGGACACGTGTATTTTTTTAAGTTTTCAGTACAAAAACAAGTAAAAGGAGTGTTTTCTAAATTTAGTTGTTTCAGGTACTCGATACGTCAAGTCTTCTGATGTGGAGAAAGCTTTCGAATGTTTTGTGGCTGGAAAAATAGGAAAAATCGAAGATGATCAAGTGTGAGTGATTTTCTCGAAACCTAGAAAAATGTAAACCCAGGAAATGAGTGATTCCCGTGAAACATCACACCATATTTATATCCAAACCGTTCCGAAAAGGGCAAATCTAAAAGTTTCTTGCAAAAAAAGTCCAAACGAGAAGGTCAATTTTTCGCAAGACATCGTGTGATATCTGTATTGCTGATCTTTCATGGTTTTGAAAGTAGAGAACTAGGAAAATATGGTTTTTGTGTGGTCGGTTTGATCAACATAACAATAATACTGGTTAGTTGGCAAAAGTGTTTCTCACCGAAAAAAACATGCTTGTCAAAGGAAAATGTCTTTAACATGAGTCAGGAATGATGATGTAATACAATTCAATGAATGTGTAATCAAACTTTTGAAGCAATAAGACAAACTAGGGTTGGATTTATGACGTCCAACTAACCATATTTCGTAAAACCTGGATAAGTGCCACAACCCTTCCAACTTTGAGCCAATTTATCTCGGTTCTCTGCAAAAATGTTAAACATTTGTCAACTCATAATTTTCTTCTCTCGTTTCATCACGAATCTTTCATCAGAAAACTCAGCCCAAACTTGATAATGTGGCGGCCCTTCTATTAGAGGTTTTACGGTAACTGCGGAAAATACCTCAAAATAACATTTTGAAAAAATCTTTGCCACCTTTTCAGACTCCCAACATTAGAAGATGTCGGTGGAATGTTTGAGCAAAAGAGACTACTGGAACGCGTTATCGTATGGCCTAAAAAGGTGAGTAGCTTGTTGAGTTCAGGAAAATTACTGTAAACTGAAATTTAAAAAACCCGGCTTTTGGGAAAAAAATTCTCAAATTAAGATTTCCCAATTCTCACTGACCTACTGTTCAAATTTTGGTTATTACTGAATTGATTTTCCAAGAACCAAAACTTTACTACTAACTCTTTCCAGATTCCTGAACTTTTCAAAATTTTAATCACAATATGGCATTACTCACTATTAACCATATCTCAAGAGACTTCTAATGAATTATTTTCTGAAACGAGCTAAAGAAAAAAAGCAAAAAAAACGCAGGAAATTTGATTTTGTTCTCTTCGGTTTTTCTTCTCATTTGAAAAAAGAACCGAAGAAGACAAAGCGCGTCGAATGACACCGAATGTTTTTGGTAGGACTCGGCAAGCTTCGGGTGGGCAGAGCCTACGCCGCTGTTGCTCGGAGGCGGGGCTAAAAATGACAGATTTATAGCCTTTTTTTTACGTCAGACAGGCACATATCATGAAATGGAAGGAAATGGGAGGAGATGAGCAAAATACATATGATGCGTGGGTTACTGTAGATTTCTTACATTGTCAAAGACATCTTGCGATTCTGAAAAATGAGCATTTCGAAGAAACAATCAAAGGAATCAGCTCAAAATAAACATCGGAATTTCAAAATAATTCAAGAAAAAACCTTTTTCGAATGAATCCTCCTTCCTTCCAAACTTTGAGCCCAATTATTTCAGTTCCTATAAAGTATCTTTAAAATCTGTCAACAGATACAATCTTTGCCATTATATCACTTATATTTTATCAGTTGACAATTTTTTGATATCTGTTACACAAATTAAGATATTTGATCTCAATTAGAGAAAATACGGTAAATGCTCTTTCCCTTTTAAGGCTCATAAACTTTCAATTACCGTATGACAGCTAAATTTATAAACAATCATCCAAAATAATGAAAGGCTGTCATGCGGTCATAGAGCACTTAGCAATGAGAAGAAGTATTAAAGTGCTCAGGAAGTCGAGCGATAAAAACCATCATAAAATCTACGGTAGACTCTGAAAAGGGGAAGTATTCTCGAGAAAAAGAAATTACGAAATGAATAGAAGTCAATAAAAACTATGTAAGATTTACGAGGCGTTTTATATCAAACGTGGGAAAACAAATTAATAAAAATGATTGGATGACCAAAAATCCAAAACATTAAACTTCAAATATTTTCAGTATCCCCAACTATTCGAATCGGTGGGTGTCCCAGTTAGTAAGGGTATTTTACTTCACGGACCCAGTGGATGTGGAAAGACTCTCCTGGCCAATGCAACAATTTCTAATTCGAAATTCAGCGTGGTCAATGTGAAAGTAAGGATTGGAAAATATAGCGGAAAAAGGTAAAAAAAACATAGATTTTTAGGGTCCAGAGCTTCTTTCAAAGTATATTGGAGCCAGTGAAGAGAACGTGCGATTGGTGTTTGAAAAGTGAGTTTGAGCTAAATTTAAACTAAATAATTAGACCAAAACACACAAAAGAGTACAAAATAACCACCCATCAGGAAACAATCTTCCGTTTTCCCACTCATTTCGTGTCTTTTTGGGTTTTCTTTGTTGCAAAATTACTCCAATTTCAGAGCTCGGTCGTGTGCTCCTTGCATTCTTTTCTTCGATGAGCTTGATTCCTTGGCACCAAAGCGAGGACATGATTCAACTGGGGTTACGGATAGAGTGGTTAATCAGTTGCTCACAGAGTTGGATGGAGCAGAAGGTGGAATGAAAGGTAAAACTAGATATTTCTGAAAATCTATTTAGTACGGGGAGAAAGACTACTGGGAATGCCTCGACACAAGCTCAGAATGTTGAAAAAATATACAGTACAAGTCGATAAGATCTACAAAAATGTATTTTTCAGTTGATTTTCGAACATTTTGACTATTTTCATGAGTCTGGAGATCGGCCACAGAAGTTCCAATCAGTTTGAAAATTTCAGAGGGTGTCAAACAGACATATATTGGAAACTTTGCGTTCACAGAAGTTTTCTTAACTTCCAGTTTTCCAGTTATTCGCCCATCTCGGAAAGAGACCTTTTCCACATTTTCAGTACAGAAACGGGTCAAAAGGGAGCATCTTTAACAAATCGGTAAAAAGCTGAATTTTCGAAAATTTTGTGAATGCAGTTTTCCATCTAGGTTCAGTTTACACACTCTAAAATATTCAAAGTGCTTGGAATGAGGACAGACTTTTGAAAGTGGTCAAAACGGTCAAAAATCAACGGAACAACACGTTTTCTTAATATTTTATTCATGGGTACGGTAATTGCGTTTTCCGGAACTGTACATTATACTGTTCCAGGTGTGATTATTCTTGGATGTACCAGCCGAATTGATCTTATTGATGATGCCCTACTGAGACCTGGACGATTCGATCATCATGTGTATTGTGGTCATCCTGGAGAGGTAAAAAATCAACGGGTATCCTAGAAACACTATTTTCATTTCCAGGATGAACGCGTAGAAATTATGAATGTGCTTACAAGGAAGCTCCGCACTATTGGAATTGATTTTGAAAAGTTATCCAAGAAAACCGATGGTTGGAGTGGTGCAGATTTGCAATTACTGTTTACAAATGCACAGTTCCATAATGCTCGACAAATTAGTCAAGGTGAGAAGAACCGTTCACTTTGAGCCCATACACCTCATTCTCTGTGAAAGATATCAAAAAGGGGTCAACTGATAGAATGTTGGTGATATTATGATGAATATTCTGTCAGTTTACCACTTTCTGATATTCTTGATAGAAACTGAGATATATTGGCTTGAAGTTAGAAGTTAAAGGTCTTTCTATTAGAATGTTTACCGTAGTTCCGTCAGATAAAGGATACCGTATGATTTTTTGAAATATTTAGCAATAATTCAAAAAACCATATTGTATCCTGCAAACCGAATCAATTTTGTAGAGGAAGACGGCCTGGAAGAAGATGACGTGGCAATCGACTCCGCCGCAATCGAAGCAGTTTTCCAAGATTCCATTCCAAAGCCCAAACGATCCGAGGTGGATACAAGGATTGGTCAGAAAGTGACGTTGGCTTGAAAAAAGAAAGAAAAACTAAAAGTCAAAAAGAGTAGTATCCGTGTGATTGATTTATGTGTATTTTAAAATGACTTGTCTTTGTTCTGGGCATTTATGAATTTTTCACATGAACCAGTATGTTAATTTGAAATGAAGAAATTATGCTGACATCAACACAAAGAAATGTTTTTTTTTTTTTGAAAAATTGACAAGGGCACTAATTCTTTTTGAGAAATCATGAGTTTTTTGTTAGTTTTATTTTTGAATTTAAGTAAAATGAAGAATGTGACAGAACAAAAAAACCCGGTTCAGAACTCAATTGAAAAAAGGCCGAAAGCTGAAACACAAGAAAAAAGAAGAAAAGATAAAACTACTGTACACATTATAATAGGATAATTACTGCTAAACCGTCAACTTTGAACCTATATATCCCATTTACCGAGTGAAATATCAAAAAATAAGTCAACTCACAGAATGTTGTTGATACTATGACAAACAATTTATCAGTTGACTAATTTTTAATATCTCTCATAAAAATTGATATAATTGAACTTAAAATTAACATTGTGGGACTTCTTCTTTTACAGGTTTGGCGAATTTTTTTCTGGAATGAAACAATCCTAGTTTTTTCTCAATAAACCACCTGACAGAATCCCTTAACAAACAGTTTACAAGAACTCACGAAAAAATAAATGCAAGTAGGCAAAAACCGGTCTGAAACCAGTTACTCCAACGCGAATACGCATGGTTTAGAGGGTGTTGCTACTTAATTGATGTTGTTTATGTGTGTGGTCTCAGTTACCTAGTCAGTTGCTTTAAAATGTTCTCACTTACTGCCCGAAATTCTAGTAAAGTTTTTTCTTTTAGTAAAATTTCGTTCTTTCCAACAGTGAGAACTACAATTTTGACTAGGATTTTAAGACAAAATTTATTTTGCTTCCAAAATTAGAAAAAAAGATCATAAGTAAATGTTTCAAAGCATCCCGAAAGTCTGATTTCCAAACATTTGCCTTTTCAAAATCATCCGGACCTTACACGCTATATATCTTTTTTTTGACGTCACGGACCATCTCGCTCGCCCTCTCAACACCATTGCCTCTCTTTCACATTAGACAAACCACATTTGAATATACGACTCTCCGATTTCTCAGCAACCTCCTCATATTCAAACGTACAGTGGTAATCTCTCACTTAATGACAGCTGTTCTAAGAGGACGTTTGGTCCGGCCAAATTCCTTCTTTCTCCCAACCCCAGTTGGTCCCTCCGTCACACACTACTCACAATTTCCAAACGACACTCCGAAATAACGGTTCTCGTGTTGTTTAGCAGAGGATTTTTCACGCCATAGGGGCCTTTCAAACCCAATTTCCGGAGTAGTTTGGGGAAATTCTCTGATTAAACCGGAAGAAATGGCGTGAGAGAAAAATTTGCCTTCTTTTGATACCAAATTTATTTCTATTCCCTTCAAAATGAAGCTATTTTCTATTCTATTCGTTTTGCTGGTTCCTTTATTTGTTGTAAAAAGTGAAACTGGTAAGTTCCGAAAGGTTAAATAAAGTGAGTTCCCATTATTTTGATTTCAGACTACGGTTTCATGCCGACAAAATGTGAAATCTGCGCTTTGGTTAGTATGGAGTTCGACCATCAGTCCGCAAAGGTGCATAATGTGAGTTTTGTGATTTTCAACAAAACGTCTCCGCTGACTTGTCAACGAGGCCAACTCGGGACGACTAAAACTCATAGGACTATAATGAAATGCTGACTTTCAATTTACCGGTTGTAGAGCAAGCAAATCAGAAGAATCGGCCCTGGTAGCTTCTGTCCGGCTTCCAAAGCTGCCGGTCTACTGTTTGTATCTAACCGTCGGTTTTTTAGATGCATGCTCATGTGACCTAGCCTGAAACTTCTAGCGCCGCTAGGCCGACAAATCCTACCCTAACCAAAAAGCTACATCACTTTTTTGTTAGATTTGATGAAGAACAATAAGACTAGCATCTTGCTTTATATCGCAAGCCCAGCTATTTCTGGTACCTCTAAACTGAAAATTTTATGTAGCAGGCGACTTCCAATTTCATACCAAGTTATGTACTATCCCTCGTCTGACAAGTATTATTTTCTTATAATTTTTAGATTACAAGAAAAACTAATAAAATCGTCACAACACCAAGAAGATAAATTACTGATCAAACACTCTTATTGATGTTGTGACCTTCAGTTGATTTCGAAGACCAGTGCATTTTCATAGCCATGAAAATACATTTTTCGTCTCAAAAATTGTATTGATGAGTTTTTTTTTATTTCAGAGGCTAACATCGGAGTTTGCTGATCTCACGGAGAAGATATGCGAAGGATTCAATGAGTTCAAAGTGAGTATTTTTATATGAAGAAGTTTAAATGAGTGAGCATCAGTGGTAGTTAACTCATCTGTTACTCGCAAAGAAATAATAAGAAATCGATTTGGGATAAAAATTCTGATTTTGGTAAAGTGTCTGCGTGAAAAAAAAAACATGTTCTTTTACTCGCCACATAATAAAATGAGCCGTCCGAGTAGTGGATGAGTTTCTACAGAATTAGAAACCTTGTGATCTACCAGCAGTCTGAAGAACTACTTCAATCAAGTGGAATACACACCTAGGTTCATTAGAGCCGCCACTGTTAAAATGTTCACATGAAATCAAAAATTTGAAAAAAAATCATTAGTTTTTTGAGGTAGTACGATCGATACCAATGCAACGCCGGTGTGACTCACTAGTGCATCTGCTCGAAAAGCTATGCTATAACTTGATGAATAACATATACTACCTTAATGTTAAGGCCAACCCTCAAAACTTCAAATGATTCCAAGAAAGCGTTTCTAAAATTCCAGATTCACAAAGAAAAAAGTGGATTGGAGCGATTTTCAAGAGCGCCATCGAAGACTATCGAAACATTGAAAGAAATGAGGAACAAAGGAGTAAAGGTGAGTTGAAAGGTTAAACAATAATAAAATTTCATGGAAATCGCAGTTCAAAATATTGGATACACAGATTAAAAACCCCTACAATTTTCGAAGAACAGTGATCAGACCAACTCGCGCCTAGGGAACCGCTAACAAGGATAAAATCTAGCAACCGTGCAAAACTTCAGTTGAACAACAAAAAACCAACAAAAAAATTTGCAACTGGCATTTTGACAAATCGACCAGTTCTCATCGTGCGAACTGATTCAAAAAAAATTCATAGCCCATAGGGAATTCAGCTGTACTTTAAGATACATACACTCACCGAATGGATAACTTCTGCATTAAATCTCTTTGTACTTTTCTTCTGAATTTTAGTAAAACTTGGTTAACATGATGACATGAGAAAGTGAGAAAAATTTTAATTCCGATAAAATGTCGGACAGATATTCATTCCTGTTATCTCATTTGTTTGAATTCCCAAAGGAGTCAAAGATTCATCGCCAATTTCTTTTCTCTTTGCTTTCTTTTTAGTGTTTTCATACTCTCTTGAAGTGATTGTTCAGGATTGAACAAACTACAAAAAGTGAGATGGTGAAGTTCGGAGAGGCTGAAAAATTTAAGCATTGGATTCTGTTTTCACAGATTCAACAAGCAACCTTAACTTTATTTACCGTAAAAACTGTAATATAACTCCACTTGTATTAGAAGACCCCTCTAATACAACGCCACCCTTATGAGGTGATTGGAGGTAGCAAAACAAAATTTTTATGCTTGATTAACATATTAATAGTGAAATCTAGAAATTTAGCACAGTTCTTTTCATTTTAGTACCCTGTTAAATAAGTAAGAAATCAATTTTTGTTACCTCACATCAACCCAAAACACCCCTTCGAAAAAGCCATGGCGCTATATTACAGGTTTTACGGTATGTCCAGTACTTGTGTCTAATCGGGTTCACCATTGAAAATGTTCCAAATATCAAGAGCCCCACTGTGAATAAATTGCTTAGTAATACTTCTAGGACTCTGAAAAATAGTGAAAAAGTCCCCAGCCACGAGAATATTCTCGAAGGTCTCCTCCAAATTTTTGAATTTTCTTTTTTGCTCATTTAAATATGAAATGATACTGAGTCTATGAGCCAGCTCATTTTTGCTGATTGTCGTAAAGAATTCAGACAGTTCGATCCTACTTTTGGGCAGAACTCAACTAGTTTTAGACCTGTAATAAAGCACGAACTTGACAGTATGAAGGCTTATCTATTACAGGCTTCACAGTATTATCATTTGGCATTCTTTACCCAGTGCCTCCAGGTACAAATATTCCTCCAGCAAGCGTAATAGTATTGCTCAGTATCATATAATCTCCTAGAAAAATCATCCAGTATCACCCGATCATTCCTAGTCCCTCAAATTCGCTTCTGCCCCTACACCATATTCCCAACAAATCCGAAACAGTGTGTCTGGTATGAAGTGGACGTGAAGGTAATTGAAATCCATTAAACAACCCATTCGCCAAAAAGTTTACCGGACTCTCACTATTCCTCTCACTTCACCTCACTCGCTAATCGCAACATTTTCCAAAATGGAACATATCCGAAATGGTGTAGTTACCTCTCTCTCTCTCTCAGCTATAATTATGATGTACAGTATGTGTCTCTGGATCGAGGGGATAGGTACACAAAGGGTTATAATGGACTTCTCGTGGATTCTCATCGCGCTAAACTGGTTTCGTTTCGTGTTTCCTTTCCCCTACTAGGACACCTATCCCCGTCTGTTGCCTAATGTGTTGAAATGCGCTAAAATGCAATGTCTCCATTGTTGCGAAATGGCCTTTTTCGCTGTTATGCACACGGGTTGGGACGCACGTACCAATTATGAATCTCACAGACAACGACACTCCACACGCAAAAACAATTTAATCGAATAAATTGAATTTATGTTGTTGTAAGTCATCTCATGCGAGATAAAGTGAAAATTTGGGGCCCCGCGGACACTTTACCCTCATACAACATTGTAAATTGGGTTACACGGCTAAACTACTACCATACAAAGTGCACCGGTTACAGTAACCCAATTCTCGGATACTGGTTCTTTTTTAGTTAGGAGTAATAGATCAATTAATTTAAAAGCCAATCTTCAAAATTTCCAGGTTGAACTCGGCATGCCATACGAGATGTGGGACCAGCCTCCTGCAGAAATCATCGCACTTCGTCAAGGATGTGAGTCCATTCTGGAAGACTACGAGGATCTGATCGAGGAGTGGTTCCTGCAAAAACTTCATCTGAAGCATCTTCTGAATCAATTATGCTCACAAAACTATATCAAACGTGGTGACAGGAGTTGTTATGCGGATATTGTAGAAGAAAAGGAATTGTGAAATTTGAAATTTTGAGCTCATCATGAATTGTGTTTTTGTTTATAGCTTGTAGTAATTCTATCATAACCTGATCTCATAGATATTTGAAATACATAAAATCGGTTTTCCTAAAAAATCTTACTTGCACTGGGCGGGCTTTTCAGTTATTTTTCATTCTGCCAGAAATTTTTAAGGGTGAATTTTTTTCATTTAAAATTCGTGAAAATGTTTGAAACATCAGAACTTATTTCAAATGTGAAAAATCCTTGTCGACTGAGCAGGACCGGCTTGGAGAATAACGGACCCTGATTTTTGAAGTATGAAATTGAGATCTAAAAATTAATTGAAGAGGCTATATAGTTTAGGAATCACTGAAAAATACTGTATTTCAAACTGGACTGAATAACTGGATATCCGCTGTCCACAATTTTTTTTCAGTTTTTGCCAATTCCAATTTTTCGTTGAGTTTTCTGTACATACAGTACCGGTATACAAAATCATATACAAAATCATACTATTGACCGATTTCTGAAAAATCAGCGAATAGCGGAAAAATTGTAATTTTCAAAAATTCTGTGAGTGCAAAATTTTTAATCCAGGTAGCTGAGCTCTAACCTTCTGAAAATGTTAAAAATGACCAAAATCAAATTAAACACACGGTTTTTGTATATCTTGTATATTTTTTTTATATTTGAGGAGGCTCAAAAAATGTATCATTATTTTGGTTTTGCTTAATCGGATTCATTATCATCCTGCTCTTTATCCATGCCATCAAAATTTTTTTGCCAGTACAACTGTCTGCTCTTTCGCTACTCTCACGTATTTGTTTTTTGCTCTTCTGTATGTGTGTGTGTGTTCCCAGTGCTCTCGATATTTCCCACACAACCAAAAACTGTATGTTTTCGTACCAGAACAAAAACAAGTTCTTCCAGAGAGACACGTCTGGAAGAGCACTGCCCCTCCTGCCATCAGAGATAAATATTTGTGCATTGAATAACATCAAAAAAGAAAATCACACTCCCACCACCCCGTATCTCACCTCTCAACAAAAAGAAAACCAAGGTGTTTTGGCGGGGTTGCTCTGGTGGGTCATGCGTGTGTTTGCCCACCTTTTGCTGCTCTTCTGCTCTTTCTCTCTTGCGCAACCCTTTTGCTCCCTGCACCTCCTCTCTGGAATAATAATAATAATATTTTTGTATTAGTATTATTATTATTATTATTCGGTCACGACCGGCGCCAGCTTCTCTGTTAGTTTTTACACTGGGGGCCACCGGAGCACCGCCCGATGCGCAAAAACTCTTCAAAGCATGTTTTGGCACCGGTTTTTGTTGGCTCAAAATGTTTGGTGCTGGTGGTCGAGCGAGACGAGATCAAGGCTTATGCGTGTATGCATTTCATTCCTTCATGTTCTCAATCATCATTCCTTCTCAAATAAAATGTTTTGGCAGAATGGAGAAAAAAGACGAAAGATGATATGGTAAACAATGCAAAATGTACAGTATGAAAAGTGGAACGGGAAGGTGATGAGAAGATCAAAACTGGAAATTGTTTTTGGATAGAAAGCATTTGAAGGTTCAGACAATTTCAGAACCAAGACTACAGGGGTCATTTCTAAGCGGTCTATACTTTGACCAAATTTATCTCGTTCACTGATAAAAATATAAGAAAGTTACCAATTGATAAAATATTTATTAAAATATCATTAATATTTTGTTAGCTGTTTATTTTTGATATCATTCACAGAAACGAAGAAAAATTGATTGAAAGTTGAAAAGAGTTTCCCTTTGTGTCTTTTAAAATTGGCAATTATCTGAAAAACTATGATTTTCAAAAAATGTGCAACTGCGAAGTTTTCATTCTAGGTTTGTTTTACACCCTCATACAGTTTCAGAATGATCAGAAACTTGACAGCCGAGCTCCAGATTCCTGAAAAACGCTCAATACCAACTTAAATAGTATATTCTCCTCCCTTGTCTCTCTTGTCTTCAAACAAAGAAAAAACCGATTTCTGAACATCTCATTATCCTGAATCCCTCGTTTTCCCCTTTTTTCTAATTTTGTTCTCCCCTAAAAATTTGCATTCAAAACACAAACACAAACCCTCCTAACCTTAGCCTCTCCGTACTCCCGTTTTTGTCTCTATTTATTTTGAGTCCCAACAGGAAGAACCTCTCCTCCCTGTTTCTGACTGTTTGAAAAGCTTTAAAACATGAAAATATGCATGTGTACATACTGAACCTGGTCTAACAGCCTTCGTTTTTCCCGCACATACACACAATTTTTCTTCAAAATGTTTAGTAACACACACCTGGAGAAACAGGCAGAATGGGATGATTGAGAGATCAATCGCCGTATTGTTTTTTTTTCGAAAATGTGTTGGGAAACAAGATTTCGCTGTATTGTTTTGAATCAGAAGGTTTGGAAAACTAGAATAGAAGGAAGTGAGGGATACTGTAGTTTTGAGCTTATTCTGATTTTCGTAACATACAAACCTAAATTGAGAACTTTGAATTCACAGAATTTGTCGAAAATGGCGAATTTTTCAGCTATTCATCAAATTCATAATGACGTTCTTTTTGGCGTCTTTTGTACTAGAAATCTTGAAAAACAGGTGATTTTTCGAAATTCTCAAATAGCTGAAAAACTAGATTTTTTTTTAAAATCTTCATGAATGCAAAGTTTCTAGTCTAGGTCTGATTTAAACCCTCTGAAACTTTCAAATTGACTGGAAGTTTGAAAGCCAAGCTCCAGACATCTGAAAGTGGTCTGAAAAAGGAAATGAACTAAAAAAGGTGTATATCTCATTGACGGGTACTGTACCATCTCGATTTCCAAAACAATAGGCTCCATTCTCTGAAAACATGATAACGATTTTCAGAAAATCATTATCCATCATACTAGGCAAATTTCTCAAAATCTCTAAATGAGGATTTCAATCAATTTTAGTCAATTTCAGAACTTCGAAGAAGTACTTATTACTTGTCCGTTTGGTCTGAAAAATCAAGAGAATTTGAGACAAGTTTAGATTTTGAATTTAGTAGCAATTTTTAATGCTTCCCATTTTTTTTTTGGTAAGCGAATTTTATAGTAAAAATGTAAACTAAAAAAATGAAAGTCTAGATTTATTTTATTTTTCCAGAATTTTTCAGATCAAACAGAAATTCAAAATTCACCAATTTCCGCTAAGAAGTTTATTTTGAGATAGAATGTCAAAAACCTTGTGTAAGAATGTATGTTCCGCTCATATGCAGATTTTGAAAATTTATATTAAATAATTTTATGTATATGTTTTACTTTTCAAAAAAAAAAAAAAAGGGCAACTTTGTGACATGATAGTGAAGGTATTATTCTCAAAAAAAAACATGGAATTATGCAAATAATAGACAAATTTCTCTGAGATTTCAAACGGGATGGATTTTCGGGAAATGTCAAAGATTTGTTGTGTGATTTTTTTTCTTGTCGAGGTAGCAAAACTAAACGGAAAGTATGAGAAAGTTGTAATGGAGAAAGTCTGGATGGGGGGTGTTGTCGAATCTTAAGGATGAGAGAGGTTGAAACCGGGGGAGACATTAAAAATGGGGACGTAGAGTTATGCTAAAGAGTTTGAAAAGTTTGAAAAGTAACACAGGGAAAAGAAAATGAATAGAAACAGAGAAAGAAAAAAGCAGGAAACAGTTTTTCAGAAGGACAATTGGGGGGGGGGGGGTGAGAGCTCCGATAGTCGCTGGGAATCAAGTCTGGCGAAGGGGTTTTGTTGTCAAGAATCATTTGAAAGGATGAAGGATCAGAAAGCAATCACAAGAGGATGGAATCAAAAGAGGTTTTTAGAGATTTTATGAGGAACGAAAGCGACGAGAGTCTATAATTTAAAATTTTAGGATGTTTTCTATGTACAGGCAATAAAGAGAAGGGAAGAACCTAGTAGAAAAAAGCTGGGTCATTTTTAGAGAGACGATTGAAATGGAGAAAATAAAGAAGGGATGCTCGAAAATGGCATGATAGTCATGAAAGATGAAAATGTGCACTAGAACATATTTTCATCACAGCTAAAAAATATAAAAATTTAAAAAAGGAAAGTTTGTACTTTTTCAAAATTTTAGCAGTGTGGGAAATCTGAAATCTCAAGTTCAAGATTCCACTTTGAAAATGCTTGGGTCAATTTGTGGGATTGTTGGACTTTGGGTCCCTCCATTGCACAAGTTTTGGGCGAGATTTGGGAGAATTCCAGTGGCAAAGTTAGCTGGGCTCAAAAGAGCCAAATACCTCTTCCAAACCATATCAACATTGACTGGTGGGGTGGCTGGAGCAACTCTGTAATTACAATTGATGTAAATTTAGATTTCAAAGTGGTACAATACCTATTAGGACGTCCCTCACGAAGTGTCCAGTTGCGAACCTTGGCGTTATTCTTTAAATGGCTCAGAATAAGTTTCGCCTTCCCCAGCTGACCCTCAGTTGATAACGATTCCCACTTGAAATATCTCATGGTGGCCTCCACAACAAGGCGGATCTAAAAATGTAAATTTTTGAGAATTTTTTATTCCCTGGATTCCCCTTTTTTCGGTTTTTTTTTCGAACAGACATATTTTCCACGCAAACAAAAGATGTTTTTTGTGTGTGAGTGGTGTGTCTCATTGCCACCTAAACCTGGTCTCTGTTTTCACTCCTAACCAATTCTTCTAAACGACCATCGCCTTCGGTATCTCTTCTCTACACTCTTTTTCTATTCAAATGTCCCGAGTTTGCACTTTTCCGCGCCCAGCCCGATGTCTTAGGACTGTCTCCCTCTTACTCGTTTCTCTCATTTTCGTTTCAATCAAGTGTTGCAACCCGTGTGCATACTTTTCGACGACCTTCAGCGCAAAAAAAAAGAACTGCGTATCACACCGAAGAGATGAATATGGATAAGGGGAAGTTTGCGACATTGAACGTCAGCAGAAACTGTGTTCGGTTTCGAAAAGAACCCTATCAAGCCGGTTTTTTTTGTCTTCCCTTTTTTTATTCTGTCTGATGGTGAAAAATGAGAGTCGTATTTTTTGTGAATGATTCTAAACGAAGAGATATGCTGAGAAGTGCAACACAAACCTTGGGCAGTTGACGTGCAAGCAGATGATCGGCAGTTTCTCCGTGGAAGGTGCGAAGGGAGATTTGAACGTTTCGGAGCTCGTCATCGGTGACCGACTCGCGGAGAATTTGCCAAGCAAAGACCTGGAAGAATGTTAATGAATATTTCAAACTACAGTTTTTAGAGTTTCGAAGATACAGTTGGTTTCAAATACCGTATTTCTTCTGTGCCCAATTATCTCAATTCCTATGAATGAAAGATATCAAAAATCTGTCAACTGGTAAAATACTGGTGATATTATGATGAATAGTTTATCAATTGCCATATTTTTTATATCATTGATAGGAAACGAGATAATTGAGCTCAAAGTCGACAATCAGGATGAGGTCCAATTGGAGGAGATACGGTAATAGTATGAGCTCTCCTAAGAGGTCTTCTAGAAATTCTAAGAACCTGTTGATTTCCAGTTGTTATCAGAAAAAGAGCAACTGAAGAATCCAGAGCGCTACAGTTTCCCAACAAATGCAGTACCCCGAAATGACCAAGATCTTGAACTTCCCTGTTTTGCATTTTCACTTTTTTCATTTCTTTCCATTTTCACCCCCCCCCCTTTTAAGTTCAACTCACAAAAACGACATATAGCGTCAAAAACAGTCAAAACAACCTCTCTCCCACGTCTTCCACTTTTACTATAACACTCTTTTGTGGAAGAAAAAATCCTGTTTTTAAACTGATAGACGACCATCTTCTTCCTCATGTGTTTGTATGGTAGGCACCCCCAGCAAAAGAAGAAAGAAACATTGTCAAAAATCGAGAGGGTTTTTTCAGCCATTTTTGTGTTTTTCCATCACCCCCAGGACCCCCCTAGGATCGATTTAGAAAAAAAATAACCACGAAAACATTGGGAATGGCGGTGTTCGGAGTTTTGAAACTTTCGAGAGGTTGTTTTTGCTGTATTTTTTTCTTCTTTGTCCTGAAACGTGGAACAAAACTAGTTAGTCACTGTGTTTGGAAGGGGCAAAGTAAGAAAAAAATAGGTTAGAGGACAATGTGTTGAGGCTGAAAAATGTAAGACGTGAAGTTTTTGAAAAGACAGCAGTAGAATTTCAGATTTCGAAACTACCATAAACCTGTAGTAGAAGAGGACTCCCACTCTGTGAAGTTTGAGCTTATTTATCTCGGCTTCTATGAAAGGTATCAAAAACTTTGTCAACTGATAAAATTTTTGTGATGTTATCATAAACATTTCATTGGTTGACCACTTTTTTGTATCTTTGACAGGAACCAAGATAAACTGACTAAAAATAAATTGTTAGAGTGCCCTTTACAGGTTTTACGTTTTCAGATGATCTTGCAAATTAATATTTAATCCGTTCTCCTAGATATGTGTAAAATTATAATCATCGTAAGGACTCTGGTCGAATGTCCTAAACTTTGAGCCCACATTGCTCGTTTTCTAAGAAAGATATCAAAGAAGATCAACTGTCAAAATTTTAACCACCATCAAAGGTATTATGTCAGTTTTCGATATCTTTCACAGAAAATGAGATATATGGGCTCAAAGTTGAAAGTTTTGAGAGTCATTTATCAAGGTATTTACGACAGTTTTATCTTAATTAGGAATGTCTTTTCTCGATTTTTTAAAATTTTTTTTCATTGCCGATCCCCCGCCACTAGCTCGTTCTTGCTCTAGCCTCCGTGCCAGCGAAAACTATGTGTACATCTGCATGACAACACGCTCTCACAACACACTGGTTAGCAAGAGAGGGGAGGTGCAGCTTTTACCGCGCGGAAAAAAGAACAACACAAAGTTTTGTGTCTGCCGCATCGGAAAAAGAGAGCAACCACCCACGAAACTTGCGCAATACCCTCCACACCAACGGTTCTACCATATGTTTGCACACGCGCCTACCCTTGTGCTGGAGCCGCTGGATGGACATCAGCTGTTTGAGCGTTTCGAGGAGGAGATAAATGGCAAACTTGGTCGCGGAAAGTTTTTTGGAGAGAGAGAGAGAGAGAGAGAGAGAGAGAGAGAGAGAGAGAGAGAAAGAGAAAAGAATGGGAAAAGCACATTGGCTGGGTGCGGATAGTTTGGCATGCAGCCAGATAGTTTGGCATGTCATCAACGTTTACAGAAGAAGCATAAAACTGGTTTTCTTAAAGGTTCAAAGTCCAGAGAACAGTTCAACTAAAAATTGATGTCTTGGGGGGGGGGGGGGTTCACACAATCTATATAATTCGAAACTACCAGTAGCAAAAGGAATAAATAGAAAACTCAAAGTTAGAATCACTAGAAAATCAGCTGAAAACTTCGCATGGAATTGTTCAGGATAATTAAAAATTTTTGGAATTCAAAATTGATTTTCTCATGTCCCTGAAAATCCTCTGACCCCTAAAATTTTCTCAGCTATTCAAAACAAAATATTTTCCCCCTAAAATCAAAATCCTTCTCTTTTTCTCCCCTCAAATCTCTTCTGTTTGGTAACCCTTATCGACTTTCCTCCCGAAAATCGTTTGCTTCATGATTTTTCAACGACAACACACAAGAGTCAAAAAGAAAAATATTTGAATAGACCGTTGTCAGCACAAAAACAGGTACCCTCTAGGAGAAAATCAGCTCCACGGAGCACACAGGTATGACTCTGTTTGCTCTTTACTCGTTACTCTCGATGAGACTGGGTCCTATACTGTTTTTCTTTTTTTTGCCAGAGGAATGTTTTGTGGAAATTGTGTGCACAGACTGTTTTCGGGGTGTATGGAGAATTAATCTGAAAAGTGGGAAAATCTGGGTTTTGGAATTTGGACTTGGTCGAACAAAGAGGCACTAAAAATGAAGAAGAGTGCTCAGAAGCAACAAGTTTAGGAAAATCTAGGTTTCTCTAAAGTGTCCAGATGTAATTTTGAACATTAAAAAATCTTGAATAATTGAGAACTTTGAAAATACAGCACCGGTCAATAAGATAACAAAATACGTATTTTTAATGCAATTTTCGGTCACATGGACCATTTTCAGGAGTCTGGAGCTAGGCTGTCAAGGGTCCGATCACTTTGCAAAATTTGGAGAGTGTAAAACAGACCTAGATGGAAAACCTTGCATCCCCATAATTTTTCAAAAAGTTCTAGTTTTTTAGCTATCTGCTGATTCCTGAACGACACCCCGTTTTTGTACTAAAATCATGAAAAAACAAAATGTCTTTCAGATATTGGGAAACAATTCGGAATTTCTGTGATTTCAAAAGTATTCTTTTTCGATACTGAAGGTTTAAGAATCCTGAACAATTATTCGAATTTTCGAAATTTTACAGATGGCTCATACCCCATTAAAAAATCCCTACTCCAACATTTTTTCTGATTTTTCAACGTGACGTGTGTGTTGATGGGGTTTCCTCCTAGCTCCACAGGCACAGGAGGCGCGATACCGGTTCATAACCGTTTGTTGTCAAATATTTGCTATTCAATAAGCCCTGACGTGAGCTTGTTGCGTGTGAGCCTGAAGAGAAAAAGCACGCGCGTGCTCCGAGGGTTTGGCTGCCGCGCGGAGCTCCCTGACCAGAAATACAACACCGTCTGTCGCCGCCGCCGCGTAGAGATCAGATCACGTGAACCAGGTTTTTTTGATGTGAACCATACATCTTTTATATGTATTTGATGGCCGGGACGTCTCTTTTCAAATTCAACCATTTCCTTTTTTTTTTCAAAACCGGAATCCAAATACGTTATTCGGGCAGTTATCAAGTTGATCGAAATCAGAATCGAAATCAAAGTAGTATCGGATGTAGGGGTAGTGAATGCGTGTACGACAAAAACACTGGCTTTTTATCTAGACCCTCTTCAAAATGCTTGATCACTTTTTTTTGGCCAACCAACCTATTCAACCTGAATGATGACACTCTGTGAAGGAGGGGGGGGGGGGGGGGGAGACAACCCCGACACATACGGACTACGGTATTATGCACTTTTATACTAATCGACTGTAGGGGTTTTTCCCTTGTCTTCTGTTCATTAGACGAAGGCGGTGGAGACAAGACATGATTTGAGACTTTGACCAATCCGGAGTCTGGTTTCTTAATCTTATTTTGAACACTGACTACGGTAGTTCGAAACTATACATATTAGCCAAATGACAAGCAAACTACAAGGAAGTGCATGAAATACAGTAAAATACACAAAAACGTATTTTCAGTTAATTTTCGGCCATTTGGACCATTTTCAGAAACATGGAGCTCGCTTCTCAAGTTTCCGATCACTTGGAAAATTTTGGAGTATGTAAAATAGACTTGGATTGGAAACTTTGCATTCACATAATTTTTTGAAAATTCCTCGGTTTCCGGCTATTTGTCGATATTCGGAAGATACCGAAAACATGAATAACAGTTGTTTTTCAGAAATTGGCAAATAGCTGGGAATCTGTTTTTAATCTAGGTCTGTTTTACATGTTCCCGATTTTTCAAACTTGTCGGAGACTGGAAAGCCGAGCTCCAGACTCTTGGGTATGTCCGAAGTACTCAAAAAAAACACAGTGCTTTATGCGGAAACGTTTGGGGATTAGCAAACTTCAGATTCAAAAAATCTACAAAAGCTCTAAATTTCTGTACCCTCCCAACTCAAAAAAATCACCGCTTCCCAGTTCCAGTTCCAATTGACATGTCTGTTCCCAAAAAAAAAACATCCAAAACAACATTATGTGACACACAAATTGATGATGCCAAATTGCACATGTTGCGAACATGTTTCTGGGATACTAATTCTCTTTTTTTTTTCGCGCCCACCACAAAAGTCACAGAGACCCGGGTCAGAACGGTCAAAACAACTCTCTTTGTTGTGTCGTGTCGTCCCTGAGATGGTGGTACCTTAAATATACGGTCTCGGTGTCTTCGTTGTCTCCTATTCAGCCAATAATACGCCAACCCCAAATACATAAAAAAAATATTTTGGAAGCTATTTTGTTTTGAGAAAGAACAGAACAGCCCAAATCGTATCCTGACTGGTCCTCCTCCTCCCTTTTATGCTTTCATCTTTTCCCAAATAGATTGTGTATGTGTATTGTCAATAAGAGAAAATGCGACTGTGTGCCATCGTATTGTACAAAAGAGGAGAGGAATCACTACCAAATTTCAGATTTTTCATGCCAAAAAAATATCATAAAAAAGTTATTTTGGCGTTATTTTGGCACGGCGGTGTTTTCAGGTGCCAAAACATGTCAAACTGTCTATGCAAATTTCACCGGGATGGCAAAAAAGTAGCGGGGTAAAGTGAAAAGAAGAAAGAGATAGGGAGGGCAACGAATTGGTTTAGCGGGAAGAGACACGTGGGGAAAGTGGTTTTGTAGGTCAGTTTGAAAGTGGTCATATGTCAATCTAGTATGTTCCTACCCGTTAATTACTACATGTTCTTTGTTAAAGGGCATAGTATGGTTCAAAATGTTCAATTAGCTTCTAAAGCCTTTTAAATACGTATTTTTCCGAAATTTTCGGCATTTTCAGAAGTCAAGAGCTCGGCTGTCGAGTTTCCAATCACTTTGACAATTTTAGAAATTGGAAAACAGACCTAGTTTGAAAATTTTGCAGTACAGAATTTTCGGAAAATTCCTAGTTTTTCAAATATATGTGGATTTTTGAAAGACACATTTTTTCACGTTTTTAGCAAAACAGATCAAAAAAGTGTCTTTTAGGAATCTAACAAAAAAAAGAAGTTTCAAAAAGTACTGTAAATGCAAAATTTTCTATCTATGCATGTTTTACATTGTCCAGAATTTTCAAAATGATCTTAAACTAGACAGTCGAGTTCCAGACTTCTGGAGATGGTCAAAACGGCTAAAAATCTGATTGGTACTGTATATAAATATTCTCCCCACTGGTTCCAAGGTTTCCCAGTGTTTTTTTAAGGACTCAAAGATTATTCAAAAGATATCGTTTGAGATTCCAAAGATGTCCTTTTATGTCCCACACAATAATCTCAAACCGTCTTTCATTCCTCCGCTTTAAAACGATTAGAACACCTTGTTTCATTTCAAAAAAAAAAAACGTCTCCTCCGCTTGCTGGGGGTCATTGACTCCTCCTCCAACCCCCCCCCCCCCCAATGTTTCTCTCTTCCGCAAAAAAAACCTAGAGGAGAGAGACTCTCCCAATCGGTTCGTTCGACAATGGCCATAAAATGAGATTGACTTGGCAAGAAGAAACCTCTTTTTTTTGAAAAGCGACAAGTGAAAAAAAACGATTGAACGCATCACCCTTCGTCGTTCGCCCTTTTTACAAATGAGATAACAATCTATCTTGGTGGTAGGGAATTAGGAGGAATAAGAGGAATAAAAGGGCGACGGATATGACCCCCAAAAAACGACTGGCGAGAGGAAAATTGAGACAAAAAAGACAAAAAACTTCTGAATTCTCAAATTCTCAAATTCTAATCTGTGAAAAATCTAACACCGCTTTGTCGTAAACTGGGAGTATATTGTAAAGACAGAAGTACGAATTCGAATAGAACGACTCAAATATTCAGTTACTCACCTTTGGTTGTGTGCTCTGGAAGCTTCTGGCAGCCTTCTCGGCGGCTCTTTTCACAGCTCCCTCTGGAAATGGTCCATCAGCTAAAACCTTCTCATCCTGGAAAACGGTGACACGTGGATTCATGCAAGGAAACAACTAAACTGCTACCTCTACCTCGGTTTCCTTTGGCGACTGGTTCCTCTGGCTCGGTTGGCTCTCATTTTCGAAAAGCTCTTCAGTGTCTTCCTCACCCTCCATGTCCAAATCGCCGTCAGAGTCTTCGGTTTTAATTTCAGCTTGGAATAAACTCTGGAATTTTTTCTATTGGTTTCCGGAGCATCCAATCTCAATTCTTTAAAAACTTAAAAATGACGTCTCCCCTCTTCACAGTTTGGAAAAAAGTTTCAAGTGTTTAGTATAGCTATAAATCAAATCAAGAGGATTCAGAAGACTCCCTAGCATCCAAACCCAAAATGACTACAAACTATACCTTTAAAGAACTTGTCGTTTTGTCGGATGTCGAATTGGTGGCACTGGGTGTAAACGATTGAGGTGGCGCCTCCGAAATGACCGTTTGAGGGGGAGACGTGAAAATTGAGGGTATCCTGAAAAGAGAACAAAAGGGTATTGGACATGATGTTGAACTCCTCTCTCTAAATTATATACCTCTGATCGGGCAGCCGTGTTGCTAGTAGCTCTAGAATCAGACTCAATTTGAGATCCATGTCATTTAGTCGATGACTCATCGAGTTTAGTATCGTTTTGCTTTCGTTATTATCGAAAAACGCAGCCAACGGTATTTGTGCCATCTGAAATTGTTGTTGAGGTGTGGGTTGAGGTGCAGTGTTGTGCGGATTCGCCATGTGATGGTGTACTATCTATAAGATTGCTAAGCTAAAAAGAGATATAGGAAAAAAGAATCTTCGGTTTGAAGTATGTAGGTGTCAGAGGGGGATACGGTAGATGCGCACGTGTCTAGAAGAAAATTCATGATAATGTTTAATTGGAAGTGTATTAACGATGTATTGGAAGTCAAAAATAATACAAAAATGAAATCATGAGCAATATGAAAAAGTCTCGATTCTAAGTAACAGGATTTTCGAGCTAATTTTAAAAGGATGAGTTTATGAATGAGACCTATTGGGAATGAGTCAGTGAGAGTAAACTTATATTGACAAAAGAAAAGAACTAGAGAATGGCAAAAGCTCGAAAAAAGTGGAAATGTTCAATCTGGAAAATGAACGGTTAGAGACCACCATGAAAGATCATTGAAATGAAAAATAAAATAAAAGTTTGCCCCCCTCCCCCAGATGCCCCCCTGGGTGGAAGTCAAGTCAGTTGTGTGGGGTAGCCGGACAGAGAAGCCCGCCCACTTTCAATAGACTGTCCTGCCTCTCCCAGACCCTCCATCAAGCCATGAGGAAAAAGTATTGGACGAGACGAAAAGAGACAAACGGTAGGAGTCGGAACTGCGAGATGTAGGCGGAGCGTCGGAAACGCTATGATACCGTATTCCAACACCACCCTGGTCTCTCGATTTTGTTCTGGAGTCTGAGAGAATATGTTCAAGTGAACCCCCTCTCAGCTCCGCCCCCTTGAACATACTTCATTTTCGTTTTTGTGCGTATTTTTCAAAACACCTCCCCATACTCTCCACTTCATTCGCCATCGTTTGTTCATGTGATCGGAATGTTTGAGGTTGAATGGCGAGATGGGGAGAGAAAGGTGTTCGCATTGGAATGAGCACAAAAGTACCAAACAACTGGAACTGTCATTGAACAGCTGGAAGTCATACATGTTATGGCAAAAGGAAAAGCGTCATAACACTTTTTCAGAGCTTTTGGGATACAAAGATTTTCATTGTGATGGCAATGCTTCTGACGAAATACATGAAACTGTGGAAAAGAAAAATCGAAATGAAATCTAAGATTTGAACATACCGTATGTGCTCTAATAGAAGCCCACCCTATAGGTACACTTTGGGCTCAATCATCTCGATTCCATCAAAAGTTATCAAAATCTGTCAACTGATAAATTATTTATCCTGATATGAGCAATATTCGATCAATTGACAAATTTTTGATATCTTGCATATCAATTGGGATGATTGAGCTCAAAGTTTTTTAGGAGAGTTCTATTAGAGGAAATACGTTAATCAGAAGATATAAAAGTTCGCATTTTTGAAAAACCAGGACCAGGTCCAGTCTGTGGCAAGTATTAAAGGAGTTGGAGTCACATGTAAAAGTTGAATGAACATGCCAAAAAAACCAGGAACTGAAATTACTGGTTTGATGTTAAATGACGAATTTAAGATTTCAAAAATTGCAGGTGATCATTTATTAGTTCAAATGCGGGAAGATGTTTTTATGGAGGTACTGAATTTGGGCCAACTACGATATTCTTTTAGAAATTGCATTTTCTGGAGCTTTGCCCCACTGAACTGAACTTCAACTTCTGATTATTTTTTGGCTGGAATTATTTCTGAAGTGCTCCAAGTGCTAGTTTTTTATCTCCAAATAAGCCAGCTACTTTTAAACAGGCGTAGAATTTCGGCTTTATCTCATTAAGTACATGCACACTTACTCTCAAACCTGTAATGAATTATTCCCACATCTTCAAACTTAGAGCCAATCTATTTCGGTTCCTGTCAAAGATATGAAAAAAGTTGTCAATTTATAGAATGTTTATGATATTATGAGAAATATTTTATCAGTTGACATATTCTATATACCTTTAAGAGGAATCAAGATTATTAGGATCAAATTTTGACACACAGATTTTACAGTATCTCAAAAATCTGCTGTAATTCAGTTCACACCCTACTCGTTAAATTTTTTGCTATTTGCTTTTATTTCTTTCGTTTTTTGTTTTTCTCCTTTTTTCAATATTTTCAGCTAGAGTGTAAAAAATCTGAAACAGAAGAATCAAAATTGGAAGTGCCCCCCCACACTTTTCTTTTTCAGGGGTTCTTGGCTAAGTAGAAAACAACAAAAAATGGGTGACCGACCATTCGACCATTGAATTTCAGACACAACACAAAAAAGGAAACCTAACCAACTCGAATTAAATACAGGTTTTTTTCTTTACCCCTTCTTTTTTTGATTTCATCCATTCAAACATTTTTTTGTCTGAATGTGTGTGGTAGATTGTTGCAGCTACGTCCAGACAGGTAATGGAGTGAGAGGATAGAAAAAAGAGAATGGACGTCTTCAATTTTTTTTTCAATTTTTGTTACACTTGGTCTCAATCTAACCATTGAAATTGGTCATGAAAATCGGAAGCAGAAAAACAGTGAGATTGATGAAATTGGGAAATGAGTTGTAATAGTAAAGAATCTCAAAACGGAGAGTTTCCCAGTTTTTCCATTTTCCAAACAAAAATGCTCAAACTCAATTCTGGTCATGCTAGAACATTAATAACAAACAAGAAGGGGTTAGGGTTTAGTCTTCTTTCTCGGAGATGAGAAGAAGTCAGTTGTTCGTCAAGAAATCTAAACAAATGGTAGCACATTTCGGTTTGAATGTATACTAATGGGATTAACATTGAATATTTTTGTTAAGAATTGTTGAAATTGCTTTTCGTGGTTCCGGGGATTTTTTGTTACGAAAAAGGTAAAGGTAACAACATAACAAGGGAACATCAACAAATCGTAAATATAGATATTTAAAAAAACATTGAAATAGGTTAAGATTAGCCTATCCAGATTTTTCTGAAACTTTTGAAATCCGATCACCAGTTTCAGCCGAGTTATATCAGTTTCAGTTCCAAAAATCGCGTTTTCACTGCAAAACGGCGAATTTCGGATACCATTTATTCAAAGTCAAGCACTTTTCAGAACATGAAATGCGCTGCATTATACTCAGAATTCTATAAAATTTCATATTTCAAACCTTTTCTCAAGAAAATTTCTTTTATTAATTTCCGAAAAAATCCAGAAAATCGTAAAAAAATCCACAATTGAAAACATTTATCGAAACTTTTTTTTGAGAAAATGTCGGAAATTAGCCATTTTATTCAGATATAGCAAAGGTCCATATACTAATTACAATCGTCTTTTGTTCGAATTAAACGAAATTCCAATGTTCTGACACTTCCTCAAAAAAAAAGAGAATAAAACTTTTTTTAAAATCATTAACTTTTCCACAAACTTCCAGAATTATTCAAAAAATGGAAAAAAAAGTTTTTAGAATAGGTCTGAAATGTTAAATTTCATTTACCGTAAGCACTTAGAACACCACCCGAATCGGTAAATTCGAGCTCATATATCTCATTTCCCCTTTTTCCGTGAAAGATATCAAAAAGTGTTTCATTACTGAAATGATGCTGATATTGTAGTAAATATTTTATTAGTCGACAACTTTTTGATATTTTTCAAAAAAAGTAAGACATATAAGCTCAAAATGGGCAATCCGGGTGCCGTTCTATTAGAGTGTTTACGGTAATTCTTAGTATAACACAACAAATTTCATGTTTTGAATCGACTAGAAATTGGAAAAATTGTTTTCGAAAGTGTCTGTTTTGCACTGGCGATTTTTAATACTGAAATTGATATAACTTGGCTAAAACTGAAGGGCGGCATTAAATGTTTCGAGCAATGTCCAGAGAGGCTTTGCTCAATCTGACTTGAAATTTTTATCGAAACCTGAGCTTTAAAAAATATTGACGTCCTCTTGTTTGCGATTTTAGGGGTTCTGGGCCACAGAAAAAAGAGACAATCATGATAAAATAACAAATCGAAAATCACAAAAAAGTCGATACTTACCGGTTCAACAAATCTCTTCTCTGATGGTTTCATCAGCAGACATTATCGTAGTAAAAACCGCCAAATAACCTGAAGGAGGGTTTGAAGAATGGTTTGAAGAGAAAAATGAGAGAAAACTAGGTTTGAAGAGAAGGTGGCAACGATAAGATAAAAAAAAAGAAAAAAATCTAGTTTTCGTTGATAACTTGGAAATTGAGAGACAATTCTGAACGATTGACCTCTCAAAATTAGTTTTAAACTTAATTTTTAATTTTTTTAAAACGGCAAAACCAAACATAGAACACCTTTTTCTGAACCAAACGCAAACAGCTGCCAACTCAGAAAGAAGCATGTCTTCAGGTGTTGAGTAAACAATCCTCATTCAAAACGTACAGATACAGATGTCTCGAAAAGTATCAAAACATTTTTTTTGAAGATTGAAGACGCTCCTTTTTATTACTTTTTTGGTTTGCGAAATGGTTTTAAAGATTGCAAGAATAAAAAAAAAATGTTCTATTGTGAAAAATGAAAAATATGTGAAAATAAAATTTTAAAAATGTAATGCTAAAAAAATTAAAGCTGCCGAAGAGACCGTGGTCAAAGGTTCCATAGCCGTAACTACCGTAACTATAAATATACTTTCTCCAGGGAAAAATTACAAAAAACTCTATCAAAAACAGTGAAGAGGAAGAAAGTTAATATGAAAATAAAACTATTTTAAGGTTACGGTAATTGACCTTTTGGAACCTTTGGCCATGACTTTTGGCTACGGCAACTAACGGATCTCTCATGAGATTGTAAAATATACTAACGAAAAAATGCAATCATCAAGATTCATGTGAACAACTCTACGAGAACCTTAGTATGGTTGTAAAGTAGGACCGACCGAAGAAAACTCAATAGAAGCTGAAGTCATACTGTCACAGAACAGCGGGGAGCTAGAATGATGTGGCCCTGGTACTAGGAAGAGGAGAACGGACCGTTCAGAATGTGTTCAAATAATTCATGGAAGTTAGTAGCTGACTTTTAGAAGGTTTCTAACTTAGTGTTCGGTTAATCAATGTTACATTGACTTTGAAAATAATCTCTCTCAAAGAAAAACATTTTAGGTGCACAGACAGACAAATTGAAATTTCAATTTAATGGAACTTTAAAAAATTAATAAGTTAGTTTTTTCTATAAGTATGTTGTTTAATTTGGCATCAATTTATGAAAATCGTTTTTTGGGCTCCCAGAAATAAAGTTTCGAAGATGATGTCGATATTTTCTATCTAGACCGAAATTCCAATCAGATGCAAATCAAAACAACAAAAATTGTTTCAGTTCTGTAATTTGAGGTTAAAATCCCGTGAAACCTCTGACAGAAGTGGCCCCAAACTTTCAAGTTTCAGCTGATTTATCTCACTTCCTGTAGAAGATATAAAAAATGTGTCAACTGATAAAATGTTTTTTGTATTATGATAAACCATTTATCAGTTGACAACTTTTTAGTATTTTTCACAGGGTAAGAGATAAATTAACTCAAAGTTAAATGTTAAAGATCCTTTTTATCAAAGTTTTTATGGTGTGTTGATTCTGCACATTTTTTGCCCCGCCCTTGGTACCGTTCTTTTTGAACGACTCAAGTTCAGGTGTTTTACTGTTGCGCTACATTTGCTGCACCCGTTCCAACGGCTGCTACCGTTTTCCCTCTTTTCAAACATAAGGACAGCTATGTTTTGATTCATTATGTTTTGTAACTTACGTTAGAAAAAGTTGGAGGGGGGGGGGGGAGGTTATCAAGGACGTAAAATTCTCATACTGTGCTTGTGAACACGGATCCTCTCTGTCACCTCGTTACGCGGGTCACACACTTTCGTTTGAGTAACAATTGGATTTACGTTTATGGTGTTTTCAGGAAAACTGTAGCATTGCAATGCAGAAGCGGGCATTGTTGTCCTGAAAAAATTAGCGATGTGTGAAAAACAAACATATGTAGTGTTGTTAGGATATAAGTAGTTAGACTTCATAATGTACAGTAGTCCTAATTCAATTATCGTGTCGTATATATTTTTACAAATTTTGAAATATTAACAACACCTAATTGTTTTTTGTTTTTTACAAAATCTTTTTTTTTCTTTTTCAAAATAGAGGAATTGAGTGGGAAAATAATTTTTTAGCTTTCCAAGAATGAGGGGAGTTTCAGAAACGACCGAATTTTGTGTCAAAACTAGAGGGTACATGGGATCTTAGACTGTAAGGCGTTTTAGCCTAAGCCTATAATTTTGAGCAGAAATCAAAATAGTATGTATAAAAATATTGATTTACTTTTTTTTGTTCACCTACATGTACCGAACAATCCAATGTACCCTTGGAACCAATGTACCCTAAGAACTCGATGTACCCTTTTTCGATGTACCCTTGGATACTGGGCCATCAAAAAGTCCATCAAGCATTATTTAATTGAAGTGCATGATTTGTGTATTATTCAGTAGATACCATCTATATTAATGCAACTAATTTTTGGAACAAGTGCAGAAGAAGGTTTGTGATATTAAGAATACTTATTATAATGATTAAATACAACAACTAATTAGAAACAATTAAAATCAAACAACAAAGAAGAAAAAAACATGAATAAAGTCAAAAAACAAATTTTAAAAAAATCGTTTTCCGAATGTTTCATGGACACTTTGGACTCTTGCTTCGTGAAGACACTGTCACACAACATCAGAAAGTCTCACCAACTTTGATCGGTACAAGTCGCCAATTCTGCAACTCATTATTTTTCAGAAAAGTGACATATTTATGACTAAAATTTGTTAATTAAGAACTTCAAAAATTCATACAAATCACACGATTGATATGTTGAGATGTTTCACAGTTTTATTTCATAAAAAGCCAACACAGATAATTCATAAATAAATGATATGGCAAGCTTAACAGATAAAAAAAATTGAAAGAAAAAAACCAAAAAGATAACCGAAGACAGTACAGAAGATTATGAAGGTCCGTACTCGCAACTACACACACGTCATTTCTTGGTTTCCGCACGCGGCAGGACATCATGTGTAGACGCAGATGAAGCAGTAGCAAGTGCTATTGCAGGAGAAAGTTACCGCAATGTTATGCCAATCCAATAGGCTGCGCATAATTTGAAAATTGTGTTTTATCACCGAAGTTCTGCTCGCGATTCAATACTCTGAATATATATTTTTTTAATCTCAAAATTTCGGTATCGTTAGCTTATTTGGTTGCTTCAAAGACGACAGAAGTTTTCAAATTTAATTTGTTTGTTCATATTTTCTTTTTAGGTGTTAAAAAATTACGAAATAGTTTACTAACTATTTTGAAGGATCGAGGGAGCATCAAAAATTGTGTTTAAATTATTTATTAACTTTTCAACTGGAACTTTTTTGTTCCCAAATGTGGCCTGAAACTCTAAACGTATGCAATTTTTTTGTTTATATTTTTAAAAAAATAATTAATTAAGCAGCTATTAAAATTAGAAATGAATTACGTGAATCATTTAATACAAAATTTATCGAACTCTGAGAAAGTAGCGCAATGAAAAGAAAACAGTTAAATGATCACGGAATATCAAGTTTCCACAAAAACTTATAGAAGTCGTAATTCAGAAGAATTCGTCCACGACTACTCCCTCGTCGGTGAGGTCAACATCCCAGCGTAACTGCACATTCCTGTAAAAAATTAGATTATTTCAAAATCGGATAGAAATTTATTCACCGGGAAAAAATGCTCTCGGAGCTGGTCTCCTGTGTCACTTGTTTGAGATCTCCTTGAGTACAGTTATGAGTGACAGTGATATAGATCTCGTAAAAATTCTGAAGAAATAATACATTTTTCACTGTTTTAACAAAAAATTATTTTTCATAGATCACAAACTTCCAAAAAAACTCAAAAATACAAAAAACAACTAACATCAAAAGGACCATCGCTGTACTGAAGTCCTTCAATGAGGTAGTCAAAAGAATATTTGTCAGTGATGCATTTGATGCCTTCTTTCCCAATGAGATCGTCAGTGTTGATGCTAGAATAATTTTTTAGAATAGATGAATTACCTTTTCAAATCAAAAACTCACAGAATGCTCATATCTTCTTCCCACATCGAGACAAAGAAACACCATGTAACTTCATATTCGCAGAAGAGCGAACCTTTTGCATTAAACATGGTATACGGAGTAACATTGAAAACAAGGCCGAGAAAATAAAAAAACTTCATTTTTATAACATTATTTTTAGATATTCAAGGTTTTTGACAATTTTTGGAAGGGAAATAGGCGGAGTCTCCTTCATTCTGGAGTGATTAATGACGTTTAGAATGAGAGAAAGCCACCGGAAATTGAAAAAATAGCCAAATCCTAACCTAAAGCATTTTTTAATATAATGCATTCTAAAAGACTGAGAGATGTTGTTTTGTCTCATTAATATCCAAAATATGATATGTGCACCGTTTTGCCGGAGAAGAATTTTTTCAACCCAAGTTTCCAGTGATTATTTCTCTTGTCTTTGGGAAAAAAACATTTTCGAGTTGAGAACAAATTAATTAACCGAAATTCTGCCAAACAGAAAGTTTTCGAAGAACGTGGTGTCGTCAAATTAGTTTAGTTCTGAAATTTGACTAGTGACTCTCACAACGAACAAGCACTCGCTGCTAATGAATACCGTGAGTGTTATTGATATATATCGAGATAGGAATTCAACCAAAATTTTAAAAAATCTGGCGATGGTCACTCGAATGGTGCAAAAAGAACAACCGAATCTCATCCAAATACTGACCCACCCGCACACCAGATTAATGAGATTCTTTTGCCCTAAACGAACATTTTTTAAATCCTGATTTTTCAAAATAATGGGCATTGAGGGAGAACGTGATGTTTGTGTAGACTGTTGCTTCAAACTCGGGCTAACACGTTCCGCAGCATTCCACGACGTTTTCCATTGAAATGATGACCGAAATAGTTCAAATGTTTGCATGCTATAAATTGGAAAATCATAATCTTCCCTCGTCTGAAAGGTTTTAGTCAGTTTGTCTCTTATCGTGGTTTCCAACGTTGTAGCAGTTCGATGAGCAATCGTTTTCGCTACATTCTATCATATTAAAAAAAAACTCTTGAAGACTTTTCTAAAATCTGTATGAAAATCGAAATCCTGTGAAATTTTCCAACATAAAATTACGATAAACTTTTTTTTCCAAATTCTGGTCATGATTAAGCCGGGTTTTGTTTTCCTTCAGCTCATTTTCTTTATTATTACTTGCGAGAATCTATAGAGATCACTTTGCGCTCACAAGTGCGCTCTATCGCGCGGGTCTCGTCGCGAAAACTGGCCATGGGGTAGATTTACGAGACAAATCTATATTATTTTTCTACGATAAAACTCGATTTTCAGCAGAAAAAAAAACATAGTTCTGTTGATTTCTTCGATAAGATGTCAATTAACAAATTTCTGGTCATCCCTGCGGCTACCATCGATGACGTCACAGCTGTACAACTCGGGAAAAAGTAAGTATTTGTTTTCTTCTTTTGTTTCAATCTAGAAAATGTTTATATGGCACGTTAACTATGGAGTGAATGAGAGATAAACAGAATGAGTATTCTCCTCGGTCATATCTGCATGATTTCAAAAGTTGCTGAGTCTGAAATTCGTTTGTTCCGTATAATTTGCAGGACACTGTCGACCACATACCAACTACGCGATCAACAGAAGCAGTCGACATAGAGAGGGATGCTCCAAGCACGGAAATGCTACTAAGGAATAGATGGTGATGTTCCCGTATAAGAACGAGTTGTGAATAAATTATCGACAAATGCAGCTGTATTTTGATCTACCCAACAGAAAATATGATGATGGATAGCTGATTTTTCAACGAATGCTTCAATAATTGGACATGCTAGACAGCCGCTACCAACCGACTCAAATGGAAGCACAGATCTTGGACGAGATGGTAGAGTGGGAATTCAAGAAAAGAGTGGACAGTCAAGAAAATTACGTTCTGATTGAAATCCGAGAACATGTTTTGCTAAGAAATAGCCAACTGAAATAGCCAAATAGCCAACAAATTGACGCTTATCAAGTTATCTATGCTGACAAATGAGCACTGCCCAAAAACTCGGAAGCAGAAGTAATGGAAAAAGAAAAAGAAAGAAAACCAAGAGGATCTTTTCTCCCTACAAAGGCTTCGGGAACTCGGTTTATGGAGGAGAAGCTGGATGTCGACTTCTGGGATTCCAATTGCAACATGTGTGACAGATTCACATTGTCCATTATATAAGTGAGTGGTTTTTGTGATTCGAAAGAGTATTGTTCTGTTTTCATAGATTCTGTCAGCTGATGTTTATGGCAATTTAATTTGGATGGATCACTTCCTACCTATGCTCTGGGAGAAGCCATTGATCCAGATGAAGAGATGGGCCTAGCTGATGCTAATGTGATTGATCTAGGCTAACATTAATGCTCACATGCGGTCGATTTAAGTTCATTTGAAGGCCACGAGCCACAACGAAACCTGTGTTGAACAAAGCACCTCAAGAACTACTTGAAAAGGATTTTCCGTGTGAAAATCGGATAAGATATCTGCAGATGTGTTTGTCGATGATCTGATAAATGTCACCGCAATTTTGTTAATTTTTTCATGTGTCCATGGAAAGTTTATACAATATTGTAGAAAATTGGAATAGGAGGCATAAAGAAAACTGATGGCAGTGCACACATTGCTACATTATGCACGTTCTACTGAAGCTGCTTTGACAGATCGGTTGAAGGAAAACAATTCGGCGTTGTTCGATTTCGGGTGATCCGATTAAATAAGACGTGAGTTACTAACAAAAAGAGTTTAGAAAAATAAAATAACAACTATTTTCAGACATTCGCACACGGATACTAATGGTCGGAGAAAGATGCCATTCAAACTCATTGTTCTATTTCTTCCTAGCGATAACAGGAGTTGAGCAGTGTAGCAAATGGATAGCAGATTTCGGATGATCTAGTACAAAACTCAAGCTAACCGGATAAAATCTAAACGGCTTTTTTTGCTCTCCAGCAATCGATGTTGGACGGTTAGTTCTGATGTGAAGATCTAATGATACTCTCCGCAATAAATGTTTTTCAGATTTCAATGATGGTCGTAAGGAAAAGTGAAGCATAATACTCATCAAAATCATACAATGCCAGTATAAACAGACAATATTGCTATGCAATGATCTCCACACTGGCTGCCTTCCTAGGCTTTCTTCAACAGGATAGCTGTTCCAAAACAAAAAAGAAGGTTCGCGATGAGATTAATTGGTTTTTAATGAAATAAATTGCTATGGCTACGTGTGAATCATCAATAAATATGTTCTTATAACTTTTTACGAGATCTTCTTGTTTGCCATGTTGAGTCAGATGCATTGATGAAGATACGGAAGTTTTTCCAACTACACCATTCCTTTCCAATGACATGCCATGAACTTTTATAATCTCTCCACAGGCCCGCCCGAATTACCTCCCCCCCCCTTAATGTCATTTTGGTTTGATACTATCTGTCTACTACATTCAAATCGAGAAGTCAAAAAACAGCGTCCTAATTTTGAACCTGTTATCTCTAGTAATCCAATCGAAAGATAATGGCTAAGAGGAGAGTAAAATGGCAACATTCAAGTGGCAACGTTGCGATTGGCCTTGGTTTGCTTTTGGAACCGATTCGTTAAAAGGGTTAAACCATATTTTGATTTATTAGACGACGTTACTCGTCTCAGATTAGTTTTCTGTTGAAGCAAACATCTTTTTGTTAATTTTTGCATTTTTCAAATAATTTTTTTGTCCATTCGTCATCGTTATGGCTAACATACTCAAGAAATACAACTGCTTTGATTGTCTGCAAAACATAAACGAAGCTGAACATACTCTTGAGGAACTCGAGGCTCATATTGCGGGAATTCACCTAGGATTTTATCCATATAAGTTAGTCTTTGGAATATTTGTGAAAAATAATTTCGTAAATATTGTCATTATTCCAGATGCATCGATTGTCTGAAGATGTTCCCGACAAAAAACTTGCTGACTAGACATGTTCCACAAAGTCATCATAAAAATTCATTTCCGGTCTACTACGAGTGTACAGAAGAATTTCGCAAAATGGAGAATGAGTTGGCTGCAAAAATTCGAAAATGCATCTCCTTGAAAGACGAACCAGCCATGTATCATCCTACAGTAATGCTTCATTCTCCGCACATTGATAAGCCAGAACCGTTTGGAAAACTGCGACGTGGGAAATAAAAACATTTTGAAAAAAGAAAAAGGTTAATTTCAGGGATGTTGATGAAAGATTACACTTCGGATGGAAAACAACAAGAGCATCTTCAATGCAAACTTTGCGATGAAATTGGCATTCCACTGTAAACCGGCATTCCACTGTATTCCTGCATGATTTGTCCCATGACTTGGACCAGTTTCACCCCGCCAACGAAACCGAACGTATGTACCAAGCTCTTCCGGATACAATTTGTTTTCATATGATTGTTGATAACAGCAAAAACCACAAATTGACAATGGAGTTTCTGGTCCTTCAATGTTTCTAATTTTTTCGAAATTTCGAAGTTATGTTATTTTCTATTGTTGCGTTGTTTTTTTGATAAGTTCTTTTTAGTTCTTTCAATGAACATGTCTAACAATTGCAAAACGGTTTTTGGCAAGGACGAAGATAAGAATCTCTTCTCAATGGGTTTCTATAGCGGTCTGCCTTTCATTGATCTTTCATTGAAGTTGAAAAGGAACTGCCGGGGAGTAAGAACGTGAATACTTTCAATAGTGATCTTTTTCTGAAAAAAAAGTCAATTTTCAGTGTTGGAATTTACCTAGTACATGTCCAAAAGGTATGAAAATTTCAGGGAAATTTTAGAAGGATTTTAGACAACTGGAAAGTGCTGTGCACTAATTAATACACTCAAACCATATGTTTGTATAAAGTTATAGTTGGAAGCTATCTATTAGGTTGGCAGGAAAGTAACTGTTCATTTTTTATTAGTAAATAACACAAACACAAGAATAATCCCGAATTAGCAATATGCACCGTCGTGATCCACAAAATGTTGACAATGTTCAGGTAACTTGTGGGTACCATCCCTCCAGAAGCCAGCTAGTGGCAAGTCAAAGTATCCCTCCAGTCCATTTTTTCAGGCATCAATTGTGTTAAAGTCCTTAAGCTCCAAATGACGTCGTATACTTTTGAATAACTAATGGTCTGATAGAGCTGAATCAAGTCTTTAACGGGCGTAAAGGAGAACCGTCCAGCCAAAGCGGCTCAGGTACGGCGTGACTTTCAGTGAACATGAGGTTTCTTCATTTTTTACCTGCAGTCAAGTCAGACCTGAGCAGTGGGACCGTTCTCCCTCACCTACTTATATTCCCAACTGAGCTCTATCAGATTATTGGATATTCGGAGAGATACAACCTCATCTAGAGAACACGAAAATTTGCACCAATTATGTGAAAAACAGGAAAAAAAAAATGAATACTTTGATTCGTGGCCAGCTGGCTTCTGGAGGGATGGTACCCACAAGTTACCTGAACATTGCCAACATGTCGTGGACCACGACGGTGCATACTGCTAATCTTGGATTAATCCTGCTTTTGTATTATTCACAAATAAAACAAGGGACAGTTACTTTCCTGCCAACCTAATATGTAGCTAGTACCTTTAGAATTCGGCTAATGACTTTTTGGTACTATAGTATAAACACCAAAAGACTTTAATTTTGGAGCCGCTGTATCTCGGTCCCTGTGAAAAATATAAAAAAGTGGTCAACGAATGAAACATTGTTTATATCATAATAAACATTTCTATAATGTACCATTTTTTTCATATTTGCTACAGGAAGTTAGATATATGGGATCGAAGTTAATGGTTTAGAGAGCATTCTATCAGCGTAGTTACGTTATGTATGGTCGAACAGAACAAATTGGTTCAGCAGTTTAGAAGAAAAATTCACGCATTGTCCAAGTTAAAACTGTTTACCTATCGATTTTAGTTTTGGATACACTTTCTGTAAAATTGCTCATAATTAAGATATCATCGTTTTTTTTAGCTACCTGAAAATATCAAGAACGCGTCAAACGCACCAAGAAGGTTTCATGATTATTCCTTCATTCCGCCAAAACAGTTTATCAAAAAACAAGGTCACATAAGAGACTATCTTTATCATCTTTTTATCTTATCTCCCCACTTCTTCCTTGCAGACAAGCTAGTGAAGGAGAAAAGGTATTTGGAAGATCTACAAAAATCAGACGGAAAGAATGAAAGAAAGTGTCAGAATGACCTTTTTGTATGAAATGCATCAACGATATTCGATTCATTTTGTTTCCTTTCGTTTTTATTTCTATCCTAAATTATGCAACGTCTAAGTCTTTAAATTCTTTGGTATAAGAGTGATAGCACTCTAGAGTAAAACTTAGAAAATACCATCAACACTACCCCCCCCCCCCAATACCCCGAAACCGTCAACTATAACGTCTTATATAACATTTTCTGTGAAATATATCAAAATTTGGTCAACTGAGAAAATGTTCATCATAAAATCAGAAACATTTTATCAGTTAACAACTTTTGGATATCTTGTACAAGAATCGAGATATATTGGCTCAAAAGTTGAAGTTGGCATTCTATTATTGATGGATTTCGGAACCCAATTTCCCCGATCCTTTTTTCTTTGAATAATTCAAACACTTCTGAAAAGACATCATGGCAACGTTCTCCATAGCACATTTGCATCTGGCTTGAAAGAAAGCGTCGACGGCTCAAAAGCTCGCGCCGCCGTATTCCATTTAGGATGAATTTTCCATTCCTCTCAACCACGCAACGCAACGGCGCTTTGTTGCTGCATTCAGTAGACGCATTTGATTTTTTTTCTGAGAAAAATTTGAAAAATTGAATTCTTTTTGTAGTTTCAGATTTTTAGTTTTTAGTTCACCCTAAATTTCGAAAAAATCTTTACTGAATAATATATTTAAAAAAATCACATGACTTTTCGGAAACTTAGAAAATTCAAAAATTCTAAATTGTTATATTTTTATGATTTTTCGATTTCAGTGAGACGCTTGAATCCTATTTTCGAACATTTTCAGTCTAAAATAGAATTCCGAAGAAAATTGTGCTAACGTAACATCTGTGATAAAAAAAGCTTTCAAACCGTCAACTTTGTGCAAATTCACCTCGGTTTCTTTCAAAGATGTGTGAATGTTGTCAACTGATAAACTGTGAATCATAATATTACCAACGGTTTATCAGTTGACATATTGTCTATATCTTTAACAAAAAGTGAGATAAATCAGCTCAAAGTTGGTAGTGTGGAAATAATATCCTTCAAAATCTACTATCATCCACTTTAACTTGTTAGTCTACCTATCTGCAATTTTTGATTTTTGTTGTTTCAAACTGTCATCTGACTGTTCCGCCAACTACTTCTCTCTGCTTTCCTACGGTAGAAAAAAATTCCAAAAAAACGTGCTGGATGCGCGCCACTCGCTCCTCCTTCTTTAAACGCCGTCTCTTCTCGTCACTCCCGCCAGTTTTCCGAACTATTTTTCTTTTTTCACTTCTTCTTTCTGTTCTGAACTTTTGTTTCCGTTTTCTTTTTCACTATCGTGCAATTGATCGTTCACAGCTATTTTTCAAGAGTTATGGACAACAGAATCATCAGTCAACGGATTCAATGTGTTGAGTGTCCTCCATCTGGAGTTGAGTACAGTGTCGAGGAGCTTGAAGCTCACATCGCCAGCGAGCATTTATTCATGAACCCATATCAGTAAGTAGCACAATTAGAATTATGAAATTCGGTTTTTTTAAAATACCGTTATTCTCTGAAGAAGCCAGCCTTTAACATTCACTCTTACTTTAGCTCAATTATCTTGGTTTATTCAGAAGATATCAAAAAGTTATAAATTGATAAAATGTTGTGCGAATTGTCATCATAATTTTACTAGTTGACATATTTTAATGTCTCTCATAGAAACCGAGATAATCAAGCTCAAAATGCATGTATAGGGTTAGCGTTTTTGAAAGCAAATATGTTAAACTGTGAAGAGATTGGGTGGGCTCATATTGTAGTGAATACGGACAATGTAGTATAACATAAAGAGACTACTAGGAATATTTGATTACTGTAACAGGGAAATAATTTCTCAGGTGTGACAAATGTATACACGCCAAGTTTCCAACAGAATTCGCACTTGTGACCCATAACGAAGAGAAGCATCAAATTCAAGATTTCATGGTGAGTTCAACCATCTGTAAAATTTTAAAATCTTCGATATTCAGGTCACCTACCGATATAATCCAGAGCTGAACTCGAAAAAAATAGAGCTGTCGAAAATGGTCGACAGATGCATCGACATGCAGACCTACCAAGCCCCGTTGCAAAATATGGATTTCGGTTTTGGAATATTTCCTCAATCGTATTCGACTGCTCCGATTCAAGGTAATTTTAAAACGCTTTCATGTCAAAACAGTTTTTGTTTAGCCAGCATTACATATAATACCCAGAAGCCTGATGTTTCTACCACTGGACCAGAAAGAGTGGTTCGCAAGAAAGATCTAACTAAAATCACTTGTGAGCAATGCCAGGAGGCAATCACCAAGAACCGAACCAATATGATGTACCACGCCAACACTCGCCACGGGAAATACATTCTGTTCTTGTGCAAAGCTTGCAATAGGACCTACACCACAATTGCCAAGAAAGATCCAATGAAGCACATTCAGTCCAAGCATCCAAATCCGGATGGCAGTACAAATTACAATTTACTTGTGGATAATAGGGATTTATACCGAAGTCAGTTAAGGAGTGTTATGGAGAGCTGCTTCCCAGATTGCAAGAAAAAATCTTCGTTGGCTAACCTGTAAACTGATAGGGCCCTTTTATTTTCTTTTTGAAATCCCTGTGTCACCATGTCTTCTAATTGCCATCCATCTTGTTAAAGCAACTGTATTTCCTCAGATAGAAACCAACCCAAATCTTTAACTTTGGGATCAATCATCTCGATTAGTGTGAAAGATATGAGCAATATGTCAACCAACAAAAAGTTGTTTATCATAATATCATAAATATTTCACCAGTTGACAAGTATTTGAATCTTTCACAGTAATTGAGACAATTAAGCTCAAAGTGACAGTTTGGTGAGCTTCGTTCAGAGAAAATAGATAAGTCACTTTCTCACACTCCAATAGATTTTTATCATTTTCTAAAGTAAATGCTTGTTTCATTACTTGACATTATGTATTTTTGTGCTTGTTTGTAGAATTTTTTTTTTCAATACTTGTGTTCTGAACTCACATCGAAATTTCAAACATTAAAAAAATTTCCCGTTTAAGTTTATTTGAAAAAAAACACCTAGATAGGTAATTATCAAGCTAACTAACAGAATTGAAAACACGTTTTTCAAGACTACAACTTTTTTGCCAGACTGTTCCCGCATGATCAGATCGAGATATACTCAAAGATAACTGAAAAAATTGCCAGAAAAACATATGAAAAATCGATTCTCAAAAAATCATCTTTTCACTTGGTTGAAATTGAGTAATATTTCATACCAACAATAGGTGAGTGCAATAAAATTGGAAACGGTAGTGACAGTTTTTCGTCTATGTCTCATTTATTTTATATCCGATTGACAAAAAGCGAGAGACAAAATCATTTTTCATGGGTTCAGATTATTGGGTAGTAATTGAGAATTCTAGACGTTTCGATTTATAGAAAAAATGTTTTGAAAAAATTTTCTAGAAAATTGTTTCTTTCAAATTTTCAAAATTTTCCACATTATTTGATAATTTAAAGCAAGAAATTATGAGAAAATGTCTGAAATGTGAAATTTCCTAGAACTGTAAGCATAACACAACAAATTTCATATTCTAAATGTCTTAGAACTTGAGAAAGCCGTCTTTGAAAAATTCTGCTTAGCACGGAGTACACTTGTTTTAGTACTAAAACTGATATACCGTAAAACCTGTATTAGAAGGGCCCTTTTAATAGAAGGACCTTTCTAATAGAAGGGCCCTCCTCGACAAACTTGGAAAAATAGAAGAGCCGACCCTTCTAATACAGGTTTTACGGAAAACCTGGGTTCACAAGGTTCCTTTCTTAGCTTTCAAAAAAAAAATCTGAATTTCACATGGTTCTCGAAAAATGTAAACTTTTCTATCAACTTTCAAATTCAAAACTCCAAAACGTGGACAAATCACAACGTTATCCTATCGGGGCCGAGGCACACCACGTATTGGGCCGAAGCGTCATCATTCTCACCGAGGCGGGTCGAACTGGCGAGTACGAGGACCGAAGTACCGCACACAACCACTCCACCACACAGCTGCTTGGGGGAACATTAGATTTGGGGTGTACACATAGCACGTCGACGTTTTCGAGGAATAGAAGAGGAGAAGAAGAGGAGAAGAAGACAAGAAAGGAAGCGAGATCGGCACGGAACGAATTGATCGGGGAAGAGAAGACGTACGCGACGAGTACTACGTGCGCACACACATTCGGTACGGACGTCTGGTGTCCGTGAAGAGGTGGAACTCTTATCGCAACGACGTCGTTTGTGTGGCGGTAGAAGAAAAGAAAGACATTGTGCGCGGCCAGCACGTGTACTAAAAGAATAGAAGAGAGAGGAAGAGTCGATGAACTAATGAGAACACAAGAGAAAGGCGTGATGTGACGGAAGACGAAAAAATGAAGAACATTTTGCGTTTTTTTTGGGAGGAAAATCATCTTATATTTCAGAAGTGATGACAAGATTCAGAATATGATGATGAATTGAAAAGAGCTAGAAGAATTACCAAAGTAACTAGCCAACTATCGTAAATTCTCTGATAGAAGCTCCATCTATACGTGCATTTTGAGCTCAATTATCTTGGTTCTTTTTGAAGATATTAACAATTTGACCACTGTTGAATTGTTTATCATGTTATAACCAATGTTCCATTAGTTGACCACTTCTGAATATCTTTTCGAGAAACTGAGATAATTTAGTTCAAACTGCAGAAACGGCTTCTATTAGAGAATTGGCGTCTATTAGAGGATAGGATATCCGAGCCTGAATAACTTATTTTTCTGGTGCAAACCTGTGAAAATAGATTTTCTGGAAGCTACTGAAGCAAATTATTAAAAAAAATTATTTTATTTCATTAGAAAAAAAATTTAAAAGCGTATGGTTTCAATTTGAAATGAGAAGGAGAAGAAGAAGCTGACATGGTTTTTTGAAAAAATCACAGAATAATTGAATTCATTTTTTCGGGAAATATCCTCCATGGGTAGACTTCAGTTTGTAATATGTCGCTGGTGAGAGGAACATCAAGTGCTTCTTGTGCCAAACAGTCATTTCGAGTTTTCGATCGACAATTGAGTGCAGTGTAGCTATACGGCCATCACTGAGACGTCGCACGTCTTGACAATCATCAGTAAAATCACAGAGCCTTCTGGTCATATCGCACTTTCTGGAATTAGTATATACTTTCATAAAAACAAACATAAGTCAAAGTAAATTAATTCCGAATATCTGCATCAAAGACGCGTGAATTTATTTGGGAAAACCGTTTTCTTCAAAACCGACGATGAAGATAACTTTTAGGAAAAAAGATGATTCAAAACTCACGTGAAAATCGACGGTTCCATTTTTAAATCCTTGTAGACGGCTGCAGCATCTAATCCTAGTGAGGACGTGTCGAGAACCAGCCTCTCAAGATTTGGGCTTCCTCCATTTACCCAGTTGGTGATAATCTCGTTAAAATCGATGTGAGCCGTCGATCGACCAACTGATCGAGCTTTGACAAGCTGTGGACCCATCAAACAGATCGTTGTAACCCAGCTCATGTCTTCCAAAGTCAACGTTTTCGCTTGAATCGGCTTGTAGTACTGGAAAGCATTCATTCGAATTTTCAAGTCGCGGTAGTCGGCTTTCAACTCTTCCATAAGAAAAATCAAGGCTTCTGGTGACATAGTAGTTGACCGGCGGTCGGATCGTTTCACCAGAATCGTTGAGAAACCCTTTCGATGACTCCAAATGAAGAGATCTGGTAGAATGGTAGCGTTGTTGAGGCCGCATTGAAAGTGGAACTCTTCTGGTTTCAAAATTTTTAGCAAGTGTTTTGTAACCTGCTCGGCGCGCACCAATTTATCCTCCAACTTGTTGTGATCAACGTTGAAGGTCCAAAGGATGTGATCCTCTTTGTTTGCGTTTGGAATTCTTGGGCCTTTGGTCGAGTAGACGTATACTCCGTCAACCTTCTTGACTCCTGTAGTTTCACCCATTTTTACGAACCGTATCTGCACAATACAACTGCCAAGATCCAAATCAATGCCAACAAGGGTTTCGCCAACCAACCAAGTGAGTGATTTGATTACGATCTTGAATTTCTCGACTTCACAAAAAAATTTGTCGGAGCGCATAGTCGCATCAATTCTGAAATTTACTATGCGTTCTGTAAGGAAATGATCCGAAATAAAAACTCACACATTTTCCATGTCCCAGTGCTTTACAAGTTGGTCAATGACGACATTAGGAAGTTTGAGCACTGGAAAAAAAGGTTTCGGCATGGTGTACCCTGAAATCAACAGATATATTATGCAAAGAAGTTTAATTTACTAAAAAAAGAAAAACTAATAAAACAGATAAGGGTGGTTACAAGGGAGACGGAATATAAAAAGAGTGGTGGAAAGAAGAGAGGAGGTGTGTTGCCCCGAAAATCGATAAATTGCTATCCCCGTCGCCCCGTTTTGGAGAGAGAAGCCGTGGCGAGTATAGCAGCAGATTAAACGCGCTAATGAAAAAAAGCTCATGTGATATAATTTCTAGTAAAAGAGCAGGAATTCAATTGAAAAGTTGAAAACAATTGTTTTGTTTAGCACATTCTTTTGAGGATCACCCTCAGAAAACTTATTGAATGAAATGTTGGTGGTATTATGATAAACAATTTGTTAGTAAACAACTTTTCGATATCTTTCACAGGAATTGAGATAATTGAGCTCAACGTTCAAGTGTCGGGTGAAAATCTATTAGAGCAACTACATACAGTATGCAGGGTTAGGGTTGCTAACAAATGAGCAATTTTTCTCTGGTGTATCCTGAAGGCGCACCAACTAGGTTAACAGGTTTGTTTTATATTATTTCCATCATATCTTTTATTAATATTTTGGCGATTGTTCTAGTTTTTGAAGAACTATTAACATACGACAGTTTTACCAAGAACGTGTGTGACATTTTCATCATATGCGTGTTAATTTATATGTTTCTTCCTTTTTCCTCAATTCAAACCATCACCTAATGTCGTTTTCCATCATTCTTATAATAAATAAACGGAGTGGTGTCTCTTTTCTTCTTTCTTTCCCATTCCATTTTTCCCCAGAAGGGAAGTTTCCGGCAGGAAAAATTCGCTAGACTAAATTTGCTTTACCGTAAAACTTTTAATAGTGTCAGGTCTAAAGCAACAAACATCAGAGACTTTCATTATTTCTGAAAAAGTGAGGAACGAAGCGACGACCACGCGTCGTAAGCACACCAGCCAGATGTTTCTGGCGCGGCAAACCGGCTGGTAGTTTTCAAATTTTCCAATACAGTCCAATAATTTTGACCATAACTCGAGAACGAAAAAAGATATCAAAAACTGTAAACGCCATTCGTCTTAAAGTTTTCCAGAAAATGTTCCCAATCAGGAAAAAAGTAATAATTTCATCATAATTCTGAAAAATATCTTTAGGAAACATGTTTCTAGGGATTTTCCAGATCATTCAAGTAGTTTTTAGTACCTATTGAGGTTTTTTCTGAAAATCCTGTGTTGGCTCACCAATAATCTAGAAACTAGGTCAAATGGGATGTGTATGAAATGCACAAACACTGAACAAAATAAAAAACAAAATTTTACATCTTTTCTACTACTTGAACGTTTTATAAAATGTTCAAAAACTCGAAAAATGAACGATTTTCGAAAGGTGTCTTATCATTTTTGGACGATTGAAATCGACACATTTTCAAGTTGACCTACTTTCACCGCTCGGGCCGAACCAATAACATTCGTTCCAGAGTATTTTCCAATTTAAAAACAACGTTTACAGTTTTTTTATATATTTTTTCCTTCTCGAGTTATGGTCAAAAACATGGGGTGTCTTATCATTATTGGGCGCACTGTATCATTATGGTCCGACTAGACAATGCGCCAAAAAGACGAACCTGCATGCCTTATGTAAACAAACATCAAACGTAACAAAAACAGATGGCGTTCATAGGTGTGATGGGTCTGCCTGTTGCAATATGGGGATTAGCAGGTTTTTGCACAAAAACCATGTGGGGCAATTGGCTCGTATTGAGTGTCTGGAGAGAGATAGTAGAGTCGGCATGTAAACTTTTGATCTATGCAGCAGAAGGGTTATACCTATTTCGATCGATAGAGCATTGTGCAAAAAATGTGTGGTAGGCACACAAAAAAAAACGTTGTTTTTGAGTATTCCCTCAATACGTTTATGAAGAAAAAGTCAAGATTTTTAACGAGAAGAGCTAGAGAAAAGTTGCGAAACTTCATGAAAACTAAAAAAAAAGAAACGGAATTTTATCCAAAAACTTATAATCATTCTCATAATAAATAAATGGAGTGGTGCCTCTTTTCTCTTTTTCTTTGTATGTTATTCCATCTCAGCTGGATGTAAGTTTCCCACAGGAAAAGGCCGCCAGACCAAAATTGGTCTACCATGAATCTTTTGGGATTGGGATGTTTGAAAGAAAGTGATAGAATATCTAACTATTAGAGGTTCCAGGAGCAAAACGACGATCTCGTTATGATATCAATCCTAAGTTCGTTTTCTGATAATAAGAATTCCTTATATTTGATAGATAAAAAAAATCAACTAGTTCTTTCATCTGGGGGCGATTCGTCCGCTTACCGCCCGGGTGTCTCATCTTCTGTCTCCCCCCGTTGGCCCTTCCGAAATCCTCTGCGCAGGCGGCGGGAGGTCCGTTTTCCCACCCTTGCGAATGAAAGTCAACCACGAACTTGACAGCAGCATTCATCTGTATATAGCTTGAAACCGATTTTCAAAAGTTGTCAACATTTTCTTGAAGGACGCAACAATGATATTTTGCCATTTAGGGTTCAAATCAGTCTGTAGCATCACAACACTTTCAGATTTTGGTCCAGAAGTTGAACTTCCCAAATCAAGGAGTTCATATGTCCCACAGTCCTTCAGACTATTTTTGGGGGAGGAAGTTTATCATAGCCACATGTTCTCTTATTAGAAAATTTTTTTTATTCGGAAAGTGGCACCATAAACTGTTATTTTTAATGATATTTATTTTAGGAACGAAACAAAAAGAACAATAAAACGAAATAGAAACCCGGCAAATTCGATAATTTATTTAAAAGTATTATTTTCAAGACCAAATTCTTGGCAAATCTGCTGCCATGGGAAGTCTCCAGTGACAATGAATGTTGGCTGGATGCTTTCGAGCTCATTCCATGCGTTAGGTTCTGACTCCGAAGGACTGGTGGAGCTCCTGTAGTAATCTGACGAAGTTGAGCCAAGCAACGGACTTTGTGACAGCGATCGAGGAGACAAGGGAGGCACATCACGAGCAGAATGGTTGATCCGGGTACGCTTTGCCGGCCGAGGATTTCCAGCAGCTGCGGCAGCAGTGGCCTGAAACAAAAATTATGATTAATTGTTACTGTTTCGGAAGCTGAGTTACCTGTCTTTTTGCAGCATTCTGACGTTTCACGGCTTCTCGTTCTTCTTTTTGAGTGGCGCCCCATTTAGCTCTGTAGATTTTTTTCTTCTCAGCACTCTTCTCGAGATATGGAGCTTTTTCGGCTGCAGACAAATTTTTCCATGTGGCGCCCAAAATCTTGGTTACCTCCCCTCCGGGGAGGTTTCCGTGCTTGTCGGTGAATTCTCTCCGTTTCTCTTTACAGAAAAGAAAATAAGCGCACCACGGCATGTCATATTTCCTCATCTTTTTCAAGTTCTCTTCAAACACGTTCTTCTCGTTTGCGGTCAAATCTCTCCACATAGCTGTCAATTTCAGCTCAACATCATCCATCTCCAAATCCGGATGTTCTCCTCTGACCGTCCCGCGCATCGTATCTGCCCAAAGTGAAAATGCCGTTAGAGGCACTGATGCTGGAGCATTTGCAGTCTCGATTCCCTGTTCACCGTTCTCTTGGTCCGAAGACGTTGGGTAGTAATGCAGTGGTCCTGACATTGTTGATGCGATTTTTCTGAAAAAATATTTAAACAAGTATAAAAATAGTAGAACGAGAAGAAAGGAAGAAGGAGCAGAGCAAGAACTATGTGACGTGGATCTGTGATGAATCTTTGGTGGATCTGAGAAGGATCAGGCATCGAGCCAGAAAGAGGCGGAGTCTACACCTTATTGGGGCGGAGTCGCCATGCAACGGAGCATCAGAAGATGACAGTAACAGCAAAAGAAGGCGTTTATAGGTGTCAGGGGTCTGTGTGCTGCAATAGGGGGATTAGTAATTGACTAGGCCTCCTGCTCGAGAACTAGGTGGGGCATATGGCTCGTATAGAGTGACCTAGACAGAGAAAATGGGATGGGCATAAACACCTTTTGGATGGATTGGTACCAAAGGGCTATACAGTATAAAACAAAAAAAAGTTGTTCCGTTGATTTTTGGCATTTTCAGGATTCTAGAGCGCGACTGTCAAGTTTCCAAACAGTTTGAAATCTTCGGAGTGTAAAACAGACCTAGATTAAAAACTTTGCACTCGCAAAATTTTTTGAAAATTTCTAGTTTTCCAAATATTTGTCGATTTCTGAAAGACACATTTTTCACGTTTTCAAAACAAAAGCAGCCCAAAAATGGGTCTCAAAATGCCAAAAATCAACATATCTTGATCATTGAAGCAGTGTCTGAAGTGGAAACACACAAAAACTTTTGAGACTAGCACATCATTTTCAAGGAGATTACTAGGGGAACGTCAAGAGTTTTAACGAGAGTATTCATGAAATACAACAAAAAACGTTGGGAAATGTCATGAAAATTTAAAGGGATGGGAAGTTATTGAATGCTAAAATGCTCATAAGTCATTTAAAAAGTCCAATTTCCCAATCTGAAGTCTTTCCGTAAGACATAGGTTTACCTTCGGTAACTCCCAAGAATCGAAAAATGTGAAAGTTATAAAAATGGTATCACAGAAAATAAGAGTTTCCAAACATCACAATCTTTCATCACTTTTTCCGGAACCGTGATTATATGATCTATCTGCAAAGATGGGTCCTGTGATATTTCAAATCTACGATCGTCTTTCATTGCGGTGTTTAGATCACAGCGTGAACTTTTACTAACTTTTCAACTCACTTTTTTCATACTTTCTATAAGATTTTTATTGACACTTCAGGAACTAATGTAACCTTTTGAGTTCTATCAACACACGTGTTGTGGCGTGACTGTCCTGGAGAATGTCAAGCCACAGATCTACGTGACGATAACAGCTGCTTATAAAACCTTTTTGAACTCTGTATTAAATGGTTCTCTCTATGTAAATGAACTAGTAGTTTATCCCTTGTCTAATACACCGCAAGGATATAACAACACGAAAGCTAGGATCAGATTTGGAACCATCCCTGGAATTTTCAAGCCTGATCTAATTCTTACTGATTTCTCTTTTCTAAAGCGCCGGAGGCGCGGCAAACAGGTTGGTATTTTTTCAAACAGTTTATAAATTTTCTAATATCATTATGGTCCACTAGACAATGCGCCAAAAAAGACGACTCTGCATGCCTTATGCAAACCAACATCAAACGTAACAGTGACAGGTGGCGTTTATAGGTATGATGGGTCTTCGTAGTACAATATGGGGATTAGCGGGACTCATGCTCAAAAGCTATGAGGGCAATTGGCTCCCAGACAGAGGGTGACAAAACAGATAGTCGAATCAGCATGAAATCTTTTGATGTATTGCTGCAGAAAAGTTATACATATTTATTCTGATCGATAGAACAGTGTGCCTGAAATGTGTGGAATACATAAAAACAAAAAAAAACATTGGTTTTGAGTGGTGCCTCAATGAGATTATTAAGGAAACGTCAAGAGAATTAACGAGAACTTCTGGAAAAAAGTTGTGAAATGTTATTTAAAAAATGGAAGAAAGATAAACGGGATTGTATACAGAAACTACCATCAACATCACTATTTTACAGGCTGGTTTATATAAAGTTTTTGAGTCGAACCAAACACAGAATGTGTACTAGACCCACCGAAATAGGATTCAAGATACAACTGATCTCAAAAGTGATTTAATGAACTCGAGTGAGAGGGTAAATTATTTTTCATGCAATTTTTTTGTGGTCAACATCGTGAGAAACAACAAATGGAATGATGTGAGCAGTAAAATCAGTTTGGGGTTTGACACGTTTCTGAATTATAAAAATGAAAGCGACTTTATATCTGCTCCATTGTATCTGGAACAAACAGAAATAGGTAAGGTTGTAGCTGTGAATTAATACAAAATGATCTTTTCTTGCTATTTACGAACTGAATATTGATAAAATATACAAATGTGCATCACTATAGGAAACACTTGACGTGCCAGGTCAGAATTTCTATCAGAAAGTCGCTGACTCCCTGAGCTGACATTTTGAAACTAAATAATTTTCTGATTACCTAAAAATTATTTACACGGGAAGCCTCCCAACTGTTACCCGGGGATTAGTAATATCTCTTCTTGTTGAATTGTTTTCAATTTTCGAAAGTTTTCTTTTGCGTTTCTGAACATTATTTTGTTGCTTCTTTTTATTTTCACAGAATTCTTATAATTTTTCAAAACTTTTTTTTTGAACAGAAATGCATGTATAGGGGATACATGAATTTAACTTTTTTGGATTAAAATTGAAATAAGTCTTGTAACTCAAGAGCTCGACCTATATTTGAAGGCGTATACGTACGTTACTCGTCCTGAGAAACCTGATAGACATGGTCCCCCGGAGACGTTTTTTTTCAAAAATTGGCATTTTTTGAATTCGGTGGAACTCGAATATTTTATATTTTCTATTTTCTTGACTTTCGTTTTGAAGGTGGAGCATTTGTGCAGTAGACAATAATGCTTATCAACTTATCACCTTTAGAATAAAAAAAAAGTTTGAACGTCTACCATAAACATAAACAAAGTTAAGGTCGCTCAAACGGTCCCGACTCCAAACTCACGAAAAATCAAAAAATTTCTCACCATTTGAATAGACCTTCACGAGGGCCGCTATAGTTTTGGGATTTTTCTAGATAGTCTGTGTACTACTATTTACAATAGGTTTAATCCGAATCCCCGGGTGACAGTTGGGAGGCTTCCCGTGTTAGTTACATTGAAAGAAGGACAAAATACGTTGTTAAAGAAGATAGGGCATGTAAAAAAGACCTTTCTCAAAATTTCGTTCATATGCACCATCGCAGTTGCCGTTTTGCCACCAGCTCAGCTATGATGCTGCGCCTTTGACCTCAATTATCTCGCTTTCTATGAAAGATATCAAAAGGTGATCAACTAATCAAACATTGGTGATATTATCACAAATATTTTATGTATTAGTTTCCCACTTTCGAATATGTTTCATAGAAAATGAGATAAATGAGCTTTGAGAAACCTCAAAAACCTTCATTCCCTGGAGGGTTCTCTCAGAAAATCTGAATAAATTTCAATATCAAAATAGAAAAATTATATAAAGTGATTTCTAAAAATTTGTATTCCGATTAAAAATCCTGACTACTCAACGAACCCGAATTGACAGGAACTCCTATTTTGCAGAGTTGACTAAAAACTAAAAAGAGGAGCATTTACCGGAATATATTATTATTTCCATCTCGCTCTCTCTTTTTTTTCTATCATCCTCCTCAAGTCTTCCGCTTGTTTTTGAAATTCTGAAAAAGGAGCCTTCACTGGATCACGAAAAATAATTTTTCAGATTTCTTTTATAGTGACGGGAGTAAATTAGATGCTATTATTTTCAGATATGTGTAATTTTTGTGGCTAAAACCAGGTACTTTTTAATTTTCTTCTATATTCTAATATGAAAATAGTTTTTTAGTAGCAGATATCGAAAATCCCTTTCATGCTCTTTTTGTCAATTCCCAGCATTTGTTGTGGATTTTCATTTAAACATTATTGTCCACTCAATTCATATTAATTTCTGACAGACATAACCCTTTCATTCATAAAATGCGTTGCAGGTGCGCCAGTTCCTCCAGTTTCTCCTGTTGTCTATTTCTCCACATTTGTTTCACGCTCTCTTGTGTGAGCGCGCGCACACACATTCAAACAAGAGGAGGGTCTCGCAACGACTTGACAATAATAGAGAGGGAAATACGGTTAATCTAGTTGTCGATTTACGAGAAAAATAATTATTTTCGGGTTGAAACATTTTCTCATTTTTTTGTGAATAAAGTGGTAACCATTAATTCTTGTCTTATCTCCCTTCTCTCCATTTTATGTGTCCGCGCACATGTAGTCGTCTACAACGACACTCCGGAATAATGGTGGTGCGCATTGTTTAGCTGCGGCGAATTTGTCAGGCACGTCTTCTACTTTGAGCTTCATTTTCCTCAAAAGCTCTTGTTTCTTTTTAATTTAAATTTCAAAATATTGTAAGTCGCATGAGAGCCATTCTCAATTTTTTCCATTGCCGACTGAAGCTGTTGGATATGGATTTTCGGCCTAAGCGCTTCATATGTCTCAAATTTTCATTATTTTGTACAATATTATTGTTAACTTGTTTCAGGAAAGCGCTCAGGATTCATTGCGAGAAGGAATCAGCAAATGCCTTCATACCGGCGTCATGCTCTCGGATCTGCCGCCGCACCTGGCTACTTATGCCTTTAAACGTACTACTGGTATCTCAATACGACGGCTTTAAATGATTTTATGGGAGAAAAACAAAATTGTACCGTCATGGTGTGTCACAAACGTTCCGTGATGACAACGTCGCTGTTATAGGTGCAGAATTTTCCGCATTTTATGGACAAAATAACAAAATCTACGATCACATTGACTGTTGGAAACTGTCAAAATTCAGACCCTTCAACAAGAGCGTCGTTATATCGCTTGTTGGAGAAGAGACCATGTAACAAATCGGATTGAAGATTATCGATTTTTGGCGTCTTTTCGCGGAGGCCTTCTAGTGTATTTGTGAGTGCTCTTCAAACTTGCAATTCGAGGAATTTTCTTTCAGATAAACTACAGCTGCACAGCAAGGTACAAAATCGTTTGATCGTAGCTCGATGAAAATCCACAATACAGCCGATTCCTCTCCGCCCTAGATGCGCACAAGTTCCAACAACGGTTCACAACGTTATTCCATCGATATCGGAATTTTCGACAAGAAAACGTGCGATCAATCTACAATGAAGAGCACATGAATGGTGTATTTTCCAATCAGTAACTTTAACTTTATCTACTTGATGAACACAACGTCGTCAGTTGCAAATATCGTGGTGGCATTACATGTTGTCTTGCCATCCGTCATTTGTGGTTGACGATGTATCATGTACATCAGAAGAAGTTCTGAATGGTGAGTTTTTACCAATTTTCGCGATGTGACTTCGATGTTTCCTCCCTGTGGTGTAAGCCTATAAAGATGTAAGCCTTAAAAAATCCGAACAATTACATGTGCATCAATCAACGATGGGATGCCACAGAAGGTCGCTGGGCTCAACTTAAGGTTGTAGTTCACGATAAAACAGTTGCATGACGACAACAAGCAGAAAAGATGTAAAAGCGGGAAAATTACGCATCCAACGGCAAACTTGGAGTAAAAAAGTGCAACAGATTCACCACCGGATGAATGCTAAACTATCACTGACAAATGATCGGGATTTAGACGGCAATGGTGACGAATATCTCTTCACACAAGGAAAAATCTATCAGCTCAGTCAGTTTTAGTTTGCCATTTGTCGAAAAAAGCGAGTATGAAATAGAAATGAGCGTCGTTGATAATATTAATTTTGTTATATCGGAAAAAAAAACGATTGCAGTGCGCCGAGGTGAAGTTTTCTGGAGAAATCAGCTATTTTTGGCTGCCTCTCTTACTTTCAAAGGAGTAGATTTCTGCTGTCTTACTCCACAGCCAATGTCGGATATCGAGAAGTAAATGCTACTGTTCTTATATTTTTATTTTGCGGATGAACCACCTTATAACCAATAATTCTTCCTCTTTTGCTCCATTTTGTGTGTGCGCGCACATGTTGGCAACGACACTCCGGAATAACGGGGCACGCGCGTTGTTTAGCAGCGGCAGATTTGTCAGGCACGTTTTCTACTTTCAGATTTATCTTCGTCAAAAACTTCTGTTTCTTTCTATTTTTGATTTCAAGTAATTGGGAACCGCATGACATCCGTTCTCAATTTTTTGCATTGTCCGCTGGAGCTGTTGGATATGGATTTTTGGCCAAAAAGCGTTGTAAGTCTCAAATTTTCATTATTTTGTATAATATTATTGTTAACACGTTTCAGAAGCAAGCTCAGAATTTCCGGAAAGCTTCATTGAATGTTTGAGGACATATTCATCAAGAAAGTACACTCGATATGACCAAAATTGCAAGTTAAGGTGGCGATTCAGCAAGAGAAGAAATCAACTAATGCATTTATACCGGCGTCATGCTGCCGTATTCGTGGCCGTATCTGATTTCTGATGCACATGAGTAAATACTACTGATATCTGAATACAGTCGCTTTAAACGATTTCATGGAAGAAACACGAAATTGTGCCGCCACTGAGACTCACGAGCACTCCGTGATGATCGGTCAGTGCCATCGTCGTCGGTGGAAAAGTTCCGGTGGTTCTTGAAGACAAAAATATCGTTGAATCATCATTTTAACATCTACAATCACATCGACGTTTGGAAACTTGCAAAATTGAAAATGTTTAACAAAAGCGTCGTCCTCACTTGTTCGAGAACAGATCATACCGCAAATATTATTGGAGAGTATCGATTTTAGGCGTCTTTTCGCTTGGTCTTCTGGTGTATCTGTGAGTGCCTAACGAAATTGCAATCAGAGAAAAATATTTTCAGATAAACTACGGCTGCACAGCAAAAAAGGAAATACTTGGTTGTCGCTTGATGAAAACAATGTTTTCCGATGATATTCCGTCGACATAGGAACGTTTGTCGGAAGAGTGTGCTGTGGACAACATTTGAAGATTATTCTCAAGTTGTCTCTTCATCTGAAACGTCATCAGTTGCAAATATTGTGGTGGCATCACTAATTGTTTTGCAATCTGACTTTTATGGTTGACAGTGTAGATGATTGAAAAAAAAACCTTGAACGGTAAGTTTTTCTCAATTTTTAGGTTTTTGTTTTCGAAGTTCTTTTCGTCCAGTGTGTATGTGCCCATGTAGCCATAAACACTTTGAAGGCACTAGAAAATGACATTGTGAGCCTTGAAAAAAATACCAACGAACTTTATATTCAACTTCTGACAAGAAGCTTAAAGATGGATCTCCGTTAGAGATATCAAACAAAGAACATCGGTTGTAACACAAACTAATTATTGATGCAATCAATTTTCAGTTGGATTCGATAGAAGTCAATGAAACCGAATTCAACAATCATTTACAAGCGGCCATCATCCTTTGCGAAGCAGCTTGAAGACCAATTGGACGATGAGTGCGAGGACGACCATGTCGATCATCCTATACCGGACGTCCTCCACAGTCAGATCGATTGTTAACAAACGGAGAGGGCATGCTCTCACTCTGCATATCTTTTCATGACCACTGTCATTCATAAACTCTGAAAACGACAGTAGCTTTCGACGAAACAGCGTTAGAAACTGAGAGATAGGAGAGAACCCATTGTTGGCCGTACAATGGTAATAAAAGAAGGAAGAGTTTGTTATCAGTAAATGGATTTAAAAAATATGTATTACTTGAAAGGAATAGCCAAAAAACCTAGAAGAGGACTACGGTAGATCTCATTGAACGTTTGGAAAAATCTACGACGTACATGGCACTGTAGCTAACATGATGTTCATTGAAAATTTTAGAATTACGTCATACTGTCACTTTCAACAACCAAATTTGGTTAGGAACAAATCCCATCATTCTAAACCTTCTCTTGATTTTGAGCATGAACGATCTGAAAACTCATAATTCTTTTCTGATCCCTCCTTTTTTGTGTGTGTGTGTGTGTTTGTATGTGTGTGTGTGTAGTTGTTTTTACAGCAGATAATTGATCAGTCATGTCTGCTGATTTCAACTTTATCTTTGTCAGAGGCTCCTGTTTCTGTTTATTTTCATTCCAAAATTTGCAAACCGTACCCGTCCACTGTTTTTGTTTTGGGAACACAATGTGCGCACACTTTTCTCCACTGACGTCTTTTATGTGCGCACCTTGACGCAGTATGGAGGCGCGTAATATTGGTTTTGCTATTACCTATAAATTTACTCATTTTCAGCAAGAATTATTGTCAAAAATAGATATCAAACCGATAAATTAGTTCACCGCAAGCCGGGAACAAACAAAAAAGCTCCATCATCATCATCATCTGGAGGAAAAGTGATGAATAAAGCACGGTGAGTATTTCTTTTTCGATTTTTACGAAAAAATAGGTGTCTAATACAATTAGTCTGCATTTGAAAAGTGTCAAAGCACAAATAATTATTTTCAAAGCAAACATCAAATTAATTTGAAACTATTTATAATTGAAAAAAAGCTTTGCAGGCCTTCACGACTTGATCCACCGCTGGATAATGCAATCGTAAGATTCATTAGTTGGACGGACAAGTTTTGCTCATAAATCACGAGAACAATCGGACTATATCGGTGTATATTTATTTGTTTGGAACAAAAGGGAGAAATGACACCGCTGAAATGAGGAATTCACGTCAGGCTCCCCGACTAAAAGATGGAACTTGCAAAGGATCACGTCAGCCGCTTGGAGATGATCGGTCTGAACTACGTGACGATATGTGGTCCGGCTTGGGTCGAAATTTAACTTGACTGATGTTTGTTGGCGCGAGAGATTGAGACGAGAGGCATCGCAGTCAGCAGCAATCCGAAAGACTGTTAATGGTGGAAACTTAAGAATATCCCATAATGGCTGTGTCACATGATGAAGACAACTGGAGACGATAGAAGCTCACGATACCGATGCTGATTACCATGACGTCTCCATTCGAATCATTCAAAGCTGATTTTGCTTTGCTCAATCAAGCGATCACTGTACCACGAAGCCATATATTTTATGAAAGTGAGTTTGGCGAAGATAGCAACTCCGGGTGAGTAGCATTTTTGAAACGTTCTCGTTTTCCTATCCAAAAAATTTACAGGTGATGGCAAGGAACAATACGCTAATGGAAGGAGTAGGAGGAGGTAGAGATGGATATGCTGCCGGTGGAGGAGGAACAAGAGAAAGTCTTTGGCGATCTCGTGGTGAGTAGTTTGCACAAACCGGTTTCAGTTTTCTATCCGAAAAGTTTACAGCTAATGGCAGTTGGCTTGGCAAACTGAGAAGGTCGCATTCGAAGGATTTTTTCGTTTCTATAGACAATACGCTACTGGAAGTTGGGTTGATCTGAAGGAGGTTGAGGAGGGGTTGATGTGCTGCCGGTGGAGGAGGAGGGGACGTTGGTAAATGTTAATGTGCTGCTCAAGCTTCTGGATGTCTAGCTGAGACATCAGGATCACAAAACAGTTAATCACATGCCCAGCTGGACCGCCAGGACTAGCAGGGCTAGATGGAAATGCTAGACCGGGCTGGTTCCCTACAAACGACGGAAGAAGTGGAGCTGATCATGCAGTACCACCAGGAAACAAGTGACAACCAGAAGGACCAGGACAATCAGGAGGCTCAAGAACCGATGGAGGAGCAAATAAAGTGGAGCGAAGTAAGCAAAGCGACGTAAAAGAAAATGAACTGGATGTGGAGCGAATAATGAATTAAGCAAGGTGAGTATTTCTGTTTGGCATTTATGAAAGAAAATCAGCATCTACTTCAATATGTTTTCATTCGAAAAGTTTCATAGCTCAAAAAAATCATTTTCAATCAAACATCAACCTAAATGTAATTGACATAATTTACAAATGGTTAAATTGTTTGCAGATCCTCACGATTCGATCCCCCTTGACATGGCAAACTGAGAAGGGCGCATTCGAAGGACTTTTCCATGTTAAGAGAGTATGGTACTGAAGGTGGAGATAAATATTCTGGGAGAGGCGGAAGAGCTGATGGATACCAAAGTACTGCTCAAGCTTCTGGACGTTCAATTGGACCATAAAGACCACCGGAAGAGGCTGGGTCTGATGGAGAACCAAGACAAGCTGGACAAGATGGACAACCAGGGTCTGCCGGACAAGCTGATTCCGGAAGTGCTGGAAAACGAACCAGGAGCAACAGGGCAAGATGGACAACCGGGAGAACTAGGAACTTCTATTACCAACTCACCAGGATCACCAAGGATCTCCAGGACCCCATGGACAACCGAGACAAAACGGAAAAAAGTGTAGTTGCTCAGGCAGGACCAACTAGGACCACTAAGAAGGTGATTTCTGGAGGAGGTGGGAGAGGATACTCATCTGGTGGAGTCCTGGTGGTGGTGCACCACCGGCTTGGCAAAAATTAAGAATATCGAGCAACTTTTAAAGTGAAAGGTTAATTTCCCTGTACATACTTGTGTTGCAAATTGATATTTTCAGGTTTCAATTGCTTACGAGATCTCGTTTATCAATTCCTGTTGAAACATCAGCATTTCTATGCAGGTTTTCACGACTGGAACCACCTCTGATTAATCCGATCGTTAGATTCACAAATTGGACTGACAAGATTTGGAATACATGGCCATTCGGACTATGTTGGTGTAATCAACATCGACATCGTGAAGTATTGAAGACTGAAGAATATCCTTGCTGCCCAAGCTTCTGCATCTCCAGCTAGGCCAGGACCACCGGGAAAAGCGGATCTGATAGAGAACCAGGACAAGCTTGACAAGATGGACAACCAGGGTCTGCGAGAGAAGCTAATTCCGAAAGTGCTGGAAAACAATGCATCACATGCCCAGCAAGAACACCAGAAGCACCACAACCAGATGGAAATGCTGGGCCAACTGGATACCAAGAAATGCCAGGATGAGAAGAACGAGGTGGAGGCCACCACCAGAAGATCCAGTAAACAACGAACAACCAGGGACACCAGGACAAGATGGACAACCGAGAGTACCAGGACCTCTTGAACAACCAAGACGGATGAAGTGTAGTTGCTCGATCATAACCACCAGGTCTACCAGGACCACCAGGACACAATGGGTCAGAAATCTTGACAAATTCTGTAGACTCACAAGAAAATATAATCAGGTAGATTTCGAAGCATTGACTTTTTCAACATATTTTCTTTTGCAGATTCTCCTTATTTTTGACCGTTTCTGGCTTCTAGTTCAAACATATATATTACGAGGGTTACAATATGAAGGCTTCCACCAATTTCGTAGATAAAAGTAGAATTGTGCCATCACCGGATGGTTTCACAGCCGTTGCGCCTCCATCCCAGATGCGCACCAGCTCCGACACAGGTTTCCTACACCATTTTTTGATATGATTATTTTTGTGAATTCTCGATTATTCTACAAGGGGAAACATCGGAATAGTGTATTTTTCGATCAATAACTTTAGTGGCTTGATAAACGTCGTCAGTTGCAAACATCGTGGTGGCATTACAAGTTGTCTTGCCACCCGACATTTGTGGTTGACGATCCTTCAAGTAGATCACAAAAGAAGCTGAATGGCGAGTTTCCTTTCCCCCTTTTTCAGTTTCTTGATTAGAACTTGTCTTTGTCTAGTGTGCGCATGTAGTCGTCAACATTGTTACAAAAGTTCAGAATGGAAGTATCGCGCCAAATGAAAATAGACACGATTTTCTCATTCGAAGATATTTAGAAGTTCAAAGATATTTTGAGATGGCTATCAACCGAATATTTAACAAACACCACCGATTTTAACACAAATTGTTTATTGATGAAAAAATTTGTTCGTTGGATTCTACGAAAGTTCGTTTTATCTAATTCCACAACTACTACCGAGCTGCAATCATCCTCTGCAAAGCAGATTGTAAACGAATTGGACGACGAGTACGATGAAGACGAAGTCGACGAAAAGGAACCTGGCGTCCTTCACAGTCATATCGGCGATGAAGTCTGGCAGCATTTTGGTAGCTTTTAGAGAATCCCTGGAAGACAACATTTTGAGATCTCTCGCTCTGCATATACTTGCATGCCTATTGTCATTCAAAAATTCTGAGAATGAAATAGTATTAGAAACTGTGAGACACAATTGAGGAGAGTATACATTTCGGGCGGTATAATGGTTCATGCGAAATAGGAGAAGTTGATGATCAGTGAATGGAAAAAAATGATCATGTACCAAGCTTGAAAAAAATTTAAAAAAAAACATCCTAGAAGAGGATTACGGTAGATCTAAACAATCTACCGTAATACCAGTAATAAAGAGGCCCCTATTTTCTAAATTTGAGCCGATTTTTCTCAGTTGTTGTCAATTATTTGAGAAAATTTGTCAACTAATAAACTGTTTCGCATAACATCATTAACATTATGTCAGTTGACACATTTTTTGTATCTTATCGGAATTGAGATAGTTGAGCTCAAACTTTGCAGCACTGATGCTCTTCTTTTATAGGTTTTACGGCATTTCGGAAAAAGCCTATGAGTCCATGTCAAGGTTATTATAAAGTGCTTACGTGATATTTACTGGAAAGTTTCAGATGCAGTTTGGAAAACCACTGATAAGTCTTTTCTAATTTCATAACCCTCTCGATATCAAAAAATCTGAAATCTCGAAAAACAGGATCTCGCTGTTCTCATTTTGCGAACTTCAAAACCAAAAACCGCAACTTCAAAATCAAAAAAGTGGAAAATTGAAATAACTGTTCTTTTCGTTTTCGAGTTTCCCGATTCGTTTTGATCTTTTGATTTTTCCCCATCTAAAACTATTCTGATTTCCTAAGCTTTTTTGGCTGAAAAAACCAAGAAACATCGTTCCCATTCCAACCGCCCCCGCTCGCAAAAAAGGAGTATAATTTGATTTGCACTATCACTATAAAAGAAGAGTCGGCCCCAGTACCAAATCATTCGAAATCGAATGTCGCCTTCTCTTCTTGTTCTCTGTCTCCTTGCTGGAACATCCTGGTCTTTCGTCCCAGATGATCCAGACTTCCGGAGAATTCCTTCCATCGGATATCGAATTGATGGGTTCTACCTCACTCGAAATGCCTTTGCCCCTTCTTCGGATACAGCTCAACAGATCGTCGAGAAGTTCTTGGCTAGAATGACTCGATCATTGGAATCCAAAGATGTCGCAGTTATTGCCGGATTATTCCAGCCTGGATTCGTGTTCAAAGGATGCAGAATAACTGGTGATAAGAGTAAGTATTTTATGCCGCGTTCAAAGTAGCCTCCAGAAACTGGAAATTGCGTCCAAAGCTGTCAATTTTTCCAGGTTTTCCATGGACTCAAAACTTCGATTTCCCTCGTTGTAGCTGTGTTTTTTTCTTCGACATCAATTCGAGGTCTAAAAAAAGAAAGTTTCTTGTTAATTTACAGCAGACCTCGAAAAATTAACACAGCTACAACGCGGAAAATCGAAGTTTCGTACTCCTGGAAAACCTGGAAAAATTGGCAGCTTTGGACGCAATTTCCAGTTCCTGGAGGCTACTTTGAACGCGGCATTACATTAGATTTTATTTCAATAGCTTACAGAGAATAATTCTGGACTTTTCAAGATTTATTCAAATAAGAACAGTCTAAATGTTTTGAAACGTCTACCCTAAAATTAAAAAAGGTATCCTTATATTCTTTTAGAAGAAATCGTCGATCGCCTTTCCCAAACCCCAGCTGGTACCATTCACCTTCACACTCATAACAGTCCTTGATACCGGATCGTCGATCGAGTTCACTGTTCACGTCAGTGGATTCCTATCAGCTTCCACCGAAGTCAAATTTCTCTTGAACAAGCTCGACCAACAATTGGAGACAGGAGATGTTACAAATTGCTCACGTGGATTCCTCGGATTCTCCCAGCCAGAAGACTCGAATGCAATAATTCACCGATTCTTGAACCACGTGAAGCAAGTATTTGCTTCTCGGTCACCAGTCCTCATTGGAAACCTACTCGACGATGGTTTCGCTTTCAAAACATGTGGTCCACATCCAAAAAGTACGTTTTCGTTTCAGGTTTCACAGAAACTATATTTGAAAATTAAGGTGAAGTCGTCGAACAGATTATCTCTTTCTTGTCATCCGGAGCCTTAATCGAGTTCCCATTGATCGAGTCGAAATGGATCGATCAGGGACAAATCGAGTACCTTGCTGAAGTAAACGTTTCGATGATGGACAGATTCCAGGCACGTTTCGTCTACTCTCCACAGAGAAATGTTATCATGTCTGGAGGATTCGATGGTTGTCCGCTCAAAAGATTCCGTGTTTTCTACTGATTGAATACTTGTGACAAATAAAGATTAAGAGCATTCAAATGACTTGACAATTTGCAAGAAACTGAGAATCCTGAAAACTCGAAGAACCTAGAAAGAATTCATTAAATCTTCGAAAAGCGTTCCAATTCCTGTTATTTTAACTCATTTCGTCGTTTAAAAACTCATGATAAGAAAATTTGGCTGTTTCTCTGACTTTTCTCCGCTTTGAGTTATAGGACGCTTGAAAAATCAGAAAACTTTGGTGATCAGAAGATCAAACGAATCGGGAACTTAAACAATATAAATAGTACAAAAGTATTTGAATTCGTTGGTTGTGAAGTTATAGTTCTTGATTTTGAAGTTAAAAAAACAAGATCCAGATATTTTCATTATCAAAAATTCAGATTTTTGAGATCCTTGGAATCCGGATTACGAGAATTCTCATTTAGATCAAGAGAAAACTGTCCGAACAGACCAGAATGAGGTCATGACCTAAAAAAATGAGGTTATGACCTAGTCAAAATTAGATCATGACCTAGAAAAAAATTTGGTCATGGCCCAAAAAAATTAGGTCATGACCTAGAAAAATTGTATTTCAATTTTTTTGAAATTTTCATGAATTTATCGTTTTTTTACTGTTTTACATTCCTTTTTATGCATTTAAAAACCCAATTTTTACTCTTACAAAATCAGATTTTTCTGGAAATTTCCAAAAGTTTTCTGGATTTTTTTCGAAAAACTGAATATGAGCAAGAAAGTCTAAAAAATTGTGCTCTCACCAATGATTGTTGATCGGCCGAAAAATTCCCTGGAGGTGTTTTTGTATGGTCCCTGACCGATAACAAAGGGTCAAAAGATGCGAATTAGGTCATCTATTATCTTTTCTTCTTCACCTTGTCACATGCATGTCAAAACATCACTAACAATTCCGGTTTATTGCTCCCTAATTACTTATCTGATGACGACAACAAAGCCTAAAACGTTTGAAAAGGGGGCGGAGTTTCCCACAGGAAGGATTATGCAAGGTCCAGGTGTGCTAAGCCCCCTCCTTTTCTCCCTATACGGGCTAAAAACTCAGTTCAGTTGTTCGACGTTTGTGAAAGTAGGCCAGTTGGGTAATGGGCTAGTTGATCTGATCGGTCAGTTGGACTTCGTTTCATACTGGAAGAGCTTATCACTAGAACAGGATTCATACTGCGAATACTGATCAGACTGAGGACAAAGTTCGACGTTTGTGAAAGTAGGCCAGTTGGGTAATGGGCTAGTTGGTCTGATCTGTCAGTTGGACTTCGGTTCATACTGGAAGAGCTCATCACTAGAACAGGACTCATACTGCGAATACTGATCAGACTGCGAACAATGGGTTTTAGAAGGTGAACCCATTGGAAAATAAACCTTGTTTCCCTTTCATGTACTGAGCCTCTACGTGGCGAAAGGGATCAACAGACGAGTGTCTGGCTAATCAGTACCAAAATTTTGAAATTCATTTTGAAGATTCATCAGATTCCATTTAAAATTATTTTTAGTCTCACCTCAATGATTCATTTTTACAGAATGATGCGGTTTTATTATAAAGAAACTTTTTTTCAAAAACTACTTTTTGAAAAGACAAATTTTTGAAAATATGTAGTATACCGTAAAACCTGTTTTAGAAGGGCCCCTCTAATTGAAGTGCCCCCTAGAGGCCTCACGAAAAATAGAAGTGCTCCTCTATTTGAAGTACCCCCTAGAATTGAAGTGTCCCTTTGGCTACCTCCTTTGATTTTCAGCCGTTTGTTCTGTTGTTTTTATTGAATCACTGTCCGATTTTAAAAAATACTGGCATCTGAGAATTTTAATGCCTTTGCTTTAATACATATGAATTTTTCGTTTGAGCAATTTTTGCAATCAAGCTTGGAGTTTTCGATTTAAAAAATTCTATGAATTCTAGTGATAAACATGTTACCAAGAAAGCAGAATTTTAATCAGGAAATCCCACTAAATTCAAAGAAAATAATTTCGTTTAACACAGTGAGTAGTATATAATTGTCCTTTCTGGCGCACTTTTGGGCCCGCCTCTAATTATTACCACTTTTGTCAAAATTTGATATCAATCTCCAAGGATAACCCAATTAATCAATCAAAAACGACCTTTTAAAATGACCCCCTATTTTCCCGAAAATTCCTCGGGCCCTCCATCAACCCTCCGATGGTCGCTTTACTATCAGCGCTCCTCTAGCGCTCCTTTAGCGCTCTGAGAATTCCCTCTAGCGCACTGAGAAATTCTATTCTTAACACCAATTTCAATCTCACATATTCTTCAGCAAATTTTTTGTTTATAAATGTATTGTTTCAAATGTCGGATCAGTACAGATACTACCGACATATCTCAGATTTTGAGCATTAACAACAAGCAGTTGTTGAGAGGAAAATGTGTAGTATGCAAAACGAAAAAATGCAAAATAATTCCCAATTCAAAAAGTGGAGGTACTTTAAAATCCATCAAACCCTCTACCAAAGAAACTAAAAAATCGGAAATCAAACTAGACGATGCATATTACAACCCTGAAACTGGATTTTGTGGAATCAATGAACTACAAAGAAAAACTAAAAAGCCAATTGAAGAAGTAAAGCGATTTCTGAACGAACAAGACGTCTACACTCTTCATAAACCAGCTCGTAAAAATTTCAAATCTGAAAGAGTTTATGTTCACAATATTGATGAGCAATGGCAATCAGATCTTGTTGAAATGATACCGTATGCAGAAGAGAACAACGATTTCAAATATCTTCTCACTGTCATAGACTGTTTCAGTAAGTATGCCTGGGTTATCCCTCTGAAAACAAAGACTGGAAAAGAAACTGCAAGCGCTCTACAAACGATTTTCAAACACAGAAAACCTCAAAAAATGCAGACTGATAATGGTAAAGAGTACTACAACAAAGAAATGAAACTACTATTCAAAGAATCAGATATTCGCCATTTCTCAACTTATTCCGACAAAAAGGCGTCTATTATAGAAAGATTTAATAGAACTCTCAAAGAAAAAATGTGGAAGATGTTTACCTATCAAGGTGATCATAAATGGACAAAAATATTGGACAAACTAGTTTCTGGATATAATAACCACTTTCATCGAGGAATAAAAATGACTCCTATTGAGGCTTCAAAAACAGAGAATGTGCAAAAAGTACACGACAATCTTTTTCCTTCGAAAAAGCTGTTTGAGGAATCCCCCAAATCCAAGTTTAAAATAGATGACACCGTAAGAATCACAAAATACAAAGCTGTTTTTGCTAAAGGTTATCTCCCCAACTGGAGTACAGAGATGTTTAAAATTTCTGAAGTGCATCCAGGTGAAGTTATCAGTTATTCTATTCGGGATTTAGCAGACGAAGAAATCAAAGGAAAGTTTTATGAAGAAGAGCTAACATTCTTCAACAACGTAAACGATGAGCATAAAATTGAATCGATATTAAAACGTAGAACAAGGAAAGGACAGAAAGAATTGTTTGTCAAGTGGTATGGTTATCCTGATAAATTCAATTCTTGGATCCCTGACACTAATCTCAATTAAACACTTACTACTTTGACTCTATTATCTTTAATTTCAACAATATTTTCACTCATAATCAAACAATAACATTTTGTGTTTTTTACAATACTCTTTGAAAAGGAAGCTTTGATTGTGACATCAGGTCTTGATTGAATAATTCTATCATTCTGTTTGGATACATCAAATACTAACAGAGGGTAGTAGTAATAATATACATCTTCCTCCATAAAAATATAATCCTTTGTCGATTCATAGTAACTGTTTCTAAACTCTTTAGCAAAATTGTATTGTTGTACAGCATTAAACTTATCGAAATCAAATTTCAAACAGTCATGAGGATATCTCTCTGAATTTAATTCAACATAAATTTCTTCTAATCCACAATTGTCAAATTTACTAGCATTCAGATAGTTGTTATCCCTAGCACATTGAAATGCTACTACAATATATTTTATTTTGTCATATTTTGTACCCATCTTCCATGTGAATTCCCTATTACCATTAGGGATATTATAGCTTTCGAATTGTCTAGAAATGAAAGGCATTTGTACTAACTTACTGCTTTCGAAAATATTCAATAATTTATTCTGCATTTCAAGACTAGGGACAATCTTTGGAATAATCCATTGTAATCTTTTGATGTTCATCTTCGCTGTAAATTTTGTAGCATCTGACGATACAATGCTATTTTTATTTTCAGGAGATCTGTAGAGTGATAACTGATGCTTCCTACCATAGACTATTTTGTTGTAGCATTCAGCAAATCCAAAGATATGTGTCAACGGAATGCAAAAAGTTATAGTGCCTTTTCTATTTTTCGTATATTTATTTATCTTGTATGTTATAATATCCTTAGTTTCTAAAATCCAGCCAAAAGTATTCTGCTTGTTCATAGTACTACTATAAGTCAAAAGACTTTTCATCAAACTAGCTCTACCAGGATCCATTATGTTTCTACTTGAACACCATCCATGGTATATGTTGCTCTATCAAACAAAAACATTGGTGCATTATTAGTTAAGGAGACTTCATCAGTTTCTGCTAAAGCAGCGTCATCTAATTTGGAAAGTTCTACTTCGAGGTAAATGTAAGACTTATGCAAGTGTAGATACTGATCACATGTCTCAATAACAAAATTAATTTCTCCATGTTGATTTAAACTAGAACCTGAAGAAGGAAAAACACTTATGAGATTCTCTTTTTGAATGGAAGTATCAGTCACAATAGGAGCATCAACTACGAGTATTCTATCAACGGCTTCTATCATTTTTGATGATTTATATAGCAAGAATTTAAAATATTTTTTCAACTATTAAATGCGTATAAACTTTAGAACTGTAACGGTGATTTTCTTCTTGACATGGTTTCAAGAAACATTAAGTAAGCCTATTATTTGTACTGATAACTCTCCTGTCCAATATTTCAGAATCCCAAAACTACACAAGTGTAATTATCACAGAATACTCAACAGTCAATCAGAAATTG